ATTTGATATGTGTTGTATGAATATTTTTTTGTTAAATTTGTTTTGACTTTGAATGTACTGTTGATGTGTGCATAGATTTTTGATGTAATTATGTTTTTGTATATGAATGATGAATTTTATGTGATTATGTTTTATTAGATAATAAGTTAATTTTTTAATTTTTGATTTATTTTTTATTATGTGACATAATTTGATTTTATTATATGTTTTTATTGCTTTTTCTAAATTTGATTATGAGTGATATTATAAATTTATATGTCATTAAAATTATTGAAATAAATGTTATTTGTATTTTTTTCTATTGTGATTTGATTTATAATGTATTATTTTTTCTTATTCTGTGTTGAAAATTTTGTATGTGTGCTTTTATTGATTCAGAATTAAATGTTATTTAATAAATTTTGATATATATTGTTGAATGATATGATTATTTATGAATTTATATTTGTGCTATTATGTTATGATGTGTTGTTTGTTTTTTGATGATGATTGATATTTATGCTTTAATGATATTTATTTTGTTTTGATATGATTGTTATATATAATTGAATTTTTGAATTTGATTTAATTGTATATGATGTGTTTATAATGTGATTGTATGATTATTGTTATATGTTTATGTTGATATGTTTGGTTTTGATATTAATCATATTATTATTGAATTTCATTGTGTGCTACTGAAATGTTTTAGATTACTTTTTGGAATGATAAAGAATTTATTATTTTAATTGATGTTATAATATTGTATGTGATTTTTTGTTTTTGTATTTCTGAATGACACACATTATGATATGTGAAATATTATGATTTTTTTTGATGAATTGATTGTGATGATTATATTGATTAAGATGATTTAGCAATTTTTAATTTTGATTTTGTTTTGTGTGTATTGATGATTGGTATATTATTTGTTTTGATTGATTGATGTAATTGATATTTGATTATGTATGCGATGTGTTTTTTATTTTATATGTAATGATATTGTTTATGATTTATGATCCACACTTGATGTTTTGATTTTCTATTTTGGATGATATGAGGATGTGATTGAGATGATATTATATATGTTTGTATTTTTATGTTTTTATTTTGTTATATGTGAGATATGAATTGTGAATTTTGGTTGAATGTATGTTATGACATGAATGTTATGATTGTGATTGATGTTATATTGTGTGATATATTGATTTTGTGTTATGAATATTTGACTTATTGTTGTGTTTGATGATGTGATTATTAGTTTTGATTGAAATGTATTGATTATTTGATTGTTTATTGTTGTATTCTTGAAGTGGAATTATTGTATTGATGGGTAATTTTGATTTATGATTGTGATTCTTTCTTCTTTTTTGGGGTTTTTTTGGTTGATTAAATGTATGTTTTATTTAATTGTATGATAATGTGAATTGAATGTATTTAATGTTGTTGAGTGTTACAATATGTATATTTGTGATTTATTTTTTATTTATTTGTTGTGATTAATATGATTTTTTGGGGGGGGGGGGGGGGGGGGGGTGGGGGGGGGGGGGGGTGGGGGGGGGGGGGGGGGGGGGGGTGGGGGGGTGGCGGTGGGGGGGGGGGGGGCCATTTGATTTAATATGATTTAATGAATTGATATTTTTGAATGCTGATTTTTTTGAATTTTTTATTGTGATTGCTTGTGATTTTTTGAGTTGTGATGATATATGTTGATATGTGTTGATATTTATGTTTATCCTTAATTATCCTTCCTATTGCTATGATTTGATGGTGCCCACCGTGAGTGGAACACTCGCCGGCGCCGTGACAAAAGTGAAGGAAATTGATTTAAATTTTTTTCCTCATTGACTTACTCAGCGATAAAAAATCAATGTTTAATACATCATTTTGTAGCACCCTATAAAGATCTGGGGAGCTCAGGATGTGCCCCAGACACCAGAACACAACCTGATGACGTAATTATGATGTAATCCACACACTGCGAGAACTGGCTAAACCGGTATAGCGTTGGCTTGCGAGGCCCACAGGAAGAGGAGGGCATAGTTGTGGGCACTTGCTGGGTCCACCGTCTCCATCAGCTTCTCTATCATCAGCTTCAGAGAAAGTGAGAAAGTATATGTGAACGCATCAAGTAAAAATATGGGTTATGACACACAGGGACAAGTTTGAGTTTGTGAATGAATTACGTAATAGAGATGTATTCATAATAGAGAATTTGCACGTGCGATATGGCGACAATTAGCCACACCAGAACCGCGCGAGAGCATTACGCGCAACGCGCATTGCGCTCTACGTATGGGATTTCCCCTCCGCCCGTGTATGGCTCGTGCTATACTCGGGGAAACATTATAATGTGGCGAACACCCTATTTTTACATGATGCGTTCACATATATAGTTCTAGTAATAGTGACGAGAGGCAGAAAAATCAGGAGGGAAAAATAGAGAGAAAGACAACTATTGAGAAAGTCAAAGATGAGTGGAAAGATGCCACATGTCAATTGCGTGGTGCTAAAATCGAGTAAAAAATCGAGGTTCTAGTGCGTTTCAAAATGACTCGTGATATCAAAGGGACATTGGTATAATGAGGAAAAAGGAACCTCACCTGATCATTTCCACCTCTGATCGTACTTCCTCTCAATTTCTCAACCATTTTCTTGAAGAACGAAAGAAGCCAGTACTTGCACTCACTCCAGTCCCTGGGTGAAAATTTTTTGGGGGATGATTCAATTTTAGATGGTCAGCCCGCGAATATTTTTCTGACCTGATTAGAAACTCGGGGAGTTGAGTCCCGTACTCGAAATCCTCGTCAAACTTTACGAATTTCCGTTCCAGTTCTCTCATTCCGGTCTCAGTTTCTGGGACGTTGTCGGCTCCAAACAGCTGTCTTACGACGGAGTCAAACATCGTCCGTCTGACAAACGACATGAGATCCATTTCTCCGTCATCACCGAGTTTTCTGAATGAACCATAAAGATCTATAGAGAGAGAGAGAGAGAGAGAGAGAGAGAGAGAGTGCATGAGTGGGAAATAGAGAGTGAAACCACTTCTAAGGACACTCCTGAAATGAGGACACCTCTCTAAGGACACCCCTGAAATGAGGACACCTCTCTAAGGACACTCCTGAAATGAGGACACCTCTCTAAGGACACTCCTGAAATGAGGACACCTCTCTAAGGACACTCCTGAAATGAGGACACCTCTCTAATAAGGACACTTTTCTTCCCCCAAGAACAGTTCAATTCAACCCCTGAAATAAGGACACCTCACTAAAAGACATTTCGTTGGTGTCCAGATTATATAGAGGGGTCCACATATCTACCAACCTCTGCAGAGTTTTGGGCAGAGTTTTGCAATGTACGACGGAACTAGTTTTGCCTTCACTGCATCGTGAATGGAAGAGTGGTACTTGAAGAATGAGGCAGTCGAGAGCCCAGCTGCATTGGTGGAAAGAGAGAATTAAAGCTCTTAATGTCAGTCAGATTTCTTCCTTTCACCTGATATATAAGCACAACTGAAACTTGGAGATTGAAGTTCAAGTAATTTTGCCTCTATATTTGTTCAGACATTGACATTGTGACTAATGATTTTCAGCCCTAACACTACAGGTCCTAATGCTGCAGGTGGTATATAGTGTTACACACACCAGCTTTCATGGTGAATGGTTGCACGGCAGCCTGAAAACTGGTGCTGCCGTTCTGAAAGAAAGACGCCTTGAAATCTCCGTGGCGAGCAACAAATGTCATTCTTCGGCCAGTCACGTGGATTGTGAACACGTCTCCAAGCTGGAAAATCATATAATCTCACAAAATTGGGGCTGTAGACTGCAGTGGAACCCCTCTAAATCTTGACGAGAAGAGTGATGAAGGGGTTGAATTGCTAGCTAGGACTGTTCTTGTGAAAACCAGAGGGATAACCTCATGCATGTCAAGAGTTCTCCTAGAGAGGGGTTCCACTGTTGGTATATAGCTACCATTTCTCTTGTCTCTTGAATAAAGTGGAGAGGTGCTTTGCCGAAGGGCACAGCGCAGCCGAGCCACGGGATCCAGCCGCTTCGTTCGGGAGGGAAACGAAGTTCAGAGGCTCGGCGAAGCTTTAGGAAGCAGAGGAGGCCGACTAGCCCCGCCACAGAGCCTAGGACGATCGTCAGAAACACCTCCATTGGTGAATGGACCACGCTGCAGATAAGGGGTGTGGCTGGTTATGCTGCGCATGCGCAAAGGGAAAGTGGGCGGGGGTGGGGGCGTTGGGAAAGTTGCCGAGTGCCACTCTCTGCATGCAGTTCAACTAGCTAGCTCTCTTCCCCTGAAGTGCTCTCTTCCTTCTCTCATCCGACACAGTCACGTGACATGCTCCGGGCAGCGGTTCGACAGGCGGTAAGAAAGTAACCTTGTGCTTTTGATCGCCACATGGAATGTGTATTGCTGTACCTAACGCAGTGCAATAGTGGTTAGCAACTTATACGGACGCATGTAGGATTTCCTTTGCGTGTGTTACCATACCGTACTGGTACGGCGTTGCGTTAGTCAGTCAGCGCAGGACTTGGGTCGTGACGAGCGCTTCTCTCTCTTTCTGGTGAGTTTGTCGAAGCGCGTTGGTGGGTAAAACGCAGCGGTAGCAATCTCTCTCTAAGCGTTGCGTATCCGTGATAAACGTGCCAGCTGTCTATCTTTTGTTCTCTCTATAGTGGACCAAATCAGCGCGGCAGCTGCTCACCGGCACAGCTATCACATCTCACCCTCCTGCTTCACACACCCTCGCCGTGGTCACCCTCCTACAACAACAACCAGCCAGATACATCGCCATGACGACTTCAGCTTGGACCGGTCGTGACACATTGGACGATGTCGACCCCGAAATAAGAGATCTGATTGGTCGAGAGAAACAGAGGCAGATCGGTGGTCTGGAGCTAATAGCATCAGAGGTACTATAGTGGACCTCATCTCTAAGGACACCCCTGACCCGAAGTGTTCTAAATTTATGTACTTTGCTCGTGTCTGTATAGGCTCTGGGGGTGTGTACGTAATGATAAAAATAAAGACACCTCATAATATTGACACTTTCTCTTGTCCCATTGGTGCCTGGATTAGAGGAGTTCCACCCCATTAGCTGCCCTTGTTTTCCAAATAGAGCGCTCCTTCCATTTATCTTTCCTTCGAGATCTCTTTGTTTCTTTTGTGTCAGATGTTTTCTGGGTCTAATATGTACACTGAATGCCACTAGAGAATGGGTGTTTGTTTTTGTGGCGAGTTCAGAAAGTTTAGAGCCAAAATCTGATTGCATTTGCACCTCTTTGTCTATTAATAAAGCCGCTATATATACAACTCTTGTATGCCACACTGAGGAAATGTTCCGGAAAGAATGGCCACGTTTCATGGGTGCCCAAGTGCAAACGTTCGATGTGTGAGTGTGTGTGTGTGAGGATGTGCCAGAATATGCCTCCTTCTAGTCCTTGAGCTTCGCAGGGGGTTCTATTAACGAGTATGTAAACTCGCCCCCTCTCTTACTTCCCTCCCCCCTCCCCCCTCTTGTCAGAATTTCACCAGCAGGGCAGTGATGGAGTGCGTGGGATCCTGCCTCACCAACAAGTACTCGGAGGGTTACCCTGGCCAGAGATACTACGGCGGCAACGAGTTCATCGATGAAATCGAGACGCTCTGTCAGAATAGGTCGCTCCAGGTGTACGGACTGGACCCAGGGAAATGGGGGGTCAACGTGCAGCCACTCTCTGGTTAGTCCTGCCTTAACCCCTCCTCACTCTCTTCTCTCTCTTCTCTTTCTTGCCTCTCTCTCATATCTTTTCTCTCATATGTTTGTTTCTCCGTATGTTTAGGTTCACCGGCAAATTTTGCAGTGTATACAGCACTCCTGAAGCCTCATGATAGGATCATGGGACTCAACCTTCCAGAGGGTGGCCAGTAAGTTCTTCCCTCTCCTCCCTCTCTCTTTCCCTGCCACTTAGAGAATTATATATACACCTACTGCGCACGTTCACGGCTGCAAACTGTGTAGCGATATGCGTAAAGCTAAATACAGCTGTTATCTTAACTTGGCATAATTTCCATTTCTCTTTCCCTCCATCTTACCTCTCTCTCTCTCTCTCTTCTTTTAGCCTCACTCATGGATTCATGACGGCAACAAAGAAGATATCTGCAACTTCGGTCTACTTCGAATCCCTCCCTTACCACATTGACGTGAGATTTATACACCTTATGTACCTACATACATACATACATGTCACATACCCACTATAGTATGACAGTATGGCAGAGTGGGAATACGTGAAGTTGACAGAATTAGAATTGGGAATGTGACCGTATGAGAATCTTACAGCATGGCGGTATGGGAATATGACAGTATGGGAGTTTGACAATATGGGGGTATGGAATTACTAGAATGGGAATACAGTATGAGAATCTGACAGCATGGCAGTATGGGAGTTTGACAATATGGGGGTATGGGGATTACTAGAATGGGAATTTGAGTGTATGGCAGTATGGGAATGTGACCTCTCCCCTGTCTCCAGACCAGTACAGGTCTGATAGACTACGACAGACTGGCGTCCCAGGCGAGGGATTTCCACCCCCGTATCATCATAGCAGGGACCAGCGCCTATTCCCGGGTCCTGGACTACGCCAGAATGAGGCAGATTTGCGACGACGTCGGTGCCTACCTGATGGCCGACATGGCCCACATTAGTGGCCTCGTTGCAGTTGGCGTGAGTAACTGTGACCTCTATTGCTGTTGTATATATAGTCTATCTCTGAGCCAACATTTTTGTTTTTGTTGGCAAGTCCACCTAGTCGTCTGAACTGCGATATTGTGCAGCCGATGCTGCCAGTACTGTAATGTTTGTTTTTATATGCATAAAACCACACCAACTTTGGCCTTGTGTTTGCACGCCATTTTTCTGTTTACATCACAATCTCTGCAATCTCTATAATTATCGTTCTCTCTCTGTCTCTATAGCTCCACCCTTCTCCGTTTGAGTATGCCGATGTTGTCACAACAACCACGCACAAGACGCTGCGAGGCCCGAGGGCGGGGCTAATTTTCTTCCGTCGCGGTGTGAAGGGAGTCGACAAGAAGGGGAAAGAGACGATGTACACCTTTGAAAAAGACATCAACAGCGCCGTGTTTCCCGGGTTACAGGGGGGCCCCCATAATAACGTGATCGCTGGGGTTGCCGTGGCAATGAAAGAGGTGGGTCACATGACTATCACGTGAGTGTCATGTGACTAATGACCGGTGCTGTAGGCTCTCCGTCCGGACTTTAAGACTTACCAGGAGCAGGTTGTGAAGAATGCACGACATATGGCGAACGCTCTGATGGTCCTTGGGTACGAGATTGTGTCTGGAGGGACCGACACACACCTGTTTGTACTGGACCTCCGACCAAAGGCTAGTCCCTTTCAATCTGTGTGCGTGTGTGTGCGTGTGTGTGCGTGAAGCATAGACACGGTATGTAGCTTTTAACAGTACAGCTTTCATGAAGTGTATACATTATATGAACATTGTTTGGTTACGAATCACCTCCTCTGCAGGGGTTGGACGGAGAGCGCGCTGAGAGAGTTCTGGAGCTGTGCGGTGTGACGGTCAACAAGAACACGTGTCCTGGGGACAAGAGTGCTCTTCATCCCGGTGGCCTCAGACTAGGTCTCTCCCTACCCTCCTCTCTTCCTTCATCTTTTGTAGTAATTATAATATTTCTGCGTGATCTCCTGTAGGCACACCGGCCCTCACGTCTCGTGATATGAATGAAGAAGACATTGGTCAGGTGACTCAGTTTCTTCACGAGGGAATTCTCCTCACTCAGCAGGCAAAGAGCGACCACGAGGCGTCGCTCAAGACGGCTGACCCTCCCGCCAAACCCACCACCAAGGTAGTGAAAAACCTGGACACCTTGGAGACGTGGAAAGTGTCCTTTATTCAGAGGTGTCCACTGATGTATTAGTATGGGGCAGAACCAAGTGTCCTTTATAGAGAGGTGTCCACTGATGTATTAGTATGGGGCAGAACCAAGTGTCCTTTATTCAGAGGTGTCCACTGATGTATTAGTATGGGGCAGAACCAAGTGTCCTTTATTCAGAGGTGTCACTAATGTATTAGTATGGGGCAGAACCAAGTGTCCTTTTGCAGTGTGTTATTCAAATCCTACTCCCACCCAGTTTTCCGTTCTGTGTCATGATTATTACTGTATCGTTTTGCAGGGTTTCAAGGATTTTGTGGCAAAAGATGCGGCCACTATTGCAAAGATTGCCAAACTGAGAGAAAAGGTCGAGGTATTTTCGCGCCGCTTCAGCATGCCTGGATTTGATGACAAATAGACAACTACATGTTCAATATGTCGTCCTATTACTATTTATAGCAGCAATTTGTGACACCACTTACTGTTTATTTATAGCAGAAAAGTGTGACATCATACTTATAAAACTATATAGCTATACACATGGAGCTAATAAGAGTAGGGTTTGTTCTGCAAGGTCTCTAGTGTCCTGGAGAGGTACTGTAGCTCCTCCCACCAACTGGGGGGTGGGCATGAATAATTCATGAGGCAGCACAGATTTCGTATTGTGTTCACCTTTCTTCTTCTCCTTTTCCGTGTTGTTTCATCTGCTCACTAAATCTCAGGCCGGATCGAATACAGTAGATTGCCTCGTCACATTCCTTCCCATCTTGGAATAAAAGAATGGAGGTTCGCAGTATGGGGGAATGAGTGTATGAGAGAATGGCATTATCAGAGTGGGAATGAGTGTATGGGAGAATGGAGTATCAGAGTATGGGACAATTAAAGCATCAGAGTATGGGAATGAGTGTATGAGAGAATGGCGCAGAGTATGGGAATGAGTGAATGAGAGAATGGAGTATCAGAGTATGGGAATGAGTGTATGGGAGGATGGTGAATTAAAGTATCAGAGTATAGAATGGAATATTGAGGTATAGCACAATGGAATACCGGAGTATGGGAATGAAATAAAAAGAATGGAATGGAGTAGGGTATGGCTCACTGGAGGAGAGGAGGGAGAGAGGGTGCAAGGCTGCCAGGTATCTGAGAAGTCTTCCAGGAAAGTCAGTCCCTCCTTCCTCCTCCTCACCCTCTTTCTCTTCATCTTCATCTTCCAACCACGACTGCAGGTGGCTCAGAAACAGACTGGAAGAGAGAAAATCTCTCCCTCTCTTCCTCCTCTCTCTTCACCCCCACTCACCTGGAGGTGTTCTCATTACGAGCCACTATATCCAGCAACGCAGAGGAGAGGAGAGGGAGAGAACTTGATGCTGACTTACATTTCGACGGATTCTGTATACACAGAGCAAAGGAACAATGATTGAGTTGAGGAATATAATTATATATATAATTATGTATTATATATACATATATATATATATATTATATGTATATATAATACATATATATATATGTATATATACAAAGGACTTTGTTCTGTGCCAGACCCTTGGAATTTGTATGTACTTAACTAGTAGGCAATTTCCATTGGTCAAATGTTCAAGATGTCGAGGTTAAAAGATCGTACCTCTGTGACGTCTCGTGCTAAGAGGGACATGGTGAGGTTTGTGAGGGTGGCGAAGGTGGGGACGGTGTGGGGGGAGAGGGAGAGGGAGTGGAGACGAAGGGATACCGAGACCACCTGTGACACGCCTCCACTCAGTACTGACCACACCTACACAATAACGACATCATTGTAAGGCAGCACATGAGTTTAATATATGTTCAAACCAAGAAAGATTTCTGCCTCAAAGTTGTCATTAAATAATAATCCAAATTGGCTACTCATGATTTGTGCTGCTTTTAGTGCATACTATAGTCACATGACAATTCACTGAGAGCTAATTTAGTGAGAAATTTCAAAACCTTCTTGAAGTCATCGGGTGACCCAGAGGAGACAGAGGCAGCCAGTTGGAGAAGAGGACGGAGGAGAGTGGCTGTCGGGACAAGACTAGTCACTGTCCTTATCCCATCCACTTCACTGAGCACTGGAGAAAGTGTGTGTGTGTGCGTGAGCCACTATAGAACACGGGAGCTGATATTTCTTACCAGAAGCCTCTGATAACTGGTACATCATTTTTGTGAGTGGTTTCAGCAAAACCGGACCTGCAGCTAATCGTACAATTTTTGATACGGTGAATAGTGCATATTATGAGAGATTACATAATGTGTAGAAAGTGGTATATACACAGTATGCAGCAGTTTGCACCCAACTCACCGGTTTCAGCAAAGGCTGCTGCCCACTGAGCCAGCTCCAATTGGAGCTCACCATCAGTGAGTCCAATCATGACTGCCTCGGTTGTAACCCCTAGCAACGTCTCTGTTACCTGGCAACCCTCCTTCACATGGGGGTCAGAGATCGAAGATGTCGGTTGAGACTGGTTGGCCTTGCGTTTTCGGTTGCTATGGCGTTTGGCGGGCTGGCTTTTTGCATGTCTAGGCACACATAAGGTACAGTATCGATTACATGAATAAATTTCAGGACGTCCTGAACTTCAGGACAGATAAACGTACAAGTCTCCTCGTAGTAGAGGAAGCAGTGTTCCTTCACTCCACTCTCTAACCTCAGTCACTCTCTCCCTCACAACCTCACACCCCCTCCCTTCCCTCCCTCCCTCCTCCCCTGCCCTGTGCAGCGCCAGTCGCATGTACACGCTCAACATCTGCCGCAATAGGTCAAAGGTCAGACCGGTGGGCGTGGCTTCACCAGACAAGTGAGAATCCAGGACATTCTATAGGAGAGAAAAGGTCTTTCATACTGTGAACAGTTGAAAACTTTTTGAGGCAAACAATCTCGTAATTTAGCAGCAAACAGAAGGGAAAGTGAGGCCTAAAATAAAGAAATGTTACTATTATAAGAGTTACTAAATTTAGCCCTTGTATACTGTCACATTCCCCTTTAAATTACCATGCATTGCTGTAGAGCCTGTTCCAGGTACCATGTCTCCCTCTCTCTCTTCATCTCCTCCCGACACAGTGGGTGGAGCTGTACGAGAACGAGAATCCCACGTCTCCATACGCCCATTCCCCCGTTGTTCCACTCACCAGCATGTAGTTGAGTATGTTGAGAGCCAGCTGAGGTTTCGAACGCACAGATTCAGTCACTGTGTTTGCTCTGCTACTAGCTGATGCCTTCTTCTCCCGAACAAAAGAATAATTCACAAGACATGCAACATGTCAAAATCATTACTTACCGCTTTTCCTTTAGTCTTTTTGTGGTTTTTCGTCGCTGTGGAAACAGCTGACCCTTGACCCCCGGCCTCGTCGTGTGGGCGTGGCATTGCCTCCTCCAGAGACGACTTCAGCCAGCGTGAAACTAGACCTACCACGTCTCCGATCTGTTTCCATGACGTCATTGCCGTCACCATGGCGGCATAGTCCTATGTTTTCCAGCATTATACCCATACATTATGAGAAGTGACGGTTTCACTTTCAATACACATGTATGTACCTGTGAGTTATGGTCAAGAGAAGAGAGAGTTTCGAGGGTGCCTCTGACAATGGCTGACACACTCTTCTTCGGCAGAAAGGAGGCCAGGAAATACAAGGCAGAGCGGGAACGGCCATCCTAAATAGAGCACACCCAACACATTCGGTGTGTCTAATGTTATATACATAGAGACAAATCTTACTGAAAACCTTTTTTTACTTCCTTGGCTAATATACAGGGCATCCAGTTCTAAATTGGGCAAAATGTGAGTTAAATCTGGTCATCCAGAGTAGAAATGGGTTGTCCAATCGGGAAACGGGGCACAGAATGGCAATGTGTGAGTGACGAAATGTGGTCCACCCGGAGTACAACAGGGTCGTCCAATCGGGAAACGGGACAGGTGATCTTACAGTGAGAGAGTTGAAGAGGAGAGGGAGGGACTCGGTAACAGAGGAGACGAGTCGTAATCGCAGTTTCTCGTGCTGCGGTGAGTCCAACGTCTCCTTCAGACCTTCCCAGAGGATGACCACCACTTCTAGAGCCCCTGCCAGGAGATCTCGGTCGGACAGACTTGGAGGATCTGAGGTTGGGAGGGTGAGTACATATGAACACTTGGACTTAGAAAAAATTCATAATTATGCTGAAGATGTTCACATACCTCTGGTTGAGGCGTCACCTTCTTTCTCTCCCTCTTTCCACCCTCCCTCCCTGATCCCACTTGGATCTCTCTCCTCCTCTTCCTCTATTCCTTCTCCCTGTAGAGCTGAAAAAATTTTACATTAAAAAAAAACTAACGGAGAGAGAGAGCTCACCATTACTGGCGTGATTCTTGAGCCCGTCTTCCACTTTACCCTTTCTCCCTCTCTTCTTAGCCCCTCCTCCTCTCGCCTTCTTTTTCTTCTTCATCTCTTCCCTCTCGTCTTCCTCCTCCTCCACCTCTCCCTCTCCCACGGCGTGTCTCACGGTGGTATAGACTGCCAGCATGAAGCGGACGACGTGTGACGGGGGAAGATGAGCGACGACGAGCCGGTAGAAGGTTCTGGCTGCCGCCATGTTCATCTCAATCAGAGTCAGACATCGCGCCACCTGAGAGAGAGAGAGAGAGAGAGAGTTTTTCACCCTCAAATATTCTTGTTTGCCAACAAATTACTATCATACTGGATTAGGGAGCACTCCCCTCACTCACTCACTCACACACCTGCTCTGAGATGGGGGCACTGGAAGGCTGGAAAGAGCTCACTAGCAGCGACACGATCCTCTTGACTACGTGAATGGAATCGATGTCCATCCTCGCAAGAAGGTGAGGTATCGCGCAAACTTCATAGAACTTTATACTCCGAATGCCTCGCACCACTAGCAGTAGGTCAAGGAAGGCTATACGGACCTGGAAATGAAGGGTCGAAATAGTCAAACGTGAATTCTGGAGATAGAGTGCGCGTGCATGCAAAATACAGGGGAGAGTGAGAATATATAAGTTTCTAAATGAAGGACTCTTGCAAAGGTTTACATACGCCAATCTTCTCAAAATCTGCCAAAATGTAAGTACGTAACTCTAAAAGGTGTCTTGAAGAAGAAAGAGAGAGAGAGAAAGAGAGGGATGGTCAGGCAGACCTTGACTGAGGTGTCGTGGATGTGGCTCTTGAGCAGAGGAAGAAGATCGTGAAGAACGGCGTGACTGAGTCGATTCTCCAGAACTATACTCAGACTCTGTCGCCAGGAGACACCAAACACACACATACAATTTCATGTACAGCCATAGTCTTTTCAGGGGCCAATAGTTTTGCAAATGGTCATTCCTCGAAACCTTAAATTACCAATCAACCTTCACAAAACTATGTAAAATTGTTTGCATTCAAAAAAAATCCCTGCTGCGTTACAAACCCCCACCTGTATGACGGCCACTCTGACATTGTCGGAGCCGGAATCGTAGGCCAGTTCTCTGATCATCTTATGGAGTAGAGATTTGACGACTGAGAGTGGCACCAGCTCCCAGTAGCGGCAGAGAGCTCTACCTACCCCCAGCACAGTCAGCGATCGCACCATCGGACTATCGTCATACAGTAGCTCCTGTAGTTCGGGAGGGAAAAGCTGATTCACGTATATACATACATAGAATGCTATCAGCGAAACCTCCGAGGACGAAAATTATGACACAGAACGGAAAACTGGGTGGGGGTAAGAATTGAATAATGCACTGCAAAAGGACTCTCTGAATAAAGGACACACCTCTTTCAAGGACACTTGGTTCTGCCCCATACTAAGTATTGTAGTAGGTCCGAATAAGGGACACCTCTGGATAAAGGACACTTTCAATGTCCCCCTTACTCAGAGGTATCATTGTATGGAGCATTAATGGTTGAGACTATGGGGACTAAACCCTTGAATGTACATGTTCACTGTTGCTCTATAGAGATTTGTTATGCATAATAGAGAAGGATAAGGGGACTAACAGACATAAGGTCAAACTGTTTTTGGAGCAGCGTGTCGATCTCCTCTCTGGTAGAGGATGGGTCGTGGAGGGGGAAGGCATCCATCATTAGACACACCGCGTTCGCACGTACATGAGAATTGGCCACCTGCGAATGGGAGGGACGGACACCACATCTACCCATTGTTCATGAAAAAATAATCCCGCCCTCTAAAATTTTAGTAAATATCACTGCAAAATTTTGTCTCACATGCTTATTTCAATGACATCATAGGAAACAAACAAGGGAAATGGATGTGAGGGGTGGTGTACATGTCTACCTTGAGAGACCTCCATAGGAAAGGGTTGTAGAGTCTGAAGATCATTTCCGAGACTCCACTGTGCTGGGTTTGGTGGTGGATGTAGCCCAATACCTGCACAGAGAGAGAGAGAGTGAGAGAGAGAAGTGTGCTGCAAAGGATTAACTACGTACAAACGATTAGATTGCAGAATTACAATACTCCACTAATTTTGACAGGTTGTGTTTTTTAATCCTGTTAAATTCGCGAGATCTGCATTCAATGAAAGTTTAATAGCCCACACTTCGCCTTATCCAAACCTTTCTAAGAGCGGGGAAGGCAGCATGCGGCCCACTCCTGTTAGCATGTACAGCTGTATACATCAGATCCTGGATACACTGCTCCTCGATTTTCTGGCAAAATAAAAACCGCAACAACACATCAAGATACGCTGCAAGAATAAAATACCGCTTCTCAAAGTAATCGGCCAAACTAACCATTTAAAAAGTAACTCAAAAAATCACACACTCTGCATGCCTACTATATATAATGCACAATACGAACGAACGAAATACACATCTATACTGAACTATGGAGTAAAGTATACAGACCTTTAGGTAAGGGCCAGAGGCAAGTCTCCATGACTTGAAGTACACTTCTCCGTACACCTCAAGATAGGCCTTGGGACACCACGGAATCTGGTTACGAACTGGAGAGGGAGGGAGGCGGAGGAGAGGAATAAGTGTTGAGAGATGAAACAAATTGTGCCAGGATCACAAGAGCCCATTGATACAATACAACGTGCAGAGAGAGAGAGAGATGAGAGAGAGAGAGAGAGAGGAGAGAGAGACTCTTACTGGTCTGATGGAGGCTGTCAACAAACGAAGGATGGAGCCCGAAGAGGTAACTCAGGAGTTTCTTCCCATCGGCTGAAGTGAGGTAGAGAGGCTCGATGAGAGAAGACAGCAGAAGTTCTTTGATTGAGTCTGCACTTGAATCCTCGAAATCTAGCAGTAGCAGTGCCCCTCGCATCCCCCACACTCTTCCCACATCCTTCACCTAACAGCAACATAAACTTAGGTGGAAATACTGTTGGGTGGGTAAAATTTAGACCCACGGTGGCTCCCTGGGAGAATGTTCTGGCGACGAGATAGAGGAGGCAGTTAGGGACGAGCCCCTCTCTCCCCTCCACCTCCTCTCCTCTCTCCCAGCACGCCTCACACACAGCACTCATGGCATTCTGCAGCTCACAACACTCTTCTGGAACGCTCAGGAGGATGTCTGGGGAGATGTCACATGACTTGTGGTGTGTGGGTCACGTGATTATCACATGATGTCGTACCGTGAATTATTTGCAGCGTTTCGGCTAGTTCGCTGGTGAGATTCAGGCCCTCTAGAGTGAGGGCACACTTGCACACTGTCACCGCTCCACTCAGCACCTCCACATCATCATAACCTCCCTACACACACACACACACCATAAACCCTCCAATCAAAGAAAAAGGTGATTGCCTCTAACTTCAACTTTCTTGCTGCTTGTATCTACGTCTCTAGAGTTTTCTCCGTCAACCAGACGACTGGCGGCGTCTCGAGCGAGAGGGAGCAGGGCGGCCCACACGCGGGCCTGCATCTTTCTCGACAGAGCCTGTAGAAACTCGCTCCAGTTCAGCTCCTCTCCCTAAAACCGCACACACACGGGGCCAGCGTCGATAATTCGAGTTCTAAAACATCGCACTAAACTCACTTTGCTTCTTAGTAGCTCCACGAACGACTCCGCAGAGTCCTCCAGAGCCGAGAATATCTCCTCTCTCTTCATGGCGCTATCAACTTTGTGGCTTGTAGTCGTCCTTTTTCGTTCTGTTTGTTCCCGCGCGCGACCACTTTTGGGGTCAAAGGTGAAATATGGCCCGCGAGCATGCGCATATATTTCCCCATTACGTGCCAAGCTACCATTTTAGCCATTGGCTGTGCTGGCAGTGTCTTTGTAGGTGTTGTGGTGGTGGAACTGGGCTGGTGCCGTGGCCGTCGCGTCTCTTGCCAAAGCCGGCGAAACAATTACTGGGGTAAGGGAAATACGACTTACGGGAGCAGCGAGAAACGGCCGATCGCGGCGGGTTCCGTTTCGCGACTAGGCGCTACGCCACTTGCCAAGCTGCCATTTTTTGTTCCGTTTTGTTCTCCCACCGCACAAACGCACAGGTCGACCGCGTTGACGGACGGACGGACGGACGACGAAAAAATGGCGCAACGTCCCAGCGGCAGCGGCGTTGGCGCAGCGGGGGCCCATCTGCACCAGGTTCTTCATGACTGCAACCTCCTTGAGTACGAGCCGCTGCTCCTCGAAGAAGGTGAGGCTTTTGTTACGCCTTTGGCGCCTGCACGGCGCGTTACGGCTGCGTTAGTCGTGCCGTAGAAGCCCCACTTTTGCAGGCTGCGCGTGCGAAACCAGCGCCGAGTGAAAAGGAAATTTGGCTTTGCAGTTGGTTAGTGTGTTGGCCTAGCTAAAATTTAGACACAGCTCTACCACATCTATACTACCCACACCCTCCAGGTGCGGACGATGTCTCTCAGCTGAAAGAGCTAGACGAAGAGGAGTTCAGACAGCTCTGTATCATGGTCGGCATGGCCTCAAAACCGTTCCACGTGAAGAGACTCCAGAAGGCACTCGGACGCCCGTCTTCCCAGATTTACTCTTCAAAACTGGCGGGTGCTTCATCTGTCACACCTACTACTACATCATTGCAGCTCCAAACTAGCCACCCTCCGGGTAATCACGGTGCAATGATGACAGGGATTCGCACATCAGCATTGGTCTCAGGCGGCGTTCCTCAGTCCATTTCCAAACTCCCACCTAAGGTACAGGCCCCGGCTTCGACTGCGGCTCTCCCAAGCCTATTGGGAGGAGTCACCAGCTCTGCAAGACCAGGGGACCGTTACCACCAACTTCCCAAACAACAACACTTTGAAGTTGCCGGTGCTAATAATAACAGGATGAGCATCGCTACGCATTCGGTCACTCCGGAAAAAGTTCACCTCGCAAGTGAAGTTTTAGCGACTACATCGTCCTCTGTAACTCCCTACCAAACTGGAGCAGCAAGCTTCGTCTGGGCTCAACAGCCCTCCTCCTCTTTCGTCGAAACAGCTTTTCCTTCCTCCGTATCTCCAGCCAGACTCTGATGTGAGAGACCTGAGTTCACTGGTGGACGAAGTACTGACTCCCATCCAGGCAGAACTCGGGCCCTGCCCGTTTAAACCGAGCGACTGGGACGAACGAAGGACGGAGTTTGTGCGACGGTATTCGGCCATCTACGGGCAAGGGAACAGCAAGAGAAAGAACGAGGAACTGTCGCTGCACGAACAGAACATCAACATGGCCGCATTTCAGCTGTGTCTTCGTGACCCCACGCTCCTTGTGCGTCGCGACGAGTTACTGGTGCTCAGTCGCAAAGCCATCAAAGACGGCGGGTACTCATTTCAACACGGCCTCTCGAAAGCCAAAATTCCGTCGTCTGAGCATCTCCTTCCTGTCCCCTCCATCAGCGTTGTCCGTAATCAACCACTGGAGGAGATACCTGCTCTCGATGAAGGGAGCTCTGGGTTTTCCACGGGAGGTCTACCCGGAAACCTCTTACCTCCTCCTCGTAACATGTCCCGCGAAAAGAAACTGAAGAGAATCGAAGAACTGGAGTTTCTCATCACCAAGAACAAGATGAAGCAGTCTGTGAAGCTCGCGGCACTGGAAAAGGCGCGGCAGACAAACGACTTCAGCATGAGCCACCATCTCCAGGCGGAGATCGAGAGTCTGGGGAACACTCTCGCAAATCTTCAGGACGAGTACTCCAACATGAAGTACCGACTTCGCCGCTCGGACAGGTATTTTGAGAAGAAGAGGAAGATGGAGGAGATGATGGATGCCGAAATGATCCGCACTGCCCAGCAACACCCCTCGCCCACTGCAGAGGCCGCTGCTAAGCGTGTTAGACCAGATTTCACTTCCGGCAGCGAAATGTCGAGCGAGGGACAAGGTCCAGTGGCATATTACACGGCACCTCAGGCTGATAAGAGGCTGTGCGTGGAAAAGCCACGTCCATCAGCTCTACCAGCAGACTATTCATCTCATCACTCAACTGGCAGTAGTGGCGGGGTAACGGCCAATACAACAGTGTCTTTCTCCAGATCCTACTTTCAGGTCACTCCGGCTGATTCCGTCTCTCCCTCCTCCTCCCCTCACACCTCACCCTCTCCCAACGACACAGAACCCACTTACATAAATACTTCCATGGCTCAGGTGCTGACACAGCAAGAGGAAACAGACTCTAACCGCAGAGGAATGGAAGACGGAAGGGAAAGAGTATCTGACACGACACCCACTTCTGAACGCCCCGATGGACAAAGTGGTGAAGTATTGATGGTGCACGGGAAAGACCTCCTGGCAAATATCAACAAACTTGCCACTAAGGCAGCTGCAAATCTTCGATCCATGCCTCACTTCTAAGACAAATTTTGATGGCCCACTGGCACAATTTTTTGTGGTGACAACTTGTTTAAAAACAAATAAAAAGTCTTGAAAAAATCATGCATTGACAATCACAATGTATTTGACACATTCATATTCACCGTGAAACGTATGTAGTAATGCAGGGACCTGGTGTGCTCTAATTGGGGAGTTCGGGGAGTCCAAACTCGTCGAGTTTTACTCCGCTCTGGGTCTTGCTCTTCCCGGTGGTGGAGTCTTGGGGTACCCCAGTGGGCGGGTCTGGGGCGGAGACCGCATCGAGGTACGAGGTGTCCTCCGAGTCGGCGAGGAAATCATCACCCAGTGCGTCTAATTCTGTAGGGGTATTGTGTACATTAGTCAGGAGGCATTAAACACTAGAGGCAACAGAGAACCTGCTTCAAGATCGTCTTCGTCAATGTCGTCAGGGAGACCGTAGGCTTGGCCCAGGGTCTCCTGTACCTCCCCAGCTAGCTCCAACATGTCCCCCATCTCATCGTGAAGATCCTGACGAAAAACAGAAAAGTTGTTTTGAGCCACACCATGACAAATAGTAGGGTATGCAGATTCTTCGAAGGACACCCATCAGGACACTTCACTGATCAGGACACCTCCCAGTTACGAAGTCTAATAAATCCATGTTGTGGACAGAGGTGAAACGGCTTACATGCACACACGCACACAGGCTAGCCGCCTCACATATAAAATGTCAAAAGAAAACCACACTACTAAGCTCAGACAATACTGCCTAGAACCTAATACCTTACCTCGATCTTCCCAATGTCCACCTTCTTGTACTCTCTCTTCATCTCCTTCACGCCGAGTTTCATGGCGTCAACGGTCGTCTTTGTGTCTTTCAGCTGCTGCGTGGCAAAAGTTGGTCTGCTCCATGTTGAACGACTGGTTTCGCAGACCCTCCATTTGGTTCTCGTACATCTTCTTCTGCTTCAGGATCCTCAGCGCCCGCTGCTTGACTGCATTCTGGTGAAGATCGCAACAGATGAAGATCGAGTATGAGTTAGGGGAGGAGGTATGGGAGAGACATACATACATAACACTGGATTTGAATGAGAGAAGAGGGAAATGTTAACACATACATACATAGACGTTTTTCGATTGAAATATCGATAGGCAAAATGCTGTATACCCTCGAGGGTTCACTCCACGATGTATGTGTAGTAAGTGATGCTCGATGGAGAGGATATATTCCGTACAAACCTTGGCCGGGCCGTTCCTCATCTTGGCCATCTGGTCTTTGTACTTCTTGAGCTCCAGGTCCAGTTTGGAGATCTTCTTCTCGATGGACTCTGACCTACTGTCCACGTTGTTGATGCAGTCCGTGAGATTGGGGGGCGGGGCCTTCTTCTTGCCACCTCCGAACAGGCGATCCATGACGTCGGCTCTTTCTCTTTCTCTCGAACTATTGAAAACCACTTCTTGAGTCTGACGCTATGAAATGTACACACATACTCTAGCTATCTCCTTTATTTTACTACTTACATTGACGACACGGAAGTAGCGTCCTCTTTTTTATCGCCAAAAGCTAGGCTAACTGAGTCGCTCCTCGGTCGTTCTGACTTTCAGAAAAGTGCTGAGCCACTCTGTTCCTGCCTCAGTATTTTGTCATGTGAGGCCAAACTGGAACCACATCATGGGCACATGACCATTCCACATACTTACACGCCCACGTACGTACGTACGTACAGATTTGGGCGTCGTCGTAATTATTTCACGCATGCGCACACTCTACGTACGAAATATTACGCAAGTTGGCCGCCGTGTTTACTTCCTTGTTGCATTACTGCAGGGTCAAAGGGGCGTTCAAAGTATAATTGCACATTCTTAGCCGGGGACTATATATAAAAGCCGCACATTACTATACTGCAACGTACTAAACACTTCTGCGAACCGACCCACCCAAACTGCTCTTGGTTCGCCAACCAGTGAAAGCGAAGAAGATATGAGTTTTTGGAGAACAACACTTGCTGCGAGACCAGATGTAAGTCGACCGCGATGCCGTCGCGAACCGCTATACTTTTCTTTTCCATACTTTTCCGCTCGGGAGGAAAGTTGTTCTATCAATTGCTAACGGAACCATTTTCCGTTTCTTTCTCCAGATCTGGCCACTGGTTCTCATAACCTCTTTCGGCGCGCTGTTTGGTACAACCATGCTCGTCAGAGCCGGCACGCGCTACCATGACGTCTCGTAAGTCTACAAAATCTTTGGTCCCTTTCTGTGAAGAGATGGGACATAGACCCTGATTTATTCTATGCTCTCCTGTCGCTACAGGTGGCGTCATGAAAGTAATCCCTTTCCATACGAGAAACTCAAATACAACCAGAAAACCAAGGTAAATATCTATGAGCACTCTTCATCACCCCTCCTGTTCTTCTACAGCTCATGCACATTGCAAGTTATGATCATCTGAAGGACGAAGTACCAAAGTTTTAAACAGACAGTCTTCAGAACAGACTCCAATAATACTATACTGGTACCTAGTGCTAAATCGCTCAACAGCCGCAGCTGTAGTTTTTTTGGCCTCAGTTGTCTCCCCTCCTTTTTTGCTTCAATTGTTGGTTCTCATAAGTATTTTTATGGGCATAGTTTCCTATGTGCAAACATTGGTTAATTACTCCTTACATGTATCGTGGTCATTGGCGCATAGCTAAAATTTCACGACACCCCCGAGCTAGCTAGCTAGCTCTCTATATAATAGCTAGCTAGCTAAAACACTAGGTTTATGCGCATGCTCGTAAGACGGCGCGCGCGAGGGTCTAACGTGATCTCACGTGTTTCCATGGTTAAGTCACGTGCCATTTTGTTGCGCGCTGTGTGTGGAAGAAGAAAGAATGAGTCTCATGAGAACGCTGAGCACAAGGCCAGACGTAAGTCGCCAAGAGCTCCGCACACACTATAGGAGAACCTCTCCTCTCTGTCCCCCACTTTAGATCTGGCCGGTGGCCGTGATCACGGTGTTTGGAGCCGCGCTGGCCAGTGCCATGATCTTCAGGTCCAGCACACGCAACATTGACGTATCGTGAGTCCTCATTCTACGTGTGTAACCCTCGCTGACCCGTTCCATCCGCGTTCAGGTGGCGCCGCTCAACAAACCCTCACCCCAACGAGAATGTCCAATTCAACCAGCATACAAAGGCAAGCGGCATCGCTTCCACCCTGGTTCTGTAACGAACCACACCCCCCTCCTCCCCACTGCAGTTTATGAAGGTCGTGGACTACGGACAGCTGAAGGACGAAAGACCAAAGTTCTAACACTCTAGCTTTGTTTTGCCAGCCAAAACCTGGGACCACTGTATATATGTGTGCATGTGTACTCATAAACCATGCCCGGCACAGTCTGTAAGGTGCGAAGTTTGTCACATATAGTCTCTTGAATGTACCAATGAATAGACGACAGTAGCAAGTGTATATATACTATCGAACAGCCATTGTGTATGTCCTGCAGACACTAATTCACTCATATTTAGTACACTCAATCATCAATAAAAAAATCTAAAGATTCAAAGTTTTGATTTGTAGAGTTCGGCGAGGGCCTTAAAGAGGAATTCTGAAGGTCCTGGCTCAGTTGCTTCTCCTTTTGGAGGTAGCGCCACCTCACTGTGCAGCTCGACTGGGAAACCTTCGTGATCTGACAGACATATATACACGAGATGGAGGGGGTTATCGTTATAGACAAGTATTACCCTGGATGACCCAAGGAGAGCGGTAGATTCCCTGGCCTCCGTCCACTGGTATGGTGCAGCCTGTGATGTAGGCAGCTGCCGGCGAGAGCAGGAAACACACAGCACCTGATACCTGGAAAAAATTGAGCAAGTAATCAGGTATTATGGGGTTGACAATCAACCAGATTTGGAGAGGCAAGATAAGAATCGAGGCAAGTTTTATGAAGCCTTCAGGTTGAAGTGTGGGTGTGGATCTCTTGACAGAAAAAAAAACTCTACCTACAGCTCAGGATTGTGTGTTACTGTGTGGTGTGACTGACTTCCTCAGGACAGCCCAGTCTTCTTGCTGGGATGATGTGGAGACTTCTGTTGAAGGTCTCTGGGTCTGGGTAGTTGGCCGCAGCCGTCTCTGAATATATGACTCCCTGTGCGATCATGTGACAGTCACATGACAGTCACAGGGACAAGTAATAATTACAGGGGCAATGCAGTTGATGCGAATCTTGCTGGGAGACCATTCGAGTGCCATACTCTTTGTGAGGTTTTCAACTCCGGCCCTCGCTGCACCTGTATGTCTGGAGGCGACATCATCGTGTAATTAACTTAATTACCACAGGGGCTTACTCACGCCATCCCTGGAAACCCTTTGACCATATCGACAATGATATTCACGATGCTGCCTCCATGGTCCTTCATCCAGGCATGATAAGCTGAAAAAAAGAACATTTTCTCAAGAGTTAGGGCACCAGAAGAAAGTGTGTATACCATGTTTGAGGCAGTAAAAGGTTCCAGTGAGATTTGTGTCGATTACGGCGTGCCAACCTTTGGCCGATATCTCTGAAACTGGACTCATGAACTGCCCTCCTCCGTTGTTGACCAGGTAGTCTATTCGACCATGTTTTTCCACCGCATACTTCATCAAAGCTTCCACCTAAACAAGCCAAATTTCATATGTTTTGAGTGTGGCTGTGCAGTGGAATAGCTCTCTAAGGACACCCCTGAAATAAGAACACTTCTCTAGAGAGAGACCTTTCTTTCCCAAAGAACAGTTCTTGCAGCCGCTAAAATAAGGACACCTCGCTAATCTGGACGATTTCTTTTGTCCCATTTGTGTCTGAGATGGAGGGGTTACCTGTTCTTCGCTCCGGATATTGCACTGAAACGGGAATACACGGAGCGGTGGTAATGCAGCCCCGCCCACATCTTTGGAGAGAGTGTGGTTGATTTCCGCGGCCGCAGACTCGAGTGTCTCTCTCTTCCTGGAGGCGATGACGACACGGCATCCGAGCTCGGCCAGCTCCTTCGTGATGGCTCTCCCGATCCCCGTGCCCCCGCCAGTCACGATCGCTACCTTCCCGAGGAAAAGATCCTTCCGAAATGCCGTCCGCACCAACGACGCCATACTATACTGCAGTGTGGCGCATGCGCATGCGCAATACACCAGAATCAGAACCACGCCCCTCCACGTGCACCTATTTGATCGCGCGCGCTAAAAATACATTTTCGTCGCTCAATCGCATACAGACTGAAAAATTTGTAGCCCCAGTAGCCGCGAAAAGAGAGGAGACGAGGGAGAACGCTGCCCCATCTCAACTGAAAGAGAAACACCTGTCAGTGGCATTCACAGTTGCCGCTGCCAGCTCTGCAGAACCAGCGTACGACGAGACTATACTTCTCCGTGGTTCGCCACTTTCCTTCGCCGCGGGAACAACTGTGCGTTCCCGCCCAGCAGACGAAAAGCGAAAAAAGACTAGAGTTTAGACTGCGTTTTACTCGAGCTAGAACTGGAAAAGATCGAAGCCGAGGAGACATTGACGCGGGATCGTTCAAAGTTGAGGAGGGCTTCAAATATAGCTACGTGTGTTTCTAGGCTCCTTGTACCGACGAAGGCGCGCTGTGAATGGAGAAGATAGGGAGCAGCTGCGCGGCGACGTCGACCGGCGCTTCTTCCGTGGGGATGAGCGCGGGAGTAGTCGGTGGAGAGCTGTCGGGAGCGGGCGGGCAGCTGGACGGCGACCTGGAACTACACGTGGACGGCAGTCTGCTTGTGGGGGAGGACGCGGCGGGAGCAGGGGCTGCTGGCGAGGACGACGTGCTAGTAACGGAGCCCGTGCTGGGGATACGGATGCTCATGTCTAGTAGGGTGCGTTGCTTTTTGTACGTTGCGTCCTACACGTGCGTGTGTCTCTTGCATAATAGATGCCCACACGTAGTAATGTGCTGCTGGCTCAACTAACTAGAGTGAGGCTGAATGACTGTTTACATCATCCAACGAGGGCCGTTCGAGTAACCCCTTGTAATCTGAATTTCCGTATTTGGCATCGGGCAGTTGAACCCCGTAACGGCCTCTTGGCTCAAGTCGACTGCCTTTGGTAACCATGTTTATCGCTATGCGCCTGCCTACGCACTCGTACCGAGCACACCGAATGACTTGTTGCTAACGTATTAGTGTTATGTGCAACCAATAACAGTCGCTGGGCCAAGCATACCAAAAACCTACCGACCTTGTTGGACACTTCTCTTGGCATAGTAAGATGTAATGTGATACTATATGGTCTTTGGCTGTTTTATCGGTGGTCCAATCAAGTGGGGCTTTGTTTGTGTATGCCTAGTGCTTGCATTCCAGAAAACCTGTTTTTAAAACAGGTTCTTATCCTCCCTATCCCCTCTCTCCCTCCCCCTTCTTTTAGGACGTTGGAAGCATTATTGGGAAGGTAAGCCGTTATCGTACCTCAAAACTAATTATATGCTACCCCTCCATGTATATTTTACAGGGAGGAATGACTATAAAGGCATTTAGAGAGCAGGTACTACGAAACATTTTATACACACCAGTGTGTATGAACTTTCGGGATTAACTCTTTCGTTTCTTTCAGAGTGGAGCACGGATAAACATTTCCAGCAGTACATCGTCGGAAAGGTGATACTTTTTTAACCCTTTGGTCACGATGGACAAACCATTTAACCCCTCTCCCTCTAGATTGGTGACAGTCACGGGGAACCGGGAGAACATATGCAGGGCATTCGCTGCCATAGGAAAGCAAATTGAGCAGGTAGGACGGTGTGTGAATGAACGTGAGTAGCTCCATTTCTTAGTTGCTTCACTGAACTATGGTGTATGTTCTTACACGACCCGAGAGTGGTATTGACACGTGTGCCATGCACACGTGAGTGAGCATACTTACACGTGCTTAGTTCATTCATTTGTATAACATGTGCACAACTTTGGAGAATCGGTACATCTAAAGCTATACAAAAATCTTTTGCGGAGTTGCTACGCATACGAAATTGCTTCCTGGCTGTAAATCTTTTGATTGTAGATGGCTTTCACACAAATATAAGACCTGGGATAAAGTTTTATCTTGAAGCCTGGGTGGCAAATGAGTATTGTCTTATCACAACACCTTAGCTTGTGGTGGGGTGAGAGATAGTGAGAGAGAAAAGCAGATATCGCTGTATCTCCATTGTGGCATCCTATATAGCTCTCTAGGCTGGTTTCTGCTGCATCATGATGTGGTATACAGTGCAGCAACCCCTGTAATCAGGACACCAATGAGACAGAAGGAAGTGTCCGTGTTAGTGAGGGGTCTTTATTTCAGGAGGTTGATTTGCATGCAAGAACTGTTCTTGGGGAAAGAAAAGTTCTCCCTATCAGAGTGGTGTCCTTGGGAAGAGTCCCACATTATGCAGCAGACACAGAGTGATTTGCATTGTATAGCGACTGGAGTCACTAAAAACTGAATTTATAATGATCTATCGAGTGCTCACTTTTGTCTGGGTCCCATGTGCCGTCTCACTCTCATCTTTCCGCACTGTCTCCTTCCCTCTCCCCTTCCCTCCCTCCCTTCGTCTCCTCTCTCCCCTTCCCTCCCTCCCTTCGTCTCCTCTCTCCCCTTCCCTCCCTCCCTTCGTCTCCTCTCTCCCCTTCCCTCCCTCCCATCTTCTCCTCTCTCCCCTTCCCTCCCTCCCTTCGTCTCCTCTCTCCCCTTCCCTCCTTCCCTTCTCTCTCTTACAGAACACGCTGCAAGCCTCAGCACAAGAGGTACATATATAATATACTAGAATGCAGAACATTATTTGCAAGTAAACCTGACTGCAAAACTATCAGTTTTATCAAAAGCAGTGCTATAAACAGCAAGTAAGACAATTCAAGAGTAGGCTCACTCGCCAATTACCAATGTCATGCTAGCAATACATCCTTTATGCTGGAACTTCGTCTATGGCCCTAGTGCTATGGCAGCCACCTGAGTATTATAATTATGCTGGAACTTCGTGCAGAATGCAGACAAGTCGGAGGAGGGCGGAGTCACGGAGACCCTGCCCCCTGTTGCCACGCCTGACACGCCCCTCACCATCTCATTCAGACTGGTCATCCAGAGCTCTCAGTGTGGCTCGCTCATCGGGAAGGGCGGCACAAAGATAAAGGAAATACGAGAGGTGAAATTTTTTTTTGAAGTCGCCCACTATCTGAATACAATTTTTCTCTATTATCTGTCTCTCTTTCTCTCTCCAATCTTTTTTAGTTCACACTTTCCTTTTTTCACTTACTCCATTTTACCTCCCTCTCCCCCAGACGACTGGGGTGTCCATTCAGGTAGCAGGTGAAACTCTGCCCAACTCCACCGAACGTGCAGTTACAATATCAGGTATCAGTGAATGTATAGCTACATATGTATGTACAGTGGACCCTGTTAATCAGGAGACTAATGGGTGTTAGCAAGGTGTCCATATTTCAGGGGTTAAAGAACTGTTCTTGGGGAAAGAAGTATTAGAGAGGTGTCCTCGTTTCAGGGGTGTCCTTGGAGAGGGGTTCCAATTGAACAAGTGTCGTACGGGGGGGGGAGGGCATCAGTCAGAGGTCCATCGTGATAATGTTCCACTACATCCCTATTTTACACACACAGGGATATACGATGCTCTTGTGGTGTGTGTTGGTCTCATCTGCAACGTCATGCTGGAGAACCCTCCTCGCGGTCCGTTTATTCCGTATAAACCACACTCCTTACCCAACCAGGCCTACCAACCAAGAACAACTGTAAGTCTATTTGTTGGAATTCGAAAACCAAACAAAGTTTTTTTATCCTCTTTTTCTTGCAGCCGAATGCCACAGCTGGTCCTTATACAGCAAGTGAGTCTTTTTTGCCGATTCTGCCGTGCGCATATGTGTGTGTGTGGAGAGTGTGTGTGAGTGTGTGTGTGGTGAGTGTGGTATGATGTGTCCTCCCTTACCACCAGTCTTCAACACTGTAGCTGGCCCGGCCACTACCACCCAACAGATGAGGATACCCAATGACGTAAGCCACCGACGATGTAATTATTACCTCATCTAAAATGACATCGTCATTATCTCACTCCACAGTTGATCGGGTGTGTAATTGGAAGAAAAGGGTCGAAAATTCACGAAATTAGGTAAGTAGTACTCCTCACTCATTCCATCTGCACAAGTTAGTTCCAATCAGTCAGACAAACTCATATCACATTGGTTAACTAGAGTTTGTTAGAAAGTATAGCGTTGTTAGTATATAGAGCTCTTTTACAAACGTCATTGATGGTTCGTCATTTGGTCCACCATCAGAGTTAGTAGTGGAGCTCAGATCAAGATAGCTGGAAATGAAGGGGACGGAGGTGACAGGTTGGTCACTATCACTGGCACGCCGGAGGCCGTTGGCATGGCGCAATACCTCATCAACTCTAGGTACGTATGTTCCAGTGTGCAGGCCAAACCTCTGAATAAAGGTTTCTTTACATTGAAAGTGTACTTTATTCATAGGCGTCCCTTATTCGGAGGTAATTTGTGTATTAGTATGGGGCAGAGCCAAGTGTCCTTTATAGAGAGGTGTCCCTATGTATTAGTATGGAGCAGAACCAAGTGTCCTTTATAGAGAGGTGTCCCTATGTATTAGTATGGGGCAGAACCAAGTGTCCTTTATAGAAAAAAATGGTCCTTTTTCAGAGGTTTGTGTGAAATTTCTCTCTCCTCCTCTACTCTCTTTGCTGCAGAATACATTCAGAGGTTAACAGTTTCATCACCATGGGAACAAGCATGTCAGTATGACATCATCCCCACGTCGTCGTTTTGTCTCTCGTTCAAACTGTTTTCAATTTCACAATCCACCAATCGGATGATAGCGACCGAGTATTATATCACGCGTGACATCTCTACACGATGTGTGCGTGTGCGGAGGAGGGAGGAGATGGAGGGAGGGGTGGAGAGATAAAGGCACAGGAAATCCAAACTCTCACAGTTTATAACAATAATATACTCTCACACACACCAGTTTTGTGGTATACACCTTGCGTTAATTATGTCACCCACACATCCACAAACTGTATATACCATGGGACACGCACGGATTCCAGCACCTAATTCTGCATTGCAATGAAACCGACGTATTTGTAAATAATACAAATTGTGAAGAATTGTTTCATTTGTCATATATATATATATATATATAGATCACCACTTGTGTTAAAGACTGCAGTCACCACGGGTTGCATGCTGAAACATATCACAATCAATACTGATGGGAAAATGTAAATTTATCTGCAGGGTGTTTAAAACCTTGGCATAGCGCAACGTATTATCGTTATAGCTTACATAATGAAGAAAATGCTATACACGATGACCAGGTGGTGGATGGAAATTGCATGTGGTGTGTTTGTTGGTGTTCTGACAAGAGCTGAGCGTAGTAAGTTCCTCCCTCCACACACAGACTTGAAGAGATTTGTGACGATGTAGTAGTGTTTATGAGCAGGGAGAGTACAGGGATGTGGCGCATGGTGTGTGTGTGTGTGGTGACACGTGAGAGGTGAGTAGAACTGTGCGTCGTGGGAGGAAAAGGGGAAAGCTAAGAAGCTAAGGACCTCAGGATTCCGGCTCTTGGAGAAGCACGTCACCTGGATTGTCGTGCCACGTCAGTTTGCTCTCGTAGAACTTTATGACGAGTTGGGGTATCTTGACGTTGGCCTCTGTGCTCAAGACTAGCGTGGGATCCGGTTGTCCAACCCTACATTGTATAGGGAGACGATGATAAGGAGAAATATGAAGAGGGAGAGAAAAGAAAGAACTCCATGTTTCGCTACTTTTCATTCAGCACAGGAGAATAAGAGATCCCACAGGAAGAATGCTATCACGTCAAATTGACCACCAAGAAAAATTCCATTTACCACACAAACACACCCATCCGCCTCACCATCTGATGAGAAAGAGGATCTGCTTCTGCTCTTCGGTGGCCCCCATTATCTTCTCTGCCGTCCAGCCGAGCTCGAACCCACTCTTATTGGCATTGTTTGCAACTGAGTCACACAGACACACACGCAGTATAGACACAAACAAGATGGGGAAACTTAAGATTGAGAGAGAAAGCAAACTCTTCTCACCGTCTTCGTCTCCCGTCTCTCCTCCGTTGACCCCTTCTGACTTCTCCCCAGAAGTAGTCACAGGAGGTCCGGCCAGCGATGATTCCTTCATCTTCTTCTTCGCACGTTTCTCCTGTCACAAAAGACGTGTGTGTAAGAGAAAAAGTGGTTCAAACAAAGGTGGACACTAATTAGAGCTACACTGGACGCCCCAGCTCGCCAAAAGCTTTCCCTTCTACGCTCCGCACCTTGTCTTCCTGTGGAGTTATCTTCACGCTAGCTCCTCCGTGGTAAACGGCGGCCGCTGGCGTGCTCCCGGCGGCGGTGCTCGTCCCGCTACCGCTAGTAGTAACGGTGGTCGCCGTCGTCCCGGCAGCTACGCGCGAGCCCCCGTCCGAGGAGGAAGACAGCGAAGATGAAGACGAAGGAGCGGCTGTTTTGACGGTACCCGCGGTCGCTGTCTTCCTTTTGAACTCCTCCAGAAGGTCCTGACAGTCCAGGTTCTCCTCCGGCTCCCACGTGTTCTCGTCCGAGTCATACCCTTTCCACTTCAGCAGGTAGAGCGTTTTCCCGCCCACAATCTTCTTGGAGACGATCTTTTCCACGGAGAACACTTCTTCTTGCTCCTCTTCCACCTCGCGGGGAGCCTTCCTCTTTCGGTTCTTCTTGGGCATCGCGGCGACACGGAGCTAGTAGCAGCGCAGCTGGAAAAAGCCTTACGGCGTCCTCGCGAAGCGGTCCCACACCTACAGCCTTTGTTTGGCCGTCAAGTTGGTCCAGGAGAGTTTCGAACTTTCGAACTAGCTACACTTAGTCCAACTGGCGGCTATAGCTCCCTTGCACACCACGAGTGACGAGAGAAAAGCGTGTGAAAAGTGGTGGTGTGGCTTTCTCCACAGATCGAGCGCCAAAAGGTGCGCATGCGCACTAACATTATGGGCGCGGTCAACTAACTGTGCGTGCTAATTATACTGTGCGCGCGTGAAGTGCGCTGCGTCATGGCCGCTGGACAAAGTTTCTCTGCGAGTTTTTCGGAGCTGCTAGCAACCACAAGAGGTATGTGTATGACAGCGCACTCTCCCTTGAGCATTCTACCACTTACACCAATCGTGAAAAGACGAAAAGAATCGTTGTCTCACACTGCGCAGGTCATTTTGCGTGGCCGAGTGACGTCATCCTATACTGCCTCTCTAAAGGTGAGTATATATCAGTATTATCCAAGGAGTATATGCATGATACCAATATACACAGGCAGGGAGCTTCTTCCTGACAAGATTCGACGGCTCTGCTTTCAGGTAGAGTGTTTCCAACAGTCATTGTCAAATCTCAAATCAGCATACGTATATAGCTATTCCTCTCCTTCTCTAGACGTACTTGCAGTTGTGTGAGTTGCCGTTTGAGACCAAAACAGCTCACAATGCGGATGCCATGTCGCCAAATGGTTAAATCTCTTACATAATCTTACATAATTCCATTGCATAATTATTTGAGTGACTCCATAATAATATTCGACCACAGGTCTTGCACCGTTCCTTACTGTTAGGATAGGTCCCCACCTTACCATCTTCAGTGATTTTGAAAAACTCGTCCTATTTCTTGATGCTCAGGTAAACCAATATGTTTTACTCGCTCCTATAATGACTCGCGGCAATTTTTGTGAATGCACGTCATAATCAGATGTAGCTAATGTGTCTAGTTCCTTCTCCACCAGCACCTGGGACTGGAGTATGGCGGTGAGCCGACTCTCAAGGCAGACAATGAGGCATTCATCTCCCTCATTACCACCAGAGTGGTCCCTGCTGAGGTGAGATTCGGGGGATGCTGCCCCGCTCGAGTCTAGATGTCTGAGTCTCATGGCCTTGTGAATGGCACTCGTTTCCCCCTCTCTTCACCACTCAATATTATATTATTCTCCGTCTCCCACCTACACACCCTCTCAATGTGTTTTTTCTTTACTCTATATTATATCTTGCTTTACTGACAGGTTTACCAAACATGGATATGTCCCAAGAACGTCAATCAGGTGATAATATAATCATTTTTTCATTCCAGATGCAGTGAGTTACACACACACACACACACACACATTATTCGTCAAAAATATTTGAATTCAGACTGAGAGTGTAATTGTGTGTCAGAAATGGCTGAAAACAAATTAAGGCTGAGAGAACGTTGTTTAGGCGATCAACTCAGGTAAAAGTGAACCTTGGTATATAGGATTGGACTCTACAATGCCCAGTCCTTCAGATGTGGTCGGAGCGGCTGCCAAGATGCGTGTTTAGCGGGCATACCGAACCTAGCTTTCATGACAGCTTATCACATTACCTCAGCCACCCTGTCCACCATTGATTGCAATACGTTCTGCATTATTATACGTTCGCTCTATATTAGTCCAATGCTACCATGTAGATCTTAACTTTGCCACCCTGTCCATGCATATATATACTTTCGCTCTATATTAGTCCATAGCTACCCGCGAAATATTTTAGGATTTTTCTGGTAATGCAGCACACGGCACAGGTCTACTGTTCTGGAATGCCGTGGCCACTGAGGCATATCGTTCCGTGGCTGCGCCGTGCTGAGCTACTCTGGAGAGACTGGAAGTGGCTTACTACAAAGAAGGAAGACATTTTGCAGGATTTCAGAGCTGCTTGCGATGCACTGCACAAACGACTAGGCAACAGGGACGCGTTTTTTGATGGCGGGTAAGAACACCCCACCCCACCCCACCCCATGTGGTATGTTTCCAAAGAAACAACCCAATAGCCGTGTGAATACACACAGGCATGTACAAAATCAACGCATTGAGCGGTTCCGTGTTTGTATGCAAAGGCACAATTGTAGGTTAAAGTGGTGTGGCAACAACCCAGCCACCTACGCCAATGGTATATACACACAATGCCATAGTGAAGCTCGCTACAGACGAGATAGCTGGCATAAACAATCAGGCAGTTGAACACCTCTACTCTGGACACCAATGGAACAGGAGAAGTGTCTGAGGTAGAGGGGTGTCCTCGTTTCGGGGGTGCCTATTAGAGATATAGAGTATGAATTGTAGAAGGGGTTGGGCCAGCTACCACCGAGGTTTGTGGCACAGAATTCGCTCTCTTGGCATGAGGATTTTGCTGGAAGGTTAATTCGTTTTTCGGTCTAAACACAGCGCAGTGTTGTGACCGGTGGAAATTTTTGTCTGGATTGGCTAACAAACACCGACTGATGTCTCGTTATATTACGTATACTGTACTCAGCAGCTAATAATAGTGCCTAGACATGCTGTTTCTTAATGGAAGTGCGTCACTTTATGCGATTTTGTGGTGAATTACAAATCTGCACGCCTGAAGCGTACAAGAATGCAGACGACTCATGTTCTCTCTTTACTCTTCAGGCCCTCCTGTCTGGATGTATTGGTGCTCAGCCATGTGCAAGCAGTGTTAACTACAACTCTTCCTAGTAATGAACTCGGTGAAATAATCAGCGATTATCCAAATCTGGGAAATTTCTGTGGAACAATTTCGGCAAGTCACAATCTCATCATCAACTGACACACACACACGCACAACAAAACTTGTGTCGTTTTCCTCGTTAATATTGAGCATTTATGGAATTTGTTCATTGACGAGAGTTTGGTTCATGGTTTTGGCTCGAAGTCATGCCTGCGTTTTTTCTGAATGCGAAAGCGCGCATCGCCGTTCGTTCGCGCGGCCGGTATGTGCCATTGCCCAATCATCGTGTTGGCGTATATAAAGTCGTCAATGCAGTGAGTGTCCAGTGTAAAGAGGTCTTTTACGGCGGCGTAGACTAGACATGGGATCGCAGAGGTTTCTACCGTGTCTGCACTGCTTACTGATGCTAGTGCCGCTCTTGCGCGGTGCCGACTCGGCGTACACCTACGCGCGACGGCCCGGCAGCTATGCCGAATACGCATGGAGCACGACCCAAGATGGCTTGGCCAGGTTCAACTTCAAAACCTCGCAGGCCGACGCTCTCCTATTCTATCTCGACAGCTCTGGGAACGGGGGAAACTATTTGGTCGTGTGGCTGGAGGACGGCCGAATGAACGCTCGAATCAAAGTCGGGTCTGGGCAGGAGCTTAACGCGACTTTCGGGCTACATCTCAACGACCTGCGTCAGCACACTCTGCTCATAAAGCACTCTGGGGCCACGTTCGAGTTTTACCTTAACAATCATAAGACCAGCGAGCTCCGTTACAACGCCATGAATCTTTTCCTGACGTTTTCTCCTGTCTACATCGGGGGCCTGCCGACCTCCTACGCCCCAGACTACGAAGCCGCGTCCAAAATGCAGCCGCTAGCTGGCTGCGTAGACGGAGTCAGTTTCGCAGACGCCTCTCCGAATCAGATCGAGCTGAGGTCGCGGGAGCCTTCAGACACCAACGAACTCCAGGAAGGGTGCTCCGACGGCTGCGCGGACGACGCCCAGTGCAACGGGGGAAGATGCGTGCAAAACTGGTCGCGTCCCGACGGCTTTTTCTGCGACTGCAGCTCGGCAGACAATGTTGGAGAATACTGCACCGACCGTGAGTTCAAAGTTACGAAAACTAATTCGCGAGGCCAGTGAATCTAGCTAGGTATATAGGTTATTTGCAGGTTTGCAGGAAAATCTGGCGTGCAGGCTAGTAATGTTGTATATACCTGGGTCTTAGGGAGAGCTTTGTTCTAGTGCGGCGCCCTTAGCTCGAGACATTCCTATCATTCCATGAAAATCAACACACACTGTACCATAATGGTGGAGCATTCTTTTAGCCACTCTGCACAGCCACTAACCACTAACACTGGAGCACACACTTGCAATACCTGATAGAGGGTTACCGTGACACGTGCGATATTTGTAGCTCCCACTTTCCCTGACGAGGTTTTGACAGCCAAGAAAGATGGACTTTAATTATGAGCACACAAGGATTCATCACAATTTACTCATTCCACGTGCATGATACAACTTGGATGCCGCGGCAGATCAGAATTCGGCACGCATGATGCATAGAGGAGTTCTAGGTAAAAAGAAGAGGGCAGTGAATGTATAGCGGATGAGCCAATTACTTTGCTGCACACCCATGGGCCGGTCTTGGAGCCCAGTTTTGGCTACATGGAGGCAGCAGGGCTGCATGGTGTGTTGATCCATGAACGGCTTTTGAATCCAGTGGACTAGCCACCTCTCTCTCCAATTGGCCAACACACAAATAATAGCAGTAAGCGTTGTTAGCAGGTCTGGTTGTGGGTCAACTTTAGAATGTTCGCAGCATAAATAATCACTGAATATCTTCTCACCGTGCTATATAAGCCACACTGCGATGCTAACTGGATTTGGAAACAATGATTCTCTACAGCTTCAACACTTGGGAACATACAATGTTCAATGGTTAGGTATTACTTGGAGCATGTGAGGGGGCCATTCCAGCATCGTGAATCATTAATAATTACTTCTTGTTTTCAGCTGTGTGGCGATCCCACCGTACATCCTGACCAACTCCCTTGTTTACCACTGCCTCAGCCAAGAGTAGGATGACTCTTTGATGGGGGGGTCTTACGTATCTGGCTCTGGGTGCCTATCACGCATGATGTGCACATGACAGTCACGTGATCTCCCCTAAACCCCAATAGATTTGTCACGTGACTAGTTCAACTTCAGTTGGGTCTCATTTTAAAATTGTTCTCTGCTAGCATATTGGGCATCCTCTTCTGGGCATGTACAAGGGCTCTGTTTTACACCATTTGTCATTTCCTTGGAACCAAACGTCACTAAGAGATGCTTCCTTTCAACAGCATTAGCCTCTTAAAGAGTTGTCTCAGAGCCTTGGCAACAGGCGGAAGTATTCAGAGAGAGCGTCAGGCAGGCTGGTGAAGGTGGGTGTTGTTGGAGCGACATTGGCTGGCCTACGTGATTGACTGATTGCTTCAGAGACCAAGTAGAAACCACTTTGCTCGTGTAAGGACATGCCTTCTGTATGGTGTGGAGAAACGCCCAGTCCCATTAGCAAATGATCTGAGGCTGTTGGTGTAGAGATGTGCTTAAGATGTGCTTATGTTGCCGACACACACGAGATCAGTCAATGTTACACAAGTGCAAAAATCAGGTTTGCAGGTCAGTGTTTACCAACCCACATGTATTGATTGCCTTTTATAAAGTGGTTGTTGATGTAATGCGTAATAAGTGCATCGAAGCACTTCACAGCGTGTGTGTTGATGCTGCTCTCCATCCCTTATGGAGTCGAATTGCAATATGGGTCCTTGTGGATAGAGAGATAGGGCTTTGTTTTGCAATACGACACCTAGCAATGAGTCGTTTTTGGAGAGTGTGGGTTGCACTGATCCATTGCGGGGGAAGAAGACACGCATTTTTCAGAGTTCTGCAAGGGCCCTCTCAGTAAACCGATAAATCACTTTGGTCGTTGTGTAATGCAGGGTTGTTTGTGTGTGTGGAGTCATTAATGGTGGGGTAATCTCGAAACAATCTCCGAGCCTCTCTCACTTCCAATTATGGTACGAAGAGTTGTCTGGATGCGGTAGGATTTAATGGACAGTTAGTTGCCTCTGGTATGCTTGGTATGGCGTAAAGAAGGTGAAGGCGAGTGCATGAAATAAAGGATTGCCGCTTGCAATTTGGGCATCGCAGCTGCAGAGTTTCGTACGCCAAAAACAAACCAATTTTTAATGTTTTGTTTATTCCCCCCCCAGGGGGTGGGCTCAATTAGATGCTGCTGATTGGACAATGCATGTCACAATTAGGTGGAGTCCTGCTTTCATTGAGCCATATATTTTCTGTTCCGATTAGCGCAAACAATCGACAACACAACTTTTCAACTTTGCCAACTTAGGCAGAAACTGCCAACCTATCTAAAACCCTAAGGGGCTTACACACATCTCAGCTGGAGGTCTGGTCGATCGTATCGCAGCAATACATTATTATGCTTGCTCTAATAATCTGTATTGGTAGAAGTTAAGTCTCCTATACACCGCATCCTAAGCTCTACCAACAATTCCTTGTGGAGGCATTTCAATCTTAATACCAGCCACACGGTACATTTGGCAGTCGATGCCGTTCTGTTTACCCACAGACTGACCAGGAATGCCTCTCTACACGCATATCTAGAGTGTTCGAGGCGTGTTGTTCTGCTATTATCGGTGCAATTGCCACTTATAACTTCAGGGGGGAGCTGGGATGTCTGTCTTGTGTGTGTTGTCAGCTATGAGGGTGGGCCAGCATTTTTGGCCGGAGTCTCAGCTAAACCGGAGACCTCGTTGGGCAGTTTTCAGTGTCTCAGTGTAGGTGTCTGGGTGGTATACATGAGCTGCCAGATAACGCGTGAGAAATTAACGATCAGCAATATCTGTCCGTCCCCTCCCTGCAAACAAGCCCCGCCACAAGTTCCTATTCCCTCCATTCTTCTACCTCTTTCGCCAGACTCTCCTCTGTTTGTATCCCTATCTTCCTCCCTCCCTCTCCTCTCCTTTCTATTTATGCACCCCCCTCTCTCTATAATTATATAAACAACAGACAACCAAAGTCCGCCGCGAAGCCTTGTTGTGTAATCTCGCAGTTTGCTGTGACTTATACACCTTGTGCGGCACATCCTTTGTTTGTTCTGAGAACTCTCTTACAGATGTTGGCTCCCACTTGGGTCGCCTTTGATGTCTTATTCTCCTCGCCGTGCGACCCACGTTTGGCAATGTCTGGCTGGTGTCGGCAATGCATATGCACTCTTCGCTCCTCTATAGATCACTGTTGGCTGCCATGTCCATGACACCCTTTCTGTGCATTTGCATTTCTCTGAGGACACCAGCCCAACAACTCTTCGTTGTGGCACACGGGCACACAATGAGGTGTCGTGCAAAGGTCTAGCTCAAAGCATTCCAGTGAGTGTAGCGACACACTTTGAAGGAAAAACTCACAATTATGTAGTAAATATTTTGCCGAGAAGCCTTTTGTTAAACTGAAGTTTTCTCTCACGTTAGCTATCTATATAATATAGGCTTACAAGTATGTACAATGCACCCTCCGAGATAGGGACGACCTCTCTACAAAGGACAAATTAAACCGTATGTCCCATAGTGTCCCTTGTTCAGAGGTTTATTTTTTCGCCCACTTTCTGGTTTATTACCACTGCACTCTTTTCCCTTCTTCTGCAGCCTCATCAGAACACCAGCTAGTCCTGGCAGGCGATGGCTATGTATGCTACACCCTAGCTCCGGAACCGTTCACGCCGGAACACGATGACATCGCCGTACAACTCCAGTCACCTCTCCCTGCATCGGGGACCGTCATCACCGGAGAATCCAGGAACCGGTCAGACTCGTTTAACCTGTTCCTGGAGGGACGTACTCTTCGTTATGAGTTAACGATCGGGGATAATACTTTTCAAACCAAGTCGGCTCACCAACTGAGTGTATCTCGGAATTATCAGATATCAGCCGCCAGATTGGAATCAGAGGTCGTCATCACCATTCAAACGATATCGTCGACCAATCAGGTTACGGTTGCCGAGACGATCGAGATGCCCCTCCCACCGAGCACCCCCGAGCCAGTTTTTCAATTTTTCTGTGTAGGGGGCGGGACATTGGAAACCCGGCTGTACAACGGAGTGATGCAAAGAATCATGATTGGCCACGCAGCTCTGATAGGGACACACAACTCCACCCGACATACACTGGGCGATTTCATAAGCTTACGCAACAACCCTCCCTCCCCCTCGCTCGCCTTCCCGAAACTCGGGTTCAGTTTCGACGAGGTCTCGTTCCAGTTCCGCTTGGCCCCGGACACCGAAACCGGTGTCATTCTCAAAGCCGGGAACCAGGCGTTCGACTTGAGCTTGACCATCTTCAATTCATTCGAAGGTAACGAGATTCTTCTCGTTGCCGGTCATCCCGTAGTCTGCGAAATGAACGTCGTGGACAACCGGTGGCACCTGCTCGAGCTACGAAAGACGGAAACTGCAGGAACACGAGGAATAGCGGTGACCTTTGACAGAAATGCGTCGACCTCTTGCCAAATTAGCATCAGTCAGGAAAATTTTGATATTTTAGAGAGCAATTCTTCGGTTCTCGAACTTGGGCCCACAACGACGTCGGCTATCTTTCCCGGCAATCCGACGCCTTTTGAAGGCTGTTTCCAGAAAATCCGGTTTACGACGGGTTCCGACGTCTTCCGGCCCAACCTCGAAGTCCCGATAATGCTGTATGATCGTTTCTATGGCGACGGTTGCCGTGACTGCCAGCCAGATTACGAGGAGACGTACTGCAAAAGGACCAACGGCGTATGTCGAAGTAACGGATTCAGAAACATCTCTTGCGAATGTCGGGAACCATACCTTGGACCGACCTGCGAATGCCTAGGGCCCTCCATTGGACCATCTTGCGAAGGTAAGGGATACTGATAATAATATTGCAGATAGACCTGTCGGCATACATTTTATTAATGGAGGGTTTTTGAATTATATCACATGTGTAGGGTAAGAGTAAAGCTAGTAGCGAATACCCTAGGACTTGTGACTGCTAAGTTATTGACTGTAAAAGGACAAGCTATGGTTGTTCAGGACAATCCTTTAGTTAGGACAAGGCAGCCTTCAGGGACACCCCTCTTTAGTTAGGACAAACTGTTCAGTTCAGGACAGCTTACCTTTCACACTGCCCTACATAGCCACAATGGGTAAAAATGGAGGATGTTTTGCAGGAAGAGCGTTTTGTGCTGTCTGTTAAAAAGTGGATGTTTTTAAATCTTGGCAAAGGATGTTGTGTCCGTCCATTGGAAATTTGTTTCTTGTAAGAGGAAGTTTGATAGAAATATGCAAACAGTTCCTTTGGGATCCTTGATATTTCATTCTTTGGCCATTTTAGTCCCGCTTCAGATAAAAATATACACAATAGGTCGTGCAATAGCAAAGCCCATAACTAATAATCGTGGTGCTTATATCCATGGCACACTATGAGAATGTAAGATTAAATTAACACGTGGTGTTCATTGACAGTGACAAATTTGACCCCAAAATGTACCCATGGATCAACCGTTGGCCGAGTCTGACCGCCTATGACCGTGGCGACACTATCATAGGAAACAACTGTTCCTTTGAGTGGAGTTGGCAGCCAGCAATTTGCCTTTCATGTCTCCTTTCACTTTAGTTGAGCCACTAGCGGGAATGCCATAGATGGCAGTGTCCACTTAGAGTCGCTCTTTTGTCACCGGACGAGGTGTGAATTAGGACATACCCCCCGTGGCGTGAGTGAGGACCTGTGGGCAATGAGTCAATTGCTCGAGGCTTGGGGAGAGAGAGGGATGAATGGCTGAATCTAGTAGTTGGAGAAAGGGGGGGGGAGAACGTGTCGGCCAAATTAGGGTAAGCCTCCTGGCCTCGTCAGTTTGTGGGATTGGGATGAAGAATGGTTCTGAGTGGGTGGCGTGATAAAAGGAAAGAGGGGAAGGGGTGAAAGCCAAAAGAGGGGGGTTTTGCTAATGCAATTATACCACATCGCTCTTCACAGTTTGGCCAAGTAACTCGTGGGCTTCAGGCATGATAATAATCTTGACCTCACGAAAATTAATAGAACCAGTTTTTCCAATTGTGTCTTTGTGTTTACACCCTCGCACAAATGTAATGTGTGGAAGTTGTGACGGCAATTACTTTTAAACGGGCAATAAGCAAGTTTGATGGGAAAGGAATTGGCAGAGATGGGGGGGGGAGAAGCAGGAGAAGGAAAGATGGGGAGGGTAGAAACGTGATTGATTAGAAAAATGACGGAGAGAGGGAGAAGGGGGGTGTGGGTGCCAGCTGCCAGAGGCCTAGGTAGGGGGGCAGGTAGGCATTCACTGAGGCTTGGCTGACAATTTGAAATCAGATAATACCACGACCCAGATTTCAAAATTATTTGGAATGCCGTGCGCATACCACGGTGTGTGTGGAATGCTCAGGTGGTTAAAATTCAATTGTTGCTCATCAACCCGCTAATTATAATGGTTGCTCGTTAACGCATCATTCATTACCTAATATGGCTTCCTTCATGCAGGTCTGACTGACCCTCCCACCATACCTTCTCCCTCCTCCTCTTCGCCATCCTCCAAATTCTCCACTCCGTTGACCACACCCACCGACCCCACCGTCTCGGGGAACAAGGGAAAACAATGGCGACGGAACCGATTACGACACCCTCGGTCAGTGGGTGGGTATCGGCACGGCGATATTCCTCGTCCTCATCCTTCTGTCGATCATGATGGTATTCATGGGTTGCTTTGTTCACAGCCAGCGTATAAAACGTGTCGGTTTCTACCGAACGCACGAAAACACGCCGAGCGTAAATCTTCCTCACTTCAGTGCCTCGCTAAAGACAGCTCATTCCCATACACTCAACCTGGAACAGAACCGGGTCACTGCAATCACAAACGGACGCACCGTACACCCAACATACGCCAGTGGAGAAAAAGAATTCTATATATAGACTGTTTCTATTTTTTGACCACCTCCATTTATAGCATACACTCAATCTCTGTATTATTATAATAATATTATGTCTCTCGGGCAATTCTCATTTCGTTTTTTACTCTGAAATTCAAAATCCACACGACCTCTTTGAATTGACAATCCACACACACTTATTCATCCGTCCATCATCTTGCTTTTTAAAACACGTATAATTATATACACACTGCATTGTCCCATTCACTGCCATTCATCCTCAGTTGCAGTTTCTCAATCAAAATTTTGACAGCACTTGATTGGCAAATTACACGCTACAAATTGATGACCGCCTCTTATGGCCCAGGGCTCAATGCACTGTAAGGTACACACTTTACAGTGCCATCAAGCATGAGCAAGGCTAAAGAGTTACAGTCGAATTATGCACACTTTCCACAGAGAACTGTCTCAGTAACGAAATTGTAAATGACGTGAATAAGTTGGCTAAATAAAGCATTAATTTACATTCTTGGCATGGTTCTATATATTAATCACGAAAGTGCAAAGTTATGTGATAAAAACGCAGTGTTTGTTGGCCTTATGGGAACAGTTTGAACAGCAATCTATCGATGTAGTCGAAAACGATTCCATCTCTGTCTTCATGTACACTTGGGTTGGGGAGTGTCGATGTCACATGACCGTCACATGACTTTGTAGAATGGTCTAATAACGGTGGGAGGTCGGGAAGAAAAGGAATGGAGACAGCAAGCTCATTTGTCGAGGTTAACGGATGTGCAAGGCACTTTTCAAGCGTAACCTGGTGGCATTCTACAGGCAAAGTTTCACCTCTCACAACTGGCCTTTTCTGTGCTTCGTCTAAAGACCCCTTACTCGTTCTGTCTCTCCTCTCCACTTCACTCTCTTCCTCCCTCATTCCTTACCCCTTTCCCTTCTCCCCCTCCTCCCCTCTCGCCCAAATCCACACCCCATCCTCTCTCCAATCCCGTCACCCACACCGGTCGAGTCAACGTCGAGGGGATTTCCCTCTTGCCCTTACTGCCACGCCCCCCAATATCCAATGGCACAACCACCCCCTCTTTCTCAGAATCACATCGTCGTTTGTGGGTCCTAGAACGCCCCGAATTTCCCGTTCCGTAAAAAATCTCACTTCGTACGGAGGGAAAGCGCCGCAGGGGGGGAAAACTCTCTCTCTACTGGGGTAAGGTCAGGTTTTGGTACGGAACTGAGTCTCTGCTCCAACAGAATGCGTCTGTGACCTGCCAGAATTACAGATTTTGGCGTCCGAGGAGTGTTTTGATCAGAACTGCCTTTGGTTGAAATATCGTTGCCGTTCACTGCATTCTCTCCCTCGTTTTCACTGGCAATGTTCGTTCAGTTTCACTTGGCAAATCTTGGGCTGTAGTGTTGATCATGTGCTCGACATTATCCTCTGACTTTCTCATACTCACTGTCACATGACGGTCATGTGATATTCCATTTCCATCTTGGGTCACACGAGGATCATGTGATCCATTTCCATCTTCAGTTGCAAGAGATCCATTTCCCTTTGCTGCCTCCACCTCTGTCACATGATGATCATGTGACTCCTTCCTGGGTGAGAGGAAGTTCACTCCACTCGCTCGTTTCCGACGGCGACCGTGACTCCTCTCCTCTAAAGATCTCCTGACACTCGGCACTGATGAGGAGGGGCGTGGCCTATTGTCCTGGCAACCCACAGCAAACAGCTGCGAAATTAGTGCAGGAACCTCATAGCTAGTCTGAAAGAAACATTTCAAGTCACATTCCCATTCCACACAGAGTCCCATTGCCATACCAGAGGTGTAGGATCCAGAAGATGGTCAAATACAGACATATCACATCGCGAAGATAGGATCTCCGACTTATTTCCAGAGAAACTGCGAACTATGGGACGAATACATCTTGGCTTGACCACACCCACAAATTCCACCAGCTCTTTGAACGAAGAATGGTCGGAGTAGGGCACCACCTGAGCATGTGACTTGTCACCTAAGGTCACATGACCATCGTGTGATCCTGACCTTGATGCTGGGGTGGGTTGGGGTGGGCGGGGCACTGTCACCAGAGAAGATGCAAGTCGGAAGAACGACAAGTACTGAATCCTCGTCCTCAGGAGTTACTGTCAGCCTGCGCGAAAAATCTCTCTTTTCATTGAGAAATGCAAAGTACTTGCATGCAGCATCCTAAAATTGTTTGCAATTCTGCCCTCTCCCTCCCTCTTCACTCCCAAAATGACTCACCCACTCCTCAGGGCAATATGAAAGGGAAGAACCCTCACAAGCAGCTGTCGACGTCGTCGTAAACACATTCTCGGCCTCAATCAGACGCAGTGTCTCGTACCTCCCCGGAGCCACACCCACCCACACCCCGAGACTCTTCGCTATGGCAACCAGGAGGTCCTCCTTGCCCAAGGTGTGAAGCCCCAGAATCGTCATCCCGTCTTTGTTGCCACGAATCAGATTGATAATCTCCTCGGTAACCGTCTCCTAAGAGAGAAATAAACAGAAACAACAGCACATGGTCCATTAAAGCCGCATACAGTAGATGCAAAAAAATTATGATAAGTCAGAATATTACCCTTAGCAAAAAAATTTTAGTATAAGGGTAAATGTTGGTGAAAATGGTAGTTCTTACTCTGAAAAAAAAGCTGGCACTACAAAATAACAGGTTGTCTTGCCTCCTGCAAAATGTGCCAACAAATTGCTGTATATGCTTTACGTTAGAGTTGTATGGAATTGATTCATGGAAGGGAGGGTGAGATGTGTTCACTCACTCGAGGAGGGAAGGTGCAAGACTTGTGACAATAGGTGTTGTCAAGATAGAGAAGATCCACTGGTCTGGACTGAATCAGTTGAGATAGGGCCGACATGGTGGGAGAATATCTGACAGAGTGAGAGATAGGAATAGAGGGAGAGAGAACCACGTTGAGCAAATTGTGGGGTGCATAATTTCAGTTGTTGTACACGAGTTAACGTAAATCGTGAATTGTGTCTGAGTGCTGCGTGCAGTTGAAGAGCTGGATGTGTATACACTTGTCTCGTGCAAATGAAGAGAGAGTTGAGGAGCTCACCTGAAATCTCCAGTGTAGAGGATTCTCCCAAAGTAGCCCTCGAAGAGAAACATGGCCGATCCCGGGCAGTGGTTGGCGTCGAGCACAGTCACACTCACACTGACTTTCTCAGTGGGTCCGACCACATGGAGCAGCCGCGACTCTCCTATCTCCAGTTCCACCTGCGAGGGGAAGAAATCACAGCTGATAGGTTGTATAGCAGGAGAGGAAAGAGAAGGGAGGAGAGGAGAGAGGAAAGAGAAGGGAGGAGAGGAGAGAGGAAAGCTGAGGAGAGAGATAGTTAGCTATCGGCTTACGATGAGGTCTGGGCGGATTTTGAATTTGTTGAGCAGTAGACGTGCCGTCAGTGGAGTGCAGTGAATGTGGTAGGGCCAGTTTGACGTTAGTCCCGCACGTGTGGTCTGGAAGAGAGAGAGAGAGAGAGAGGGAGAGCGAGAGAGAGAGAGAGGGGAGGTGAAAGTATCAAGATTCTAGTGTAGTGTTCGGTGTACCTGCGTGTAGGTGAGATAGAAAGAACAGCGCCCGCGGTGGTACGTTCTTCTGTCTCCAGTAGTCCACCACCAGCGGTGTCCCGGGGATGTGCAGACCGTTCATCGCCTTTGTCTTTTCTACCAAGTTCCACTAGTGCTTGGCGCCATTTTTTCGCGCGCGATTTGGCCACACCCACACATGCGCATGCACACGCATGCGCAAATTTCATTAAATTTAGAACGGCGCTTGCGTAACAATTGCGACATTTGTTACCGTGTTTAGTAACGCGATTGCACCATCGCTCAGCTGCGAGGTGAAATAGCTGCCGCACCGCCTTCCTGGCACAGTTTCACCTGTTTCTTGTTTTCCTGACGAGTCAGCTTCTTGCGCCACAGCTGCGCAAACCCCTCTCTCTCGCTCTTCGACGCCGCCGCATCAGCGCCGCCGCTCACCCAGGATCGGACGAACGAAAATAGGACCGGAGGAAGCGCCGGCTAGTCCACACAGGGGCGCCCAGCCCATAATCCACACAGACAGACCCCCTCCACCGCTCCAGTCGGTAGGAGGCGGAGTTCGCAGCCACTGCCCGCACCAGGCGCGAGAAGGAGCAAGTTCTCACGCGGACAAGGCCAGGAAAGCCTTCTGCAGTCGATCCGCCGTAGGTACCCAAACTAGGGAACCGAATTTCGACGAGAAACCGACGTCGTACGGTCGTCTAGCGTAGAGACAGACGATTTCTATTTCCCCGAAGCCCTCCCTATCTGTCAACATTTCATTTTCCCAGGAATTCGATCTCAACGAATTTCTGCAATGTGTACCGCTTACCTCGCCAGTTTTACCCTCGAAAACATTATGGACAGAAAAGACCCCGAATGCTCACGTGGTCCGGGAGGACTTTCGTTCCGGCTCCTTACGAGCCAACCAAGGAGAAGGCCTCGTGGTGCGACGGTCTGACAATGTCACCTGCTCCCAGCGTGACACCGGTGTCAGTTCCACCTGCGCTGGACCTATCCCTGCTGGAGTTTAGCCCTGGTTAGCTGTCCCTTTCATTACTCCCCTCCTGTCACTTTCAGCTTCAATATCCCCCACCCACACACACACACACCACAATAGTTCCTATTGTTTTTCTTCTTCCTGCCTCCAGATATCTTCAGTGGCCCTCAACCTCCTGGAACCGACTCCACTGACACTGATCTTTTTCACTCCCTCCTGGCCGAACTAGGCCCGGAGATATTCTCTCTTACTCCGTCCAACCCCTCCCTCCCTCTCCCCCACTCCCCCATGCTTGTACACACCCCTCCCCCTGCTCAAGTACCCCTCTGCCCCCCTACACCGTCGCCCTCCCTCACACCTACAACCCCTTTCTCTTCGACCTACTCCTCTGCCCCATCCTCAGTTCCAGAAGCTCCTGCACACGACACGGAAATCGACGATCCGTTCCTGGTCAGTTTCGCTGACCTTGACGGACTCCTGAAAGATTCAACTCTATTCGAAAACCCCACGTCTGCTTCTCCCTGTTCCGATGTACCATTCGTCTTCCCTCTGCAAGAAGACGGACTACTGCAAGACTTGTCCGAGTGTATGTCTCTTTGTTCGCCGTCTCTCTCCCCACACTGTGACACCCCACTCACCCCAGTTTCTCTTGACCTCCCTCAGACAAACCCCACTCTACTGGCTTCCTTGCCTTCCCCCGAGGCATCCATCCTTCATGATCACACCTACACATCCTCCCTCTACAGCTCTACGAAACGCTGGAAATACTTCCAGAAAGCGAAAGGTTTCAACAACCGACTCGCTTCTCTCGCCCGTTTCTACCGATTCCGAATGCCCTCCTCCGAAACAGAAGAAATCTCTGGTGAAGGACGACCAATACCACTCCCGTCGTCAGAAGAACAACGTGGCCTCGCAGGTGTCCCGCTCCAAGCGGCGGGTGAGATACCGCAATCTCGACTCTCGAGTCACGGAACTCAGAAGGCCAATGCTGAACTCCGAGAGAGAGCGAGGCAGATGGAGGCCGAGGCCGAGGCACTGAGAAAGAAACTTGTACAGAAACTCTCTGCGTGAATTTTTACCTATTTGTATTTTTGTGTTTAGCACAATTAATATTTTGACCACTTTATTGCTGCAGATATAAACGTGATAAAATCAGAGCCTAAAAGCATGCGAAAGGTCCAGTTGCTTGTGACAACTCGTCTAAGAGAGCCACGTATAATATAGTTAATGGGTTGGGTGACAAGTACTTCTTTTGTCTTGATCTGCCACATGTAGCTAAAAGAATTTGCTGATGCCTACGAACATCAGGTGGGAGAGTTAATTCAGCTGAACAAGTTGTGAGAGTCTGAGGCATGCAGTGGTTACTGAAAACTCCCACTGTAACAGTGAGAGCAGGTTGGAGCGTGACGCAAAGTTATCTCGCCACTCCCCTCCGGACGAGAATCCTAGCTATGCCACATTATCCCCCAGTGTATTGCCGACAATGGGCCTAGATAAATTGTCCCATTGATCAGTTTCCTTATCCAGCTGAACGTTGAATGCTTGCTCGCTGACAGTCAAAGCACACAGTTAGCTACAATCTCTTAGCTGTACATAAGTAGCTCTTTTGTAAGTTAGCTTGCTGAAGTGTAAGAGTTGTTAAGGATGAAGTTTGGTGGATTGTTAGTGCTCCAACTATGGGCCGCTCTGTGCCAGGAGTGCAGCTGCAGCCAGCAGTCAGGGTGAGCCAGTGATATTTTGGGCTGAATCGTATAAGCCTGTGCCATACTGGTACAATGTTGGTAGCTAGACTACCAACCTGCCAATACATTGTCCAAACTAGACCATCAACCAATGCCACAAGATTCTAGCTAACACTGCTGTCGGTGGGCCTGGCTATTATACTGCAGTAGACTATGGTCTTTCACCATTAGGTCTGTCTCGAGCCAACCTTTCCCAACAACAACTATTTCTACCGGGGCAACCAGCAGCATGATACTTCTACAACCATCAGAGGACAGTAGTTCAGTCATAGAAGCTCCTACTACTGCCACAGTTTCGTTTTCACCTCTGGCAGTCTCCCCTTCCTCTTCAATGGCCCCTTCAACCACACCCAACACAAACACGGGTTAGCTGCTTGTGGTTTTGGAGGGAAAATCCCACCGTTGCATATTATTTCACAGTTCACTAACTCTACTCTGTATAGTTTGAAATTATAAAGTAATCAAGTCAGTAGCGTATATATAATTTTCACTATAGTCCTACCCCAAACATCTGCCAGCATCTCAACAAGTGAATTTCTCATTGCACCGACAACTTCAATCTCACTGGATTCCATGGTGCTAATGACCGAGACCTTGGTGGTTACACCCACCAGCTCTCCCCCGGCACCTGAAGATCCCTCCACAGAAGCCCCCACTACTTCATTCATTGTAAGTGTACTCAAAATGATTTTCGTGGGGGAATACTGCTGATTTTTTTCCTACAGGACTTTGTGAGGGATCATTCCGATGGTTTCGGAATAGTTGGAGCATCGCTGTTTTTTGTCTGTGAGTTTATGCGCTGCCGAGTCCTTTTTCACTCCCTCCATCTCTAATCTCTTCCCTCAACAGTGACCATGTGTGGGTGTCTGGTTCTTGTCCTCTGTTGTCGCAAGCCGCTCATAAGACGACGACAACAGAGACGTCATAAGAAAATCCTCGAAAACGCAGGCGATGTTTGGATCGTCAACGAGAATGCAACACTGGGTTCTGATTGTCCCATACTCAACTCGCCTTCCAATCACCACAGAGCTGCGGCAGCTGTTCTCCAGAGGCCCTCGGATCGAGCTCTCATCCTCTCCAACCCTCAGGCCTCGCAGTCTTCTCTACTGCAGTACCACGATATTCCTGACTTAACAGGGTCCCCCGCGTTGCCCACCCTAAGTCCAATGGTCTCAGCGAGTGGACTAATTCTGTCACCCATGAGTCACCACAACTCTGCCACTCAACTACTGCTAGGCGGTGCACAGAATGTCCCTAACCCTTCAGCTCCACCAAAACACCACATTTAGACAATAGTTTAGTTTGTGTGTTACTGAGGCGACTCAATCAACTCACCTCTCTTTGCTATGAAGCTGACATGACTTTACAGCAAAGGGTATTTTTGGTGTTTTTACGTGTGAATGTAGATTTTTAAAGTGTGATGTGCTGTAAAAGTAATATTGCTGGAACATACAAAGTGTGTGCGGCCCAGAGGAAATAAGAAGGAAGATATGGTAGATATGACACTCAATTGAGTGACTATTTCTCTGTTCCAAAGTATAAAAAGCCAGAATCTCTAGCCTGTAGAGATCGAAATGAGTTGAGAGCGCGTGCAGTGTGTTTAGCTACTAGAAAGATGACTAGCTCCAGCTGCACTCTTCTGCTGGTGGTGCTAGCAAGACTTCTGGGTTCTTGTGCACTCTCAGACTGCTTCAGCGAGTATTTCAGTGTCGGGTGTACTAAAAAGTGTTGCAGCTTCATCCAGTGTTGTTGAAGACAAGGGCTACATTGTCTTTATGCCAGTAACGACAACCAATATCCCAATGATTTTTCCTACTCCCACCACCAGCATAGCACCAACTGCAAGCAGTCTGCCACCAATACTGCCAAAACCGACAGAGCATTTTTCATTTGCCGTGATCGTGAGTGAAAAACAGAGCCTATAGATGATGCACAATAAGCAGAAACTCATTTTTCACTACAGAGAAAATGGATACTGAAGCACCCTATCATCACTGGGCTTTCTGCAGCCGTGACAGTCCTCAGTGAGCCAAGCAAACTAGCTAATATATAACCGGTTAGACTAAAATTTCCATTTTTGCCGCAGGTTTTCTTCTACTGTGCATGTGTTATCTGTGGATTTGCAAGAGACGAAAGCACATCATCTACTATGTGGTGGGAGACAGCGAGCTGGACGAAAAGGAAGAAGACGATGAGGCAGAAGTTCACTGCAATCCAGACGCCACTACCACTAATCCGTACACCGATGACCCGGACACCGAAGACGACATCGATAGCGGCATAAGCGGAGAAGGCAAGTCTTGCCGGACTAGACACCCTGCAGTCGCACGACGTGGCAGTGCCCCCTCGCTCTCTCCCTCCGCAGTGGCGGCCTCTGTACAGGTGGTCATGGAGCTGAAGGCAGCGCAAGGTGCGACGGCAGCCAATCCCAACAGTTCCCACCAGGAAACGGCTCTGGTGACTGGCGAACCGGAGCCAAGCCATCGGGAAACGGACACGGACTTCCGACGAAGCGAGCACGAAGTCGCGGCAACCGACTACGAGGAAATCCCAAGTCTGGACTCGCTCACTTTCGACTGGCAGGTCGAACTGCCCGCCACCTTCTCGTCCTCCTCCGAATGGGCCACCCTTTCAGCTGCCCAAAACAGCGATAGCCTCAACCTCTCGGAAATCAGCGACATAGCTTGACGAATAAACAAACGGCACAGAAACACTATTAAAAATTTTGTATGCATGTGTTAGTGTCACACTGTTTCATTTGATATCTAATGAAGTTCGCAATAAGTCCTCTGCCTGTTTGCGGTTCTCGAGCTGACTTGCTTTGCCTTGGAACCTACCCTTCCGCCCACCACCCTTCCCACCTAGCACTTCAGCCACTCTAAAATTTTAGTGTCCAAAATTTTATGTAAGGGAGTGGGGGGGTAAGAAATTTTTTTAACTTTGGTCCGAGTTTAGCGACGTCATCGTCGTTTCCACGCGCCAACAGGAAGTGCCCCGCACCCCTTTCCCCGCCCACCGTCACAAATACAAAGACACCCTATGGGAGAGGTAGAATGGAATGGAGACGAAAATCTGTCTCGGTTCCATACCTTTGGAGCTAGTTCGTTTCCTAGCACATTCATGAATTCCGTATCCCCATCTTCCCTGGAGTATGGAAGATCATAATTATCACATCACTAGTGGTGGAGATTACGTCATCATTACATCACCACTCACCTGTGCAGGTTGAAGAAAGGCCGAGGGGAAGGGGAGGAGAGATGCAGTTGAGCCATAAGTTGTGCTATTTCTCGCAGCTGGGCACGAGTCACTTTTGCTGCAACTCTGTTTGACTTTAGCAGCTTTTCGACAGACTCCCTGTGCTCATCCATCGATACACTACCAACAGAACAATACAGATAATTATACAGGAGACACTCTCTAAGGAAAGGGTGGGGGGGGGGGGGGGGGGGTGGGGGGGGGGGGGGGGGGGGGGGGGGGGGGGTGGTGGGTGTGTGTGGTGTGTTTGGTGGTGTGGGGGGGGGGGGGTGGGGTGGGGGTGGGGGGGGGGGGGGGGGGGGGGGGGGGGGGGGGGGGGGGGGGGGGGGGGGGGTGGGGGGGGTGGGGGGGGGGGGGGGGGGGGGGGTGTTGGTGGTGTGTTTTGTTGGTTGTTGTGTGGTTGTTGGGGGGGGGGGGGGGGGGGGGTGGGGGGGGGGGTGGGGGGGGGGGGGGGGGGGTGGGGGGGGGGTGGGGGGGTTGGTGGTGGGGGGTGGGGGTGGGTGGGGGGGGGGGGGGTGGGGTGGTGGGGGGGGGGGGGGGGGGTGGGTGTGGGGGGTGGGGGGGGGTATGTGAAGGGGAGGGAGGGACAAAAGGGAGGTGTGAGGAGGACGGAAAGTGAGTATGGTGAGGGGAGTGAGGAGTTGAGAGAGTCGGGTGGAACTAATTGGTAGAGAATGAATTGCATTCGGGAAGATTTCAATGTGTATCGTTACAAAATGAGGTTACAATAGGGGTGGAGGACAAGAAGACAAGGAAGGAGGGGAGGCCACCAACGGAGGGAAGGGAGGGGATGCAATGAGGAGAACCGAGGGAGAGGGTGACATAAGGAACTGTGGGAACACCCCACAGAGAGGGAGGGAAGGACACTGAAATGAGGACCCCTCAACAGACACCCCTGAAAAATGTGACACCTCTCCAACAAGGACACAGTTTCTCTCCCAAAGACCAGTGCAAATAATAAGTGAGGGGTGTTCAGTATATAGCTACCTGAGTAGCTGGTTGAGTGTACGTTCGTTGGAATAAGCCCTTTCGAGGTAGTGCCCGACACGTCCGCCAGCAATGTAGGAGAGTAGAGTCGAGCCTTTCTTTGACTCCGTGTGCAGCAGTTTGATGCACTGAAGGTGACTGAGGTTGGAGACGTGGGTTCCACAGCACATGTTAGTGTCTATCCCTATAGACGATAGTTAGAGAGAACCGGCACAAGGTCACAGTGTGGTTGTGCGAGTATTAAAGAATTCCACTTTTACCTTCAATTTCCACAACTCGTACTTCACTCCCATCGAAATCATCTGGAAGCCCACGCGACCTTACCTTCAAAAAATCAACAAAATGTGGTGTATATAGCTAATACTAAATTTTTAGGTGATAGTATTATTGAGCAACATTACCAAACTCCGCAAGTATACATTTTACTAATGGCATAGGTATAATATACGGTATAATTTATACCCTCTCTAGTTCCGGGGTCCCAGACCGGTACCAGTGTGGAGTCATGGGAATCTGACTCCTGATAGCCTCGTTGCAGGTATCCTCGATGGCACGGAGCTGGGCTGGAGAGACGGACTGGGCAGCCAGCTCAACGAAGCACCTACTGCCAGCTCCAATGGCCAGATTCCTGGGTGGGAAAAATAAGAAGAGAACTATCACAGCGTGGTGTGATGTAATGCATGCCGTATAACCATGAGGTTGTCTTGTGGCCAAAGTCTCGATCGGCTATTGCAGTTATGAGATGCTGTGCTGCAAAAATACAGTGTGTGTGTGTGTGTGTGTGAAATGGAACAGGATTAACCAGCAGCATTATTTATACTCCATAGCAGTAACAGCAGAGTCTACAGTGGAACTCCTCTCTAAGGACACCCTAAAAGGACGCCATTTCTTCCCCCAAGAACAGCTCTTGCATGCTATTCGAACACATACAGGCACCTCAGTAATATGCACGCTTTCTTCTGTTCCGAATGGTGTCCTGATAGAGGGTTGCACTGACTGGATTAATACACACAACCAGTATGTTGGTGTTACCTGAGTGTTGCTGCATGTGGTCAAACCGACGATTCCAGTCCACCTCCACCTCTACCTCGGCCCCCTCCTCCAGGGGTTCCTCCGTGAAATGTACAGCAACTGCCCCCCTCCTAAGAACCCTCAGGACCTCAACCCCGTTAATCTGGAGGTAAGGTTTTGCAGCATTTACGCCTGAGTGATCCTTTTTTCTACTAACCGCTCCTCTGTCATACGGCTGGAGTATAAAGGGAGAGAATGGGGAATATCTTACAACACGAGACTTTCTCGGTAAAATTCACCTGCCCGCCGCCCTCGGGAAAGAGCACAGTGTCGTCCAAAACGACTTCGTACTTTCCCTCCCCTTTTCCCACGGGCTCCGCGGGTCTGCACGACGCCACGCGACTCCGGTAGCTGCGAAGGTAAGAGTCTTTCTGGCACTTCAAGGACATTTTTGCACTGTGGGGCACACTGCGCATGCGTTAACGGTTCAATTTTCTATACCCATCGCTTAATTGGAATATACGGTAAGATCGTTGAATAACCGCATGCTCTTTCCTCTCTAGGTGTGAGTTCTTTTCTATCGGACGATACGAAGACAGTCATGGGCGATGAGGTACTAATACACACGTGTGTGCGTGTCGTCGGTTCACTCTCCCTTCTTTCAGGATGCCAGCAGCCGTTGCAAGGTGTTCATCGGCGGCTTGAACATAAACACGACCAAGGAGTCGCTGACAAGCTACTTCGAACAGTTCGGGGAGATAGTGGACGCTGTCGTCATGAGAGACCCAACGACGAAACGTTCGCGCGGGTTCGGTTTTGTTACGTACGGCGACGGCAAGTGTCTGGAGGAATGCCTGAAGGAATGTCCTCACACTGTGGGTGAGTATGATAATGTACGTCTCTACGTAATGATGATGGTGCAAGCAAGTTGGTTGGAGAGGAGGCGGGTGAGGTGTGTGCGTGTGTGTGTGTGTGTGAGGGAAGGGGATGAGGAGTGAAGACAGACTTGTAAAACGCTGTCTTCTCCTACTAAAGATGGCAGACAAGTGGATGCTAAGAGAGCAATCCCTCGAGACGAGACGTCCGCTTCCGTCACCACCTCCAGCTCTGGACCGCCGCCCATGGCGACCAAGAAGGTTTTTCTCGGAGGGCTCTCGCCAGACACCACAGAGAGGGAGATCGAGGAGGTCCTAGAAACCATCGGAAAAGTGAGATCTACAGATTTCTTGTTCCTTTGTCTAAACACAAAATACCCAATGCATACAGTAGAAGTCAAAAAAACGTTTCCAAAATCGTTCACCGTTCACCGTTTATCCGTTTCCGACGGAACGACGTTTCACCGTTCATCCGTTGACCGTTCGTGTTCGCGGCTACGCAACCCGCGATGCGCGCTAAAAGCTATCGACGAATTCACCACGGCGGAAGTCTAGCACCGAAATCTACGGTTACTTTTGGCAACTTTTGATGCCGTGGCCTTTGCCAAGGCTTAGGCTGTGGTAAAAGCGCGCCTCGCTACTTCAGGATAGCGTACGGCCCGTAACTAGAAAAAGTGGGAGTGGCACACGCGCGGATAATTGTCGAACGGTCTGAACGGTGAACGGCGTTTCTCCGTTTCCGTTTTCCGTTTCTCCGTTCGAACGCCGTTCAACGGTTGAACGGTGAACGATTTTGGAAACGTTTTTTTGACTTCTACTGTAGTTGGCCACTTTCACAGAGACAGGAAGTTTTACCATAGAGATGGCATAACGGGCTCTAATTAGAACCAGTGTGCTCTGATTAGAACGTAAAATAAACCTGTTTGCTGCCTAATTTTTCGTGTTTTATGGACATCGTATCCCTTTCCACCGCTCACACATACATTTTCTTCCTCTATACTGTTAGGTGTGAAAATCCAAAAAAAACAAAGAGAACTAGGCCGCTAAATGACACTTGACAGCTTATAATTATCATGATTGTGTGTTCTACCAACTCAGGTTGCCGAGGTGATTATCCAGCGTGAAAAGTTTACTGAGAAGCCCAGGGGGTTTGGCTTTGCTCTGTTTGAGTCTCCGGAATCTGTTGACAGACTCTGTCAGAGACGCTACATCAAGATTAAGGTGAGATGAGAAATCGTGCGTATAATCTCATACGACCATCATTTGATCCACTGACAGTGATCAGAGATCATAGGACTGTAGCGATCCTACAACGGCAGTCACATGACTGTCACGTGACCAATTAAAGTATTACATACGTGACTCTATCTCGCAGGACCGAGATGTGGAGGTGAAGAAGGCGATATCTCAAGAGGAGATGAGGAAAGAGCCCAGCAGAGGTCGCTCGGGAGGTGGGCAGGGAGGTTACCGTGACAACTCTTACGGAGGAGGCGGGCGCGACGCCTACCAATCCAGCTATGGTCGAGGAGGAGGAGGTGGAGGGGGCGTGTACCCTGTTGGTGAGTTTTTTGAAATTTAGGTATCTTCCCGAGGTGTGTAGGAGAGTATGAAACTAGACACAAGTTAGGATATACATAGCATGGTAGCATGGTACATTCGAAATGACTCTCCCTCTCCCCCCCCTCCCTCCCTTGTTCATTCGGTATGCAGCTGGCTATGACTATCGAGGCTACCCTGCTGCGGCAGACTATGCCAGACCCGACCCCTACTACGGCTATCCCGCTGGTTACGATCGGAACACGGCAGCTGCTGCAGCTGCTTATCCTTACGCCAACTCGTACGCCAGAAGCTATGACATGGCGGCTTACAGTAAGACCCTCTATCTTCTCTTCTCTTTTCTTTTTCCTCTGTCGTGGGGTGTATTATTTTTACAGGGTTCAGATTTTACTGAAACGAAGTTTGCGTCCCGCCAAAGCTTTCCCTCCAAATTAGTCATTTTATTTACCCAGCGCACTCTCACTTGTCCAGGTATGTACGGAGCAGCCCAGGCTGGCATGGGCGTGGGAACCTACGGTCAGGCCCCCTCTAATTATGGCCCGGCTCGCGGCTACACCACCGCGCCAATGGGGGGCGGGGTCGCCGACTACGCGAAGGAACGCGGTGGTGCTGCTGCTCGTCAGACGGGGTACCATCCCTACCGGAGGAATTAAAGAGGGTAAGACCCTATCATTACCACACTAATTGCTTGCTGGGAGAGTTATTATCACAAAGTTTTTGAGTCACGAAATTTGCAATGAAAAGTGCTGACCAGCAGAATTCGTGACTCAAAATCTGGTCTTATATGAAGAACCAACCATTATTGCAATAGATGGCCATATTAGGTCGTCTCCGGTACTGTTTTCTTTTCATGTGTGAGGTGTTTGCATGTTTCTAGTATTTTTTGTTTTTCTCTAGTGTAAAGATATTAGTGTGTGCTCTCTATTGTATATCTATTGTAGGCCATAGCCAGGCAGGCAGTGTAGCTGCTAGGTGGGCTTTATTTGGAAGACACTTGCAGCTGCAGTCTCCGTAGCGACCGGGATTACGTCGTCATTTACCTAATGTAACAGTAATACGTGACACACCTAAACTGAACACTCTGATGTTGCATTGTTTTTCCTTCAATTTTTTGAATTTTACTTATGCTCGCACACACATACACTTATTCAACTCTTTGTTTTTGTATCGAAATATTCTATAGTCTCCTCCCCCTTCAATAGCCACGACGTTTTGCCATCTTCTTCTCTCCCTCCACGTATGAATTGTCTACTTCTCGTGATATACTAGCAGCTACTAGCACTCCACAGTCTAGTTTGCTAGAGGTACAGGAGGATTAGAGAGAGAGAGATACGTAGCAAGTTCCGGTAGCCACAGGCAGGTGTAGACAGTCAGGTGTTTGGTATATGAATGAGGTAGGTACACATTTTCTTCTGCCACCACTCTACGTATGTACATACTACTTATACCATGCAGAGCACACACCACGTTTTTAATACGTACATGTTTTATGAGCCTTTTGTTTTCTGTGTGTATTATTCAGCCTTTTGTTTGTGTTTTTGTCAAGATTGATTGCGATTGTTGTGTATTGACAGTCTCTTGGTTCTATTTCAGGTCAAACCGATTTTACCGGATGGTCAACCTGTATAACAGGTAAAGTATGCATTGGGATTTCTCCCAACATGATTTTCTCAAAAGGGTGGTGCAGCTGCCGTTTGGAGATCGACCGCTGCACAAGTTGGTGTGTGTGTATGGATAACGGATGAAGCCACTCAATTTATTGCGGACGAGAAGATATTGCGGACACATAAAACTTTTTCTGTGCGTGATGTATTGTACAATTTTTTTTATGAGAGGAAATGACAAAAATTTGCGCGGCGCAGCTGGCTCTTCAGGTTTCGTGTTTGTTCCTGGACCTACGAGACCCGAGCGCCATGCTGAAGAGGGCACAGGCGGTGACGCAGAGTCCAGCTAGGCTCATGACGATGGCCGACCTGTAGACGAATCTGTCAGACCTGGTTCTTAGGTAGAGCGGCTGCGTAGTCTCGCTCTGTGGACAGAGAAGCTTAGTTTGGAGTAGCTGTAGAGGTGCGGCTAAACTCACTTGGAATAGCCTGTGGTGCACCTTCGCTAAAGAACTGTTGGAGTCGAAGAAACGCGAAGCTGCCATGATGCATATGCTGTCAAATTTTACGCGGCCTTCCGTAAAACTTTTTCGGGTATATACACCGCGGCTGTAAGCCATGCGGACAGCAGTTGTAGTGTTGCTGTGTGCTCTCTGGACCTGTGGTCTACCGCCTGTGTCTGCTACCAGGGGGGGCACCAAATACCTCATCTACACAGTGAAGAGCGGTACATTGCACTAACTACATCATCCCACGTGTCGTAAAATGCAGGCCTAGTATATCTATACAATTATGTTGTAAGAAAGATTAAAAAGGTGCAGCCTCAGTTGCTTATACCTCCCTCCCTGACAGGAGAGGGGTTCAATCTTCGTCGGGATGTCCACGTGAGGGCGGCCACGTTGCTACGTCTCCTACAGGAGCAGTCGGTGGGAGGAACCAGTGACTGGGTCCTTGTCCTGCCGCCATGGCCGAGACTGTACCACTGGCGATCAGCCTCTCGCGACAGAGTCACCTTTGTACCCTGGGCCAAGTTCTTCGACCTGCCCAGTCTAAACCTGTTTGTCCCGACAATCGAGTTTGATCAGTACCTCCAGAGGAATGGGCACACCATTGACGAGGTGGGGACCAAGGGGTTAATTTTTCGAGAAGGGTTAAATAAGGGGTAAGCTAGAGTGTGGAGAATACAAGTGTGGGGTCAAGAGGTTAATGTTAACGCGGTTGCCAAGGTAACAGTCATGTGATCTGTTGCCCAGGTGATGGTGCTGCAGAATTTCAAAGGAGAGTTTACAGTCGATGATTTTGGAAAGATTGAAGAACAACCCTGTCTTAGTGACCAGTATAGGTGAGACATACATTAATACTAGAGTCTGCTTGAAATTCTATCTCTCTTACTGTGTCAGATATAAGCGTGTGTCAGGAGGAGAGTGGAAGGGAAGGATGTTTGGTGTCGAAGGTTTGTCGATAAAGATTCACCGCTGCATGTCTGCCATGGGACACATCTCTCTTATCCTTCCTTACCTCCGCCAGTTGAAGGGCAAGTAAGAGAGAAAATGCACCAGGTCAACTAACAGTAAGAAAGAACACCACATCTCTAACGAATAGAGAAAGGTTCTGATTCCAGTTTAAATTTGTAGAATGCTTCTCTACTGAACCAACGGTCTTTGCCCCAGGAAATGTTGTATACATGTATATGTGTTGGTCCACTGCCAAAGGTTTCTCTTATTGCTGTGTATATATATATATATATAGTGTGTCCTCCCCTTCTCTCCCAGCTCAATGTTGGTTGAAAACTTTGAGATCTTGCTCCACGAGAGATACGGCGACACTAACTACTGGCAGTCTCGTTACAGCATGGTCTACGCCCAACACCTGCGTGAGGCCGGAAACAGATTCATGAGTGAGACCCTCGATTATTGCCCCAACGAGGGTGGAGTGGGGAGAGAGCCTGCGAAAGATGGAGGCGGGATATACATATCAATCCATCTAAGGAGGTAAGGGGGGAAGTTTTCAAGGACCTCTCCAATTAGAACAGTTTTCAAGGACCCCTCCAATTAGAACAAGGGGCCAGTTTTCAAGGACCCCTCCAATTAGAACTCTGAAATGAGAGTTCTTCCTAACCCAGACAGGACTATCTGTATGCTCACAAGGATGTGGTACCTTCACTGGAAGGAGCAGCGAGTCAACTCAACAGGCTCAAGAAAGAGTTGGGGCTGGAGACCGTGTTCCTAGCTTCCGACTGCTCCGTAGACGGTCAGTTGAAAGACTAAGTCCCACCTACCTAAGTGCAACCCATTCCCCATTGGGCCATTAGAGAAGCAACAGCTCCAGGGAATGGTAAAAGGTCTGGTATGGTACACGCCCAGCGACGAGGAACAACGTAACTATGGTGATGGGGGTGTGGCCATCATCGACCAATGGATTGCTGCCCATGCACAACATTTTCTCGGGACAGCCCATTCAACTTTCTCCTTCCGAATCCAAGAAGACAGACAGTTTCTGGGATTCTCACGAGAATCGACTTACAATGTCGTTTGCGGCCCCTCCGATAACGAGCACGACCCCCACAGCTGCAAAAAGCCCTCCTACTGGAAATGGGAGGGCGGGCCCCCGACCCCGCTGAATTCTGGAGGTGCAACCCCCGCCGATAAGAATTCGGACCACGAAGAACTATAGATGTCAATTTTTCCAGTCTGAATCATGAAACTCACAAATTTCCCCCTTGGCAAAACAAATTTGAACGAGCACGTATGAAAATTTACGGAGAAGCGGCGACGCGCACACGCACGTGTTCCGGTGCAAAGTTCACAGCTGCAAGTAGCGAATCTGCATGAAAACTAGCTGTGCCCCGTATGTGCTGTAGTCGCCATGATATTCTCCGGCCCTGTCGTCGTCCGGTGGTTCCGCTGGCTCCCTCCGGCCTTCGTCATAATGGGCAGCGCGTCCACGTACATGACGGCAATGGCGCTGCTCGGCCTGGCGGGGCTCGTCCTCCCGGCGCGCGCCTCGAACCGGCTGGAGATGCTCCTCTACTCGTCCTACCAGAGAATGATCGGCTTCTGGTTCGAAACCTGGTCGTGCGTGGAGGTATGGTAGCTAGGGGGTGCTTATGACGTCACGTGATGTGTTGTTTCAGTTTCGTTTCTATGGCGACCGTCTCCCTGAGGAACCGGAGAACGTCTTGTACCTCTCTAACCACCAGTGCACCAGTTAGCCAATGCTGCAGAACAAGAAACGCGTCTAAAATTCTATCTTTCTCTCTCGTTCCATAGTGGATTGGGTGATTGTGGAATTGTTGTGTGTCAAGCGAGGGGAGTGGGGCGGAAGGGCTCGCTACATTCTCAAAGACACCATCAAGTACCTCCCTCTCTACGGCTGGATGCTGAGTGAAGTGCGTGTGTCCAATTCTTACGGTTCCTACTTTATACCTCTCGCTGTCGTCACTCAGCGAGGTGGGATATTTGTCAAGAGGAGACGAGGGACTGACCAACAAACATTCATTAGGTAAATAGGTACATAATTTACCGACCGTTTCTTAAAAATACCTCTAGCCCTTGAACTGAGAAATTTTTGCAGCTCTAAAATTTGGGAATGTAAACCCTTCTCTTCGCGTGTTTTGTAATTTTTCTCTCTCTTTACTCTCTCCACCGCCAGAGGACTGAAAGACCTCGCAGAGAGAAACACACCTGTAAGCCTCACAAATCTCTGCAAAAACGTCTCAATTTTCACTTTAACCCCCGACACAGACGTGGCTGATTCTCTTCCCGGAGGGAACGAGGTTCAACCCCTACAATCAGGCCGCCATTGAGAGAAGTCAGGAGTATGCTCGCAGCCTTGGTACACACCAACTGTCATCTTGCGTTGATTGCTCACAATTCTCCCCCAGGTATTCCAGAATTGAAACATGTGCTGACGCCCAAGACCACCGGATTTGAAGTAATGAGTTATCTAATCCTTTCACTTTCATCGGTTCTGTTCTTCAGTAGCAAGTACAAATTTGCAGGGAAAACTCATAAATTTCCTTACCCTTAAAAATATACCCTTATGCTGTGAAAATATTTTCTCCCTCTGAGGCGTCACGCTCCATTCCGTTTTCTCTCAACAGCTGTCACTAATTATCAGGGACCACTTTGCAGCTGTGTACGACGTCACCATCTACTACGAGGGTAATCGCCGGGGGCGATCCCCGTCCCCCGACATGTTCCGGTTCTTCTCGGGAGATTGCCAGCGAGTCCACGTCCATATTAGGAGAACTCCTGTAGCCGACCTGCCGGTTGAGGCTGAAGAACGGAAGGTGTGGCTTTACGACACCTTCTGTCGGAAAGACAGGTGAGGTGAAGGCGAGGAGGGAGAAGTGTGGCAAGATGTTTTTTGAAATGCCGAAGTGTTTCCCAAAAGGTAGCCACCAATCTGATCGTCATTTCTCAACTTTTTTACTTTTTCCAATCAGCAGGATTTACGACGTTTAGAGAACTTTTGTTTTTACAGGCTCCTTGAAGAAGCCATAGCGACAGGGTCCTACTCATCTGCCACGCCCCAGTCCCTTCCTCTTCCGCTAAGCTACACCCTCCTTCCCACCCTCGCCTTCTCCGGCGTTCTAATTGGAGCCCTCTCTCATCGCTACGGGCGATGGTGGTGGCTCGGCTCGTTTGTTGGTTTTTCGTTGCTAGGCTACGTGAGGATGGCTTTCAAGTCGTGACATCATCGCCACCCAATAGGATTTCAATAGGCAATCAATGACATCATGATGTAATTGTCATAGCTGCTGTCACATTATTTATAGGTCAATAGTTTATCCCATGTTCTTCTTATTGCCCCAGCCTCTCCTGTTTTCTGTAAGGCATACATATAAAATGAAGGGAGAGAGAAAATATATATCAAATTGACAAGCAAGCAAGGGTGAATAGGTCAGTAAACCTCCCACTGACCCACATAAAAAAATCTGGTGCTAAAAAAATTTTGCTACCGCATCAGAATACTTTACAAACCATCTTTGAATTCGTCCCATTCTCTGGCCTTCTTCAGTGCCTCTTCGCTATCCTCGTCCTCCTCTTCCTCCTCCTCCTCTCCTTCCCTTCCTGGCCCACCGCTCTCGTCCTGCCGACTCCCCTCTCCCTCCTCCCCCTCCGGCTCCTCCGCCATATCTCTGCTCGTAGAACTCTTCGACAGTCATTGTGGGAAGACTTGGATACCCTGCCCCAAACACCTCTCCCTGTTATGAACGGAGAGAGGGGGTGGAGGAAATGGAGAAGATGATGTAATGAAAGCAAGTGAGAAAGTGGAAAACATTTGGGAGTCAAAGTTTAAAGCTGGAAGCGTGCACAATTTTATACCAACTCATGGAGAAACTGTTGCAGGGTGGTTATGAAAGTTCTATCTAGCCTTACTCTCAACATTTCTCTTGTGATGACGAGCGGTTTTTCCGGTTGTCTCGGTGGACCATGTCCACTAGCCCCCGGTCTCTTAGCAACAGGAGGCCCCTCCCCCTTCCTGACAGCTTCAATATGTCTCAGAATCTGTATTTCGTCGTCAATTGACTTGACAAACTCCCGACTGCGGTACAGGTTGAGTTGAAGCACTGCGACCCACTGCTCTCTCCCTCCCTCCTCCTCTCTTCCACCGCTGCCTTCATTCAGAGCTGTGGACAGCTCCTCCGTCCGTCTCTCCAGTTCCTTCTTCTCTCTCAATCTCTGTATCTTCTCCACTCGCTCGGCAACCAACTGGTTGTACGTCTTCCCCTGTGGTTGTTCGGAGGAAGCCCCACCCACTGAGGGGGGCGGTGAAAGAGGGGTTAAAGGTGGCGGATCCTCTTTCGTTACTCCGTATGACCTACACCTCCTCAAGTAGTCTATGAAATAGACCTGAAAAGGTAGTGAGTGAGCGTTAAATGTTTGCCGCAGGTATCCTAATTTTTTAAGGCAAAAATTTTCGCAGGGTGCTGTGAAAATTTTGAGACCTACCCTTGCTTTTAGGACAGTGTCCATTCTCTCTCCCTCGGTCTGCTGTAGAGTCATTTCTCCCAAGAGTTCTGGCAATAGGAGGTACCTGTGCAAAGAAACAGGTCCATCCCATCACGAGAGAGAGGGGTAGAGGAGGGAAGGACTTGCTTTAGACTCGAGGTTGGTACCTCGTCCAAGTCTTCATTGTCGCTGAAGAGGCTCGCGTGACTCGCCAGCTCCGTCGCTCTTTCTAGCGCTGACGTTCCTTCAGCCACGCACACCTTTAGAAAAACGGTTAGATGGCATCACGTCCCGACGTTACTGGATCCGTCGTAGCTACGTACGTACCGAGTGTTCCGGGGATCCGGTGGTAAGCTCGCAGGCGTCCAGTTTCCTCCTAGCCTCCCAGCCTCGCAGGAAGAGCTGCGACAGAGCTGGAGCATTCTCTTCGCCAGACATCCCGGAGTAAAAACCGAAAGTTGAACTCCGAGAGAAATACCGTCTGAGAGGGGTTAACTCATGAAACACGTGCGCGCACGCGCAGAAAAAATGGCAGAAAGGGAAGAAGAGTTCTTTCATGGAGCTCCCCCTCCGCCCAATCTTTCTCGTGTTCGAGACGAAGTCGCGGCTTTTGTAAGGCGCCAACGCTCCAGAGGCCGAAAAGTTGTCTTTATAACTGTGAGTCACATAAACCACCTCCCCTCTTTCTCTATCTTATGCCGTCTCCCTCTCTTTCTTTCTTTCTTCCAGTCTGGAGGTACGAGCGTCCCGCTGGAGAAAAACACGGTTCGTTTCCTTGACAACTTCAGCAGCGGTGGGCGGGGCTCGTCCTCCGCAGAGTATCCGGAAAAACAAGTCCACAACTAGTTTGTATCCGAGACGTCCCGGTGGTAATTACAGAGTTATTGAACTTGACTCTATCACAGAGTGTTCCTAAGTCGTGGTTATGGGGTGATCTTCATGCACCGGGCTGGCTCCTTACGGCCGTTTCACAGACACATAACGAATGGGGACTTACTCGATTGCATCAAAGTTGAAGATGAAGGAACCATCACTAGTAGGTTGTCTAACGTCCAAAAAATCTTCTAACAAAAAATTAATTTCACAGAGCAAACAGGAAAAAACTAGCTCACAAACAGTAAAATTTTACGTATGGCAGGTTAGCTAATGGTGTATAATTATATACTATGTGTTGTGCAGTTAGTGTTGATGGCAAGAGGAGAGAGAACCTTCTAGAAGCTGTGTCCCTGTACCGGAGAGTCAAGAGTGACGAGTCACTGCTGCTGGTTCCTTTCACCACCGTCTTTGACTATGCCCACCTACTGAGGGATATCTCACTGCTATTGAAGTACGCAAGTCCCATCCATCTTTGATCCTCCAAATTTCAGTGCAGTTGAGTTGAACCTCATATATACAGTGGTGTATAGAACCGACTCTAAATAATACGCAGAAGCACTCAGTTTTGAAGATCTTCATTTTTCCCCCTGTTCCCCCAGAGCATTATGCATTTCGGCAATGTTAGCCCCCAGACAGATGTGGCAGTCATAACACAAGCAACGCTGCACTTCCCTCCCTCTCCCCCTCCCCCCTAGTCCTCTAGGTAAAGATGTAGTCATATACCTCGCGGCTGCCGTGTCTGACTTCTACATACCCCACGACGAGATGTCAGAACACAAGATTACATCATCGCAGAACTTGCAGCTCTCCTTCCACCGTACACCAAAACTGATTACCCCACTGAGGAATTCCTGGTCTCCGCAGGCTTTCACTGTCACTTTCAAAGTCAGTTAGACAACAACAACAACAATGTTATTGTTTACCTGTTTGTTTGTTGTTAGTTGGAAACTGACGACGAGCTACTTGTACCACATGCAAGAGAGGCACTCAAGAAATACAGACATCAGGTATTTTTAAACCTCGGTGTGCGTGTATATATCTGTCAGTTTTTAATGTTAGAATTGTGGATTTGAAAGCCAAAACAAATCACTATAATTGAAGAAGACGAACGATTTTCTGTAGGTGGTGGTTGCTAATCTACTCCAGAGCAGGCATACCAAGGTAACCATAGTAACAGAGGAGGGGAGGAGGAGAAGGAGAGAGGAGAGAGAGAAATCGAACAACTCATTGTTGATAAAATCATTTCCAAACATTCCGATTATACCAGCTCATGAGATTTTCATGTGTTTGTAGAATAACATGGATTTGCAACTATGATGATAGGAAGGATGTAATACTGCATGTCAATAAAAATGATGAAATCAGTTCTGAAGTGATGATGAAATTTGTGACTGCCTCAGTACATAATAGTGTGACTATGACGATGTAATTATGACATCATTGGCTCAGTCAGACTGCTGCTGGTGTCTGGTTCCATTCCATCCCAGTCACCAGAGTCCTGGAACGGATCGAGGACGGGGAGGAGTGGGAGGGCGTGGTTGAGTATTCTCTCAGAGAGCTGGGTGGCGTACGACTCCAGACTGGCCATGTTCCTCTCTCGCTCCTGAATATCTTCAAACAACTGTGTTGAATAGGGCAGAATACACACACACTTAGTAAAGCATTGACTAGCGATTGTGGAGGAGAAAGAGGAGGCATTTTGCCACATACAGAGGAATACTAAACTGGCAGCGAAAGCACTGAACAATGCAGAGAGGCAGAATTGACATCTAAAACCAGAAAACAACTTGTGCTGCTACTATAAAAGGGCAAATGGTGCTACCTATGAATTATTTACTGGAGCACACACACACACGCACAATCACCACACGGACAATGAAATTCCTCAGTGAAAACTCGAAAGCGTAAACATAGGGATGTTTACTCATCAACAAGAGGAAGTTGCCAGCCGCAACTAATCACCCAGGCATTCACATGCACTTCCTTGTTTAAGCAACTCAATGGCACGGCAATATTAATGATGGCAAGTTCAACGACAGGAAACTATGTGCCCAAAGACACCCCATGTATAGAATTTGCTCTGCCAAATCTCGTCCATATAATTATAGTAAATCAACTCCACTTTCCCACCATAATACACTGTTAGAATGGGTTTTTAAACGCTTCCTGTAACAAATTGCATTAACTACAGCAAAATGCAATTGTTCGGTCTACTATTATTGTGTTAAGTGAATTCTTGCAATTCGCAACCAAAAAGAGGCACTTGCGGTAATAAAATTTGTTAGTGTCTCAATTGTCTCCCACCTCTCCTCTGGACGCCACTCGGAGGAGGTCCAAACGAAGACCCGTGCTCTGTTGGAGGCGTGGCATCCCCTCTAGGAAGGCAGAGTTCGTCTCCAAGACGACCGCCAGGAGCTGATCGATGTATGTCTTGTATCTGGCCTGAGCGCTGTCTAACTCTCTCACTGCTTCACACATCTGTTGAGAGAGAGGGAGAAGAGAGAGAGGGAGAGAGAGGGAGAGAGAAAGATAGAGAAAAGAGTGGGGCAGCAGTACTTATGCAGTGATAGCGTCATTTTGAGAATTCTGTGAAAAGGGTTCTTCTGTATGGCAATCTGCCTATATTGTATGTAAAATTTGGGTTCGGAACAAAAATAGAAAAACAGTAAACCATGAAATAATTATGAAGTAATGACAAATATTTGCCTGCCTCAAAATGAAATACCTGGTCTCTGGTAAAGTTCTCGTAGTCCGTCGCAAGCTTCGTGAAAACGTCGTCTGAATTTCTTCGAACCGTTCTCAGCCTAGTTTGGACCTTCCTGTTCAGGTCTGCCATGAGTCGCGACCTCTCCCTCCTCAGAGCCGCCAGCCTCCCCTCCGACGACGACCCCAGCTCCAACTCCGCGATTGTCGAGTCCAGTGTCGCTATGGCAACCTGCAACTGCGGGAGGAAAAGGACACCTCTCAAAAAGGGAGAATGTGAATTTTTTGTCGTCTCTACCTCCTGCTGCTCTCTGTCCAGTACCGATATCTTCCTCCTCCTGGGTGTGGTCTTGTTGCTATGGTTACCACTCTTCCGTTCGTTTCCTCCCGCTGCTCTGTTGCTATCGGTAACACCACCAGCATTGTCGTCGTCGCAGCTCAACTGACTAAAAACTCCGTCGCCCCTTTCTTCAATAGGAGACAAGTTTGGTACCATCGCCAGCCGATCACTGCTGCTTATCCTCCTCGTCGTTGCCATGGGTGACGAGGCCCCACCCTCCGATGATGAACCCTGACCTCCTTGGAGACACGCCAACAGGGGGGTCATCGCTGTGGCAACAGACTGAGATTCCTTATCACTGGGTGAAGACAGGAAGGAAAGTTGTGCCTCCAGCTCTGCAATTCTCTCGTCCTTTCTCTGCAACTCGTCGCTCAGCTGAATCAGCTGCAGGGGGATATAACACAGGGTGCATAATATACACTGCCCTCAGCTGGCTTAGGCCCCTGCTCTAGGTAACTAACGAGCGATCAGTGCTTACCACGGCCTTGAGCAAAGAAATCTGTTCATCTTTGGCGGTGATTGATTCCCGTCTTGGCCTCTCCTCATCAGTCTCCATTAATCTCTAGCCTCTTACACTTTCTCTCTCTCTCCCAGATTTCGCTGGCTGCTCTATAGCGTAAACAGTAACGCGTGCGTTCTGTTGCGCGTGCTTGCGGAAGTGCTTTTATTCGCAACGCTTACGCATAACAAACGTAATGAAAAGGGGCACAGGTGGTTGGTTGTGCGCACCGTACCGACCTACGTCAACTGCATATATACAGGAAACACAACGGAAGTGTGGCTACAACGAAAAATGTGAGCGTCTTGTAGGCGTCTTGGACTCCCTGTACATGCCCATGGACAATACAGAATCTTTGTGAGTGGGTGAGTGTGTGAGTGTGTGAGTGAGTGAGTGTGAGAGTTCAATGTGGCAGCTGCTTTGCTCACTGCCCGCCCACATCGTCTGCCCTAATCTCAACATCCTTCGCCACCTACACAGTTACACACATATACCAAGAAAGAGAGAGAGATATTATCATGGGGTTGATGAAAGTCATTTGGGGGAAAAAGCAAGTAAAGAAGAGACGGAGAAATAAGAGAAAATAACGAAAGATAGAGTCATAGCCAAGAAACGGCTGAAGAATAAATCAGACCTCAGGAGGTGTATCGCTGGTGATTCCATTGGAGGTGAAAATGATGGAGCCCTGAGAGGTGGGGAGGGTGGAGACGAAAGTGAGGGGGGAGGAGGAGATATTGGGGACCACGGACCCCACGCTGGGGACCGGGGAAGAGATGAGGGGGGACATTGACGGCATGGCCGAGAGTTGTGAGAGTAGAGTGACCTCTGTACCAACAGACCCCACCTCCCCAGATCCTCCCCCCTCCCCTCCTGAAGAAAAAAACAAATACCATTTCAGTGGATTACAAGTTTGAAACAGCATTACAATTGGCATGGATTTAAATCTATCCATGTTACAAATTTTTATTGGCTTGCTCACAAAAAGCAATTTTTATAGATTTTACTCCCTTTTGCTTACGAAAAACTTACCAAATTTTACAGATTAGCACCGTACATTTAGTATCCCGTCACCTTTAGAAGCGGTGGCCCCAACGGTCTGATGAACGATAAGAGGGCAGTCCTTGTGGGCGATGAGGATGGACTTTAGTTGCTGGACTTCCGAGCGGAGAGAAATGACCTCCTGCTGCAGAGCCTGGTTGAGCGTGTCCATCTCTTTGCCCCCTTCGCTCCATGTCATCCACCCATACCTTCTTCTTCGCCCGGCACCGACTCGCGGCCGCTCTGACGAATGGCGGGAAATGCAACATGAACGTCAACTCTTTTTAGTTGTTTTTTTGAAAGGCAATCTCCAAGACAAAGAACTTTTGCAGGCGCATGCTTCTTCTTGCTTCTTTCGGGCAGTATTAATATGCTGGGGCATGCATACATACTGTGGTATCAAAGATTTATTCTCTCTTCCCCCTCGTGCATTAGGGTTCACGTATGGACCAATCAGATCGCGCGATTTAAAGTATTACACAGCTGTAATTCTACCTGTTTCTCTCAAGGAAACGCTGTCTCTTTATTTCAGGATCTTCATCGTCTGGCTTTCTCCCCCTGCGCCTGGACAGGGGCACATGACAGTCATGTGAGTATCATGTGACCCTTACTTTCTCCCGGGATTGGCAATGTGATCGGGGACGGCGGTGGGTGCAGTGAATAGAGGAGGTGAAGTGGCCAGCTGTTTCCCGGAGTCTTTTCCGAGGCAGTCTCCTTGTTGGATGGCTTTTAGTGCACTCAGGAGATCTGGACTGTTCAGCTGCTGGTTGGCCATGCTGGCTATCTGGGCCTCGAGATATTTCTGCTGTTCTTTCAGCTGTATATTTGCCAATAGTTTCTGAGGGTGAGAGATCTGGATCACTTAGTTTCAGTGCAGTGTGGTATGGTGCACCATAGTATAATGGCTATAGATTGAAGCTGAGCTTAAAATAAAATAAAAAGACTTAATTTGCCTCTAACCTACCTGTTTTGTAAAAACAGATGCCGTGGTCATGTGAGGTGGTGCTGTCGCCATAGGAACCTGGACGATTACATCATCTGGATCACATTACCCAGAAAGAAAGAGAGAGAGAGTAACGTACTGGTTTATCGGGGTTGGCGACTGAAGGGGGTGGAGCCATCGAGATGCCGGCGATGGTGATGGTTGACGTGCCGGTTGTCACGGTGACAGGTTCGGCAGAGGGGTGTGGCACTTTCGCTGCCTCGCCCACCGAGGTTTGCTTGTCTGCACCATTCTTGCTCTTTTCAAACTCCTGTGTATGCATAAAACAGGGGAGAGGGAGAGAGGGAAGGGAGAGTGTCCTTTTTTTTCCAGAGATGTCCCATTATTATACCAAAATGAGGTGTCCTTTTTGCTGTTTTTTAGTGGGGAGTTGTACAGTAGCCAGGTACAGTTGCTGTACCTGGTCAAACGGGTTATCAGCCAGTTCCTGAAAAAGCCCACTCTCTTCAACGTTCCTCAGGAATCTCGTCGGAGTTGGTGTCTGATCTATATACACACACGCACAAACATACACACACACTACTTTCTCTTTCTCTACCACAGTACACTCTACCTGATTTTCAGGGAAACTATACGAAAACGTATACCAATAATCTTGCAGAGTAAAAGCTTTTGTCTAAATGTGCCAATCTGCATTTGCCAGCTAAAAATTCCACAGCAAAAATTAATATTAATTGCTGAACAAAGGCCTTGAAATGTCCCACTTTGATTAAATCACCCACCAACGAGAAGGGCTTCCCCGGTCTTGCTTGCGATCCCAAACTTGAGAGAGAACTCGTGTTTCTGACGGTGCACAGCCAGATGGTCATTGTTTGAGAACCTCTGTATAAAGAGAGCGGATGTTTATACTGTGCAGTTGACCTGAGGTGTTTACTTTCGCACACCACAAATCACACATTGCAGTCAACAAGACGCGTTCTGTGCGGCGCGTCCATCACTTTTTGTCCCACGGTTGCGGCAAGCAAAGGGAAGCTTTTCAAGAGGTACTAATGGCCGCGACGGAATCAACGTGCTACCTATGTTTCTCCCAAGACCAGAGTAGCAACAAGCGGAAGCGTTCGTTAATGGGTGAAGAGGCCTTTGTGTTGCCGTGGACATCAGTCCGTACCTTTCCGCGGGTTACAAATCGTCTTAGTGTCGTTCAACGGAGGGACCGACCGACCGTTTGGCGCCCAAAAGACCGAGCGACCGGAGGGAAAGTTCGTGATGTAAGTGCAACCTGTGACGATGCAATAGCGGCTCTGTCATTCTTACATCATGGAGAATCGCCTTTTGTCGTGATGTAATGCTCCCGCTAACGGCGACCACCAGACGCGTGGACTGAGTCTGGACGAGTTTTCGAGCGCCAGAGAGCCAGGCGATCGCTAGTTATGCTCAAAATACGGCAGCCGGACCCGGAATCGGTACGCAAGGACGTGAAGGTGGGAACGAGACGCTGAAAAACGCGACAAATCACTTTTTACCTGACCACATCCCTCGAACATACACTGGAACGGTTTGTCGTTCTCTGTAGTCATGTCTGGCCGCTGTATCGTCTTGCTAGAACGCTTCAGGAAGAACTTTCTCTCGTCTTTGTCAAAGTTGCCGATTACGTCATGGTGATATCACTCGGCAGATATGCGCATTGCGCATGCGTGTGCATTGGTGGGCGTGATTTAGAATATACGCCACACCTTACGATAATAAAACAAGGAAGAAGAAGCGGAGAAAGTCATCTAAAAGCGCCATGAGTTTCTTCCACAAGAAAAGAACCTCCACGAAAGTAAATGCGGCTAACGTCCACATGACAGAGGTAAGGCCACCGTTGCGTTGTTGTGCGCGTCTTTCCGTCGTTGTGCGCGCCGTTCCGGTCGACCGCCCGTGAACTAGTCTTCTTGTTCTTCAGGCCGAGGCTGCGCTGGCCCAGAGCGACTTCAACATCGACAAGATCCTCGACATTCAAAACAAGTTCACGGGAGGAGCGGTGAGCGAGCGACTGCCCAGATTCACACAATCGTGTCACACATATTCTCTTTTCTCGCGCGCTTTACAGGCGCTCCAGGTCCCTGGACGGATATTCATCCGCGAAGGTATGCTCTGGAAAGTCTGTAGGAAGGGCCCAAAGAAACGCCAGTTCTTTCTCTTCAACGATATCCTGGTAAGTCATCCCTCTCTCTCTCTCTCTCTCACTTGCTCTCTCTCACTCGCTCTCGCTCATCTTTCTCCCAAAGCTGTTTGTTTTGGGCCAAAGTAAGTGCTTTCTGTGTGCCACTTGGGATTCTATTATCGCACCATATGACTGCTTGTTACTTGTACCGTTGGACATTTATGGTCGTCCGTCATTATTTCCCATTTCTTGCTCAGGTGTATGGGTCGGTAGTGGCTGGTCGCTACAGCAACCAGCATATTCTTCCCCTGGCTCACATGGTGGTAAGGAGAACTTCAAAAGCTGGTGCTCTTTGAATCATGGACATATTTAGCATTGTTGTGGGTGTGCATGTACATAGTACACACTGGTGTTACTCGTACTCATGACCTTCCTTCCCCCCTCTCTTCCTTCCCTTTTATCTCACCTCTCACCCTTCTTCCCTTCTTGCAATTGCCTTCTCTACATCTTTTCTTTCATTCTCCCCCCTCTCTTTATCCCAAAAACGATATCACTTGGAATTGTATTGCATTGACGGTTGAAATGGAGAAGCTTATTCCACTCCTTACTTTGCTCTCTCTCCTCCTCCTCCTCTCCTTTTGCCCAGGTCAGTGGGGATCCGAGCTACCAGCCAGAGACGAATACGACATTCAATATTGAAGCGCTCGACGAACAACTGGGTACGAATCACTCGCACACACAAAATGTTTGCTAACTTTAGAGTCGTCGTGTTTTGTTGCAGACGTGCACAATGCATTCCAGATAAGTCACGCGGACAAGTCGTTTCACGTGTTTTCCCTGTCGCAAGCAGACAAGGCCAACTGGTTGGCAAACCTTCAGAAACACATCAACAAGGTGGCATTAGTAGGTGAGTGAAGGAGGCTGAAACTTTAACAAGTGCACGAGTTACTCTCTCTCCCTCCCTCCCTCTCTCTCTCCCTCCTTCCCTCCCCGTTGCGCACGGCACCAGGAGGCAACCAAATGGTGTCTCCTCGTGCAGTGTGGGTCCCGGACTCCCACAGCAAAGAGTGCATGATCTGTGGACTCAAGTTCAGTGCCTTCAACCGCAAGCACCACTGTCGACAGTGCGGTCGCGTCGTCTGCTCGTCTTGTTCCCCTCACCGAGTCATCATCGATCCTCAGACAGACGGTAAACCGGAGAGGGCATGCAGCGAGTGCGCCAAGGACGTAACACCCGTCAAGAGCAAAGGTGAGCTGAGATCTCTTGCTTGTTGGCATCACTTGCCCAACTCTTAACTCGGCCAAATTTCCAATCTACGTGTATACTGTACCATCACTTGTTACTGTACACATGTGTGTGTGTGTGTGTGTACATATTTGTTAGTCTGGTTTGTTTGTCTACATGCAGGAAGTCCAGAGTTGAACGCCAAGTCTCAACCAGGTATGTGTGTATTTCAGTTTAGTAAGGTCTACCTGTCTATACACGTGTGCACCTATAAAACTAACAGAGAGAAGTTTTGGTCAACGACCAGCCAACAGTATACACTTACATGCAGGCTAGGATTTTTATAATTATGCTCTCTCTCTCTCTCTCTCTCTTCAGCTGCAGTGGTAGCGGCACAGGTTGTGTCCAACATTGTGCGACAGAACAGTGGGGATCACCAGTCACTCCGGCGACAGACGGACCAGTTTCCACGGCAACGGAGAGACAGCACGGACACGGAGGACAGCGATGACTCGGAGAGTGAACAGGGCACACCCCCTTCCAAGAAGAAAGTGAGGGCTCTGTATTTTCACTCCATCTTTCCAAATTCCATCTTGTACTCAACTCACTCCCACTTTTTCTTTTTACCTCTCGTTTTACTCTGTCTATCTGCATTATTTTGTTAGCCAACACCAACTCCGAGACGAGCTCAGTCAGAATCTTCAAAACACGGAGTCTCAGTGATGACATCATCATCTGGCCCCCCGCAGCGACCCCCTCCGTTTGCCTCCTCGTCATCAGTCAGACGACCCCCGCCTCCAAATCCGAGCCCCGACCCCCCAGTTTCCCCCTCCCCGCCTTCTTCTTTTTCTTCGCAGAAAGGGTCCCCGAAGCCGAAACCACGCACAAGAAGACCAGACGAAACGACGTCGTCTCCTTTAGAAGTAGGAGCGAAGGAGGTAGTAATAGTTCCTTCGGAAGAACCGCAGCCCACGCCACCTCCGCGGAAGAGAAAGAAGGCAAAGTTGAAGCAACAGATTGAGCAGCAACTTCAGCATCAGTTAGAGGAGCAAGCAACGTCTGTGGGTACACCGGAATCAGCCGCTTCCAGCTCTGTTTCTGTTGAGGAAGTGAGGGAGGGAGGAGAGGAAGAGAAGGAAGGAGATGGAGAGGAAGAGAGAAGGAAGGAGATGGAGAGGAGAGAGATGTGGAAGAGAAAGACGGAGGAGGGGATGTGGAGGTGGCAATAGTTGAGGGAGTTGGGAGTGAAGTATGGGAGGCCGGAAAAGATGATGGAGTACAAGTATTGGAAGCTGAAGAGATGGGAGGCGGTGAGATTGGTGAGATTGGTGGGGTTGTGGAGGCGGAGGTTGTGGAAGTGGGGACTGAGCCAGTGGAACAAGAATTGGATGGGGAGGAAGGGGAAGAGGAGGGAGGGGGAGAGGGTAAGGAGAGAGAGGATGGTGGGCCGAGAAGACCTAGGAGAAGAAAGCAGCCCTTCCGGTGAGTGGCTCTCATTCTCTTGTATGGCATCTTAGAGTGAGTATTATAAGTGGTTCCCATGTCACATGACTTGTTTGAAACACTTGTAAACGTGGGATTTCTCACTCGTGGTATTGTACATGTCGAGTATTGGCCCTCTTTTCACTTGTGGTTCTATATACTTTGTTCTATAAAACTCTCTCTCTCTCTCTCTCTCTCTCACAAAAACACAGAGATGATGATGAAAAAACCTCTGAGGAGAAAACCACACCCACTGACTCCACCCATAATGAAGAAGCCTCTCTGTCTGACTCCACCCATCAACAAGAAGAGGCCACACCCACCCCCGACAACTCCACCCATCAACAAGAGGAGACCACACCCACTGACTCCACCCATCCGCAGCGGGACGAATCATTAGCCGACAGAGACACCAACTCTGCAGCTGAAGTGGAAATAGCTGGATCAGGACAGGACAACGAACCACAATCAGGACACTCGTCGTTGCCCACGGATACGGCTGAAGATGGAACCCCGGTGAAAAAGCCGAGAGGTCGACGACAGAAGTTCAAGCAAGCAGCAGAAGCAGAGAGTTAAAATTATATTCACTCACCAAAATTTATTCTTGTAGTGTGGTATAATTATGTGGAGTTGTGTGTTGTACTTGCGTAATACGCATGCGCAGAGAATGCGCGCGCCGCGCGCCAAGTAGTGGGTGGGGCTGTGGTGCGCTTCAATTAGAGCGCACAAAGGAGGAAAATGCAGGTTTTGACGGAAAACACCGCCGGCTTAAAGAGACACGTCCCTAGAGAATGATTCAGTTTATTCTGTTGCTCTGCTGTGTTACTACGCTCCTAGGGTATGCCTTGTGCCGCCTGGAGCAAAGAGGAAAGCCTCACAGGCGTATACCTTTTCAATTTTCCAAGGTTCGTGTCAGTTGTATGGCTGCTGAGCTGGTACCAAGCTGGCAGGTTGCTACTGACGATTGGCGGGGAAAAGCAGGCGGCCCCTCCGCAGTGGTTCAGCACAGGGTGTCCACAGGTAGGCAAACTATGATGTAACAAACCCGTAATGTACGTATGACGTTATTAATTTTAGGCACGTACTCTGATGTGTAAGCCACGCCCATCAACAGAACCCGGGCACGTCCTGACTGGACGTGAAGTGATAGACACACACCTAAGACAAGTAAAATTTACAGTGTCAGTAATCTGTATACTCCTGTCTGTTTCAGTAATCTTTCTGCATACTCTTGTCTGTGTCAGTAATCTTTCAGTATACTTGGCCTATATCAGTAATTTTGTGGGCGTCGTCGGACTGCAGGGTCTACAGTATGGAATGAGAGATTTCGTTCAGTCCTGGTTCCATGTCTGGGTGAGTCCCAACCCAGCCTTCCCCGGAGAAGTTCAAAGGGCTGTTGTCACCGTGGTGACAGAGCTAACAAGAAGGTTAAATATATTTTTTCTGTGTCCTTTACAGGTGCTCTTTATTTGGAGGGTTCTTTTTTCAATGATACTACACACTCACAAACAAGTGAAGTAAAACTTTTACATCCCATGAGGATATTAGACCATGTGATGCCTCTTTCTCAAAACTTTGCTCTAATGTTGACTCCCCTGGTAGATGCAGTGAGGCAGATTTGGCCACTCTGCTGAGTCAGACACTACTGGAGGAGAGTCTGACCCATTTGTCTCGCTGCAAAGAAGCCTCCGGTGCTACCGGCTGTGCCGATACCGAGACAGGTATTACGTAATGTCTCTCTTCTAATGATGTCGTGATTACGTCATCTTTATTAGAGAGTTTGGGGAGTCGTGTTTTGGCTGGTCTTCCCAATGACGATCCTTGGACTGCGGTCTGTCTTCAGCCTGAGATACAAAGAGGTAGAATTTATTTTACAACATCAGCCTTACTCTCCTCTCTCTCTCTCTCTCTCTCTCTCTCTCTTCCTCTCTCTCCCTCTCTCTCTCTCTCTCTCTCTCCCTCTCTCTTCCTCATTCAGCATATTTCCAAGGAGCCAGTGAACTACTGCTGTTTCTGATTCTACCAGACGATGAGTTCTCCAGCCCTCCCCTCCGCCTTCTCCTCAGGGTCAGGTGACATCATGTGATCCCTGATGATGTCATTGATAGATCACGTGACCTCCTAACAGGACCTGATGACTCAGCAAATATGGATCCCGCTCTTGCAGGCTCTCTCCGCCCCCGACTTTATCAACACAACACTCATCTCATTGGTTTGTTTGAATTCAAATCGAACTATACTGCAATTTGATTGGTCGGTTTGAATTTGCAGTGCAAGGAGCAATCTCTGAACAGTGAATCGTTTCTCGCTGCGGTGAGGACGCCACACTCTCCCGCGGAGGTCGAGAGGTTACAAGAGTTTGTTGCCGTGGAGACAGAGAGGCTCAAAACACGCGGGGTGAGCGGGGCGGACCAGCAGCGTCTTGCCTCGCTGGACGTTGTCATGACAACCATCGTCAAGCAACTGCAAGGAGAGACGGTAAGGAGCGATGAAAGCGTACGAATTAATCTTCACAACTTGTGTTTCACTTTTTCATTTTTGTGCCTTGAAAAACGTATGGATTAATCTGCTCTTGATGCTCTCGGAAATGGTAAAAATGTAGGAGGAAGGTGCGGAGGAGGTCGAGTCGTCTCTCCCACTGTCTCTCTCCGTCTCTTTACCTGAATACAGTGAGTTTTTTAGTCAGCGAGTGAGTCAGCATCCATACAGATAACTTCGATGGAGAGTTTTCGTAAAAGTAATTCCATTTTCAGACTTCCGGTTCGACAGATGTATGCACACACAAGCCCCACGTCCTCAACATTTTCAAATTTCAAATTTCCTTCTCAAAAACCTTCCACTGAACTACAGTTCCTCTTCTGTTTTAATATCTTACCACCTTCTCTAATAATCTTACCACCTAGTTCCCCCCCTCCCTTCTCTCCCTACTCAGTGATAGAGAGAGGTAACCAGGTGAAGTACACACTGAGCGTCCAATGTCACCACTCTGGTCTGGACGTCACGGAAACATGGTCAACTCGTCGACAGTTCTCCGATTTTCACGACTTCCACATGACGCTCAGGAACACCGTACGCGTATATCTGATTGGTCGCAAGTCGTGCGATCCTTAAATTTCATTGGTTGCAAATCATCGCACGTTCAGGTCATGTGATTCTCACATGATACCCCACTGCAGCCAAGTAAGGACACCCCAGAAATGAGGACACCTCTCTATCAAGGACACCTTTTCTTTCCCCAAGAACAGTTCTTGCATGCAATTTAACCACTAAAATAAGGACACCTCACTAATATAGACACTTTCTTCTGTCCCATTGGTGTCTGGGTTACAGGGGTTCCACTGTACTACAACAGTTATGATCCCTTCGTCTGTCTATCTCTATCCGCAGCTGGGTTCTCTCCCTCCCTCCCTCTCTCTCCCCTCTCGCCGAGCCATCAAGAAACTAGACCGGGCATTCCTGGACTCGAGGAGGCGTGGTCTCGAGAGCTACCTCCAGACCCTCGTCTCCGAGACGTTCCTCTCTCGTTACCCACATGCCCTCCCACTCGTCTCCCTGTTCATCTCTGACGAGACCTACAGACGAAGCAGCAACGAAATAAACAGACAGGTATTTGAAATAAACAGACAGGTATTTGCAGGCAGGTATTTGAAATAAACAGACTTGTATTTGAAATAAACATACATACAGGTATTTGAAATAAACAGACTGGTATTTGAAATAAACAGACAGGTATTTGCAGGCAGGTATTTGAAATAAACAGACTTGTATTTGAAATAAACATACATACAGGTATTTGAAATAAACAGACTGGTATTTGAAATAAACATACAGATATTTGAAATAAACAGACTGGTATTTGAAATATACAGACTGGTATTTGAAATAAACATACAGATATTTGAAATAAACAGACTGGTATTTGAAATATACAGACAGGTATTTGAAATACAATAGACGTAGAAAATTTTTTTCTTGCTCAGGTGGACCGGTTGCTGCATCCCTTCAGAAAATCACCTCCTCTCTCTAAACTCACAAATACTCTCAACAAGGTTCACTTCAAAAATTTTGTATAGCAAAAATGTAGGCCAATATTTTCTATTTAGGTGACATCATCACCAATGTTGCCACAGCGACAACGGCTAGCTTCCCCGGATAGCGCATCATCAGAAGAGGTGAGCAGGAAAATTATATATTACCATGATGTCATCGTAATTACATCACAATGATGTCATTCAGGAGGAGCAGGAACTTGACCTACTATTAAAGCTGCTTGACGAACTCTTTGACCTCCGAGACCACGGCCAGTGGCTACGGAGACAGGTGGCACACATTCTTAGCCAGTTGCTAGGCGACCGCGTCAGCCGGAAGGTGGCAGAGGGCGTGGCTTGGCTAACGAGCCCAGATCAGGTGTCACAGAACTGCCGTGACCTAATGTGAGTTGTCATGGCAACAATCAGTATTACCGAACTATTTGCAATGGAACTCCTCTAATCAGGACACCAATGGAAGCTTCTATTATTAGTGAGGTGTCCTTAGTATTATATTATAATTATATATATTATATATGCATATGAGAAACTGTTCATTTTGGGGGAAAGAAAAGGTGTCTTTATCGGAGAAGTGTCTCATAAAGGGGTCCACTGTAGTTGCCACTAAAATATTCTTTCTTTCTGTGTTAAGAAACACGATATGGCCTGGTGGAGTGAGACCTCACCATGGCAACCGGGAGGGGGAGGAGCTAGGCGAGGAAGAGGAAGAGGAGGGAGGAGTGGAAAGGGTTAAGATGCTGAGGTCCGTTCTCGTCAGGTCTAAATTAATAGGGACTGTCCCTGACGACCTGCGCAGACTGCTCGGCTCTCGAAGAACCACCCAGGGAATGGCAAGGTTTGACTCTATCACTGGATATTCTGTGCTGGGGGGAGCCTGGCCTAGCTACAATGTACAGTGGAACCTCTGATTAAAGACATAGATAGTTCTACCCCATTTAGTGTATACCTCTGAATGAAGGATGTAAAATGACACTTCCTATGTCCTCAAGGCGTTCCTTGTTCCGGGTTTTCCCTGTTGTCGAGAAAGAAACTTTTCACGCTATAGAACCAAGAGAATGTCTCAGTACATAAAGGATAAGTTGGGCCCTGTGCAAGAATGAGATTAGGTTTTCCTTTTTTGTGCCACATTTGTAATCTTTCGTCTCCTCTCCTGTTGTTCAGACTGAGCCACCTGCTTCAGGACAAGGCCCTCAACAGCTGGCTGTGTCTTCGTCTCTTTGAGGCCATCCTCCAGACCCTCTTCCCCTCCCACTCCCTCTCCCCCGCCCTCAGGTCGCTACGGCAACAGCTACACAACACCGGTGGTACAACAAGATGGCTACCATAACAACCAACCACACCCACTTAACGAGAAAATATTTTCCGAGCTATTCATGCAAACAACAGTGTTACTGTTTTTATACCCCCAATTTTGAGTGTTTTTATGAGCAGATGAGCAGATTAAAAGTGAAACTCGCTAGCAAAAGCACAACTGCAAGCCAGACCCGTAGTGTCCTTTGTAGATGGGTGTCCAGGGTAATTTATTAATCACGATTTATATTAATTGTTTAGCAGACCTGACTTTGCAACGAATACTGACCCAGAAAAAATTATGAAGTGGAAGATATTATTATGCACCAGCGATAATTATATATATGCACCAGCGATAATTATATATATTATGCACTAGCGATATTATGTTATTATTGACAGAGTATAACATACACACACATGGGTTGAGACGGGCAATGCGATAAAACCACAGCATGAGAGAATGAAGGAGCGAGGAAGAGAGAGAGAGAGAGAGATAAGAAAATGAAGTGGATGTACACGAGCCAAGCAGAGGGTGTCACATGACAGTCATGTGACATGAGATGCAAAATGATGAACGAGAGGTAGTCGTCGTCTTGTACTACATGTGTAGAGGAGAGGTCAAAGGGTCACTGGGGACCATTCTGTGACTGTTGCTGGTGGCGACGGATATACAAGTCCAACAACTTGGACTGAGCATGAGGAGAAATAGAACATGTGACAGTCACATGACTGATATTACTGGGAGCTATATAGGCAAATCTTTACCAAATTACTAAAAAGTCACTATCCTGTCATTATCTGGTCACATGACATCATTATTAAGTCACGTGACAGTCACCTGAGAGGAGCTGAGTTTAGTGAGGTGTTCCTTCAGCTCTGCCCCGACGACCGAGTGCACGGCAACGAGACAGAACACGCTGGCCTTCCTGACGGTGCTCTCCTGGTGAGCGTAGCCTCGGATGAGTCCCGGGACCAGGTCGGCCAGTTTGGACCGGAGGTAGCCCGCAGGTGAGATGGTTGCCACCTGGCGAGGAGGTGAGGTGAGGGAGGAAAAAGAGATAACAACGCAAGCCCTTCAGAAAGTTTCTCTGGATTAGAATACTGTAGAAGCTTCGATAAGGGTACTCCGAAAAAGGACACTTTTCTATAAAGGACACTTGGTTCTGCCCCATATTAATACATAGGGACACCTCTGAATAAAGGACACCTCTCTATAAGGAACACATGGTTCTGCCCCATACTAATACATCAGTGTACTATATATACGTACCTTAAACCTCCAAATATAAGGCACCTCTAATAAAGGACTCTTGTAATGTCCCCAAGGGTCTCCCTCGTTCAGAGGTTTAAACTGTACCTTAGTGAGGAGTCGTATGCAGCCCAGTAGCATTGGGTACTTCTCCCTCCCGACCATGGGGCAGAGAAGATCCACAGTTGGCTCTGGCGGAAGGGCTGGTGCCAGGAGAGAGAACGTGTCTTCTGCCGCCTGACTCACCTGACGTGAGAAACAAGAGCAGGAGATTAACACGGTGGAATAGAGGACATGCTGGCCGGGACCATGAAAATTATATGCCGGGACCATGAAAATTATGTGCTGGGACCATGAAAATTATATGCTGGGACCATGAAAATTATATGCCGGGACCATGAAAATTATATGCCGGGACCATGAAAATTATGTGCTGGGACCATGAAAATTATATGCTGGGACCATGAAAATTACATGCTGGGACCATGAAAATTATATGCTGGGACCATGAAAATTACATGCCGGGACCATGAAAATTATATGCCGGGACCATGAAAATTAATGCCGGGACCATGAAAATTATATGCCGGGACCATGAAAATTATGTGCTGGGACCATGAAAATTACATGCTGGGACCATGAAAATTACATGCTGGGACCATGAAAATTATATGCCGGGACCATGAAAATTACATGCTGGGACCATGAAAATTACATGCTGGGACCATGAAAATTACATGCTGGGACCATGAAAATTACATGCTGAGACCAACTTACACTCGCGTCACCATCAGCAAAGTTAACCAGCACCCTCAGCGTCATGATCTCTGCATACTCGGCCATCCTCTTGTGTTCCGTCTTCAGCAGCTCTCTCACTATCCTCAGAGCCAGCGACCTCACGGGAACCTCTTCAGAGTTCAACATTGCCTCCAGCAAGAGAGTCATCGCGGTCTTGAAATGCTCCGACCAGTGGCACTTCTCTGGAAAGGTTCTAGCCTGCGTGAATATAGTCTGCAGTGCCGTCTGCTTTTGTTTAGAGCTGCGGAAGGAAGAGATGATTGATCACATGATGTCAGGTGATCGTCACGTGATCTCTAACCTCGTTGAGGTGCCGAGTTCGCGGAGTGCCAGAGCCATCTGGTCGCGCGAGTGTTCGTCAGTGCTGGCCCCGCCCACTCCGCTGGGGGCCTCTTTCTCCTCTCTCTCGTCTCCGGAACCGTAGTCTAGTCTCGGGAGGTCGGAGAACAAAAATTTCTCGGGGTTTTGGTCCCCCTCGCCCCCCTTCCCGGCGGCCCCCTCCGTCTTGGTCTCGGCATCCTCACCTTTCTCTGTACCATTGTTGTACCGCACCGGGTCATAGTTGGAGCTGTAGACACACACAATAAACACGTCATTTTCAATTTCAATATTCGAAGCATTTGTGAAAGTAAATGCAGAAATTCAACCAAATAATATGGTAGACATCAATACGTCAGGATTTCACAACCTTTACCGAAAAGGTGTTCTAACACGACATCCATTACTACAAAAGTGCCCTGAAATTAAGAGGTCACCCATTACCACAAAAAGAAAGAACTTAATTCTTTACTGAAAAGGTGTCCTGAAACACAACAATAACAGGACACCCTCGAAGTTGTCCTAAACTTCACCAACAGGACACACTCACCGAGCACTGTCTGGCCTCTTGAGCTCGGCAGCTGCTGTTCTCTCAGCCATGACGTCGGGATCAACCGAGGCCGACCGCGGAGGAGGCACGTTCTGACGCCGCACGGTGGGCGGAGTCTGCCCGGGCGTGGTCGAGCCCGGTCGCCGGGGGATACCGGATATGTTTCCGCTGCTCGTGGACGATGCGAGGGAGCGTTGAGATCGTGGTGACGGCTGTTTAAGACCTGGGAAAAGGAGACAAACTTGAGATGTATACATACACACTCTCTCTACAGTCACCCCTGAAACAAGGACACTTCTTCTCTCCCCTTTCCTCCAAAAACTATAATAACCCCGGAGGACTGAGGAATGAGGACGTTTCACTAATACGCAGACTTTCTTCTGTCCCATTGGTGTCTGGGTTAGAAAAGTTGGACTACTTTTGACTGTTTGAGAAAGTCATTCCAGCCCCCCGAGAGAAAGCTCACCATTTTGTGGAGTTTTTGTTAAATCATCACTGACGTCAGACGTCGACGCAGACAGGCGCCGGGACACGCCCCCCGGTGTCCTCATTCCAGTCCGGGACGAGGATCGTGGAACCGGAATCCCGGAACCGCCAGATGATCGACTCGGAGTGAGGCCCCGCCCACTTTCCGGGGTACTCCCGCTTCCTGAAGGGGTGCGGCTTCGAGAGGGCGTGGTTGGTCGATAGAACGCTGTGCTAGTAGCTGGTCGAGGAGAGGCGAGCTGTGGATTTCAGGATTTCAGGACATGAAGCAATTTTATAGGACACCGATTATCAGGACACGAAAGGATTCAGGACAACGTTGCAGGACATACATTAAAACCTATCGAAAAAGGGGCCACTGAATTAAATTTCTCTAAAATGGACACTTGATTCTCTGCCCCATATACTAATACAGGACGATTACCTCCTAATAAGGAACACCTCTGAATAAATCAAAATTCCCCAAATACCTTTTTCACTGCACATACCTTTGAGGAAGGAGAGGAAGGGATGTTAGTACGGTGCCGAGAAGCCTGACTGGCAGGTCGTTTGTGGGAGGGGCTAGACGGCTCGTCATCCGAACTAGACGACGCCTCCTGCGACACACAGAGAACTGATTCCAGTTTTCAAAACCGGTCAAACGGGTCTGACCTGCATGTAGACCTTGAGAATCTTGTTTGCCGTGTCCTGCAGCGTCTTGGAGACCGAGCGAAGCATGATTGAGAAGGTCGCAGGGTTCAGATCGAACAGACCGGTAATGACGCTCTGACTGAGTCGACGAATGTCGCCGCTCTTTGGCTCAGATGTGGCCTGGATTAGCTTCGAGATCGCCTGCCTCATTTCTGCCGGTAAGGAGAGAGACGGAGCTTGTACAGTTAAACCTCAGAGTAAGGGACACTTGGGGACATTGAGAGTGTCCCTTTCCTACCAAATGTTTCCATCCCCACCTCCTCACCTCCTCACCCCATCATTCCCCTCTCCCCCTCCCTCATTTCCCTCTCTCATCCCCACTCACCAGCGTTTTCTCGAAGGTCGCCAGAGTCCATCAGTGGAATCAGCTCAGACAAATACTCCAGCCAAGCCAACCTCACCTGTACGCCATCGCAAAGCACAGTTTGAAACGCTCACACAAGAAATTTTAGTTCTTCAAAGAAGGCTTTACATGTACACATATGCATATGACATACGCACAGAACAACACAATCTAGCAACTGTAAGATGGGCAAAAAAATGTTTGAAAGTTGAAAAAAATATTTTTGAAGTTGACAAATTTTGACGTTTATGGGGATACCTTTCTGTTCATTGGCTGGCTTTGATCGTTCAAAATCCTACACAAAGTCATAAATTGCTGGTCGGTGTCAAACGACTTCCTGTGCGGTAGACAAACAAATAATCCATGACGTAATCACGACATCATCCACACAGACCTGATGAGTTCTAAGATGAGTTGTAGTTTGAAGTGCATGTGTCCGAGGAGGTCGCTGCCATGGCGATGCAGTAACCGTAGCAATATGAGAAAGAGCCAGTCTTCGAGATGTTCTCTGTGATCTTCGATGAAGACGCTCAGAGCCTCGAGAAACAGGGAATAAATCTGTAAGGGGGGGAGGGGGGGGAGGAGTGAAATAGAGGCAAGATGAAGGGAGGTATAAATGAGATAGCGTTGCTATTCCACACTCAAACTACAGTCAAAGTATTTCATATGGTTTGTTTGTCATTTCATTCATTCATGTGTCCACAAAAAAAGCAAAATCGTTAGATAAGATAGATCTACAGTAAACCATACCCTCATCTGCGGCTCTGAGAACATTTTCTTGAATATTGTCTTTATCGTGTTGATGTCTGAATGTCTGTGTGGTACATAAGCAAATTAGCAATATACATTAACACAAACAGATAGAGAAACAACAGTAAACAACATGGTAAACACAGCAAACAGATAGAGAAACAACATGGTAAACACAGAAAAACAGATAGAGAAACAACAGTAAACAACATGGTAAACACAGCAAAAAGAGTAAACAACATGGTAAACACAGCAAACAGATAGAGAAACAACATGGTAAACACAGCAAAAATAGTGAAACAACATGGTAAACACAGCAAACAGATAGAGAAACAACATGGTAAACACAGCAAAAATAGTAAACAACATGGTAAACACAGCAAACAGATAGAGAAACAACAGTAAACAACACAGTAAACAACAACAGTAAACAACACGGTAAACAACAACAGTAAACAACATGGTAAACAAACACCACAACACCATGGTATGTAGAACACTTACAACAGTTCTCTTTCAGGATTTTCTAGAAGAATCTTGAGTTGTGCCATTCCGTCCTTTCGGTCGCTCCAACTCTGACTCGAGCAGAGAGCTAGCAGCTCACTGACATCCTTTGGAAAGATGAGAGAGAGAAAAAAGAAAAGAGAAAGATGAGGGAGGGTATTAAATGGAATGTGGCATTACATAATAGCTAAATTTAGAAATGTTACTAAAGATAGAACTAAACAATAAGGGCCCAGTGTAAGAATGCAATTAAGGTGCAGTTTTTAGTAATACTGGCACATTCCCTTTAAGGGGAAAGGAGAGCCTTTCTGAGTCTGAAACAGAATTCTGCTGTGTTGATGTGCTAATGTACTGACTGTGACAGGGTTGGCATATTTCATGTATGGAGAAATGGAGACTTCACTGGAGACCGAGAACGTCGATTTCTCGCTGTTGACACTGGCGGCGTCGTCATCCTCATCACCATACTCACCTCCTCCCTGTGTGAGTGTGTGCGTGTATGTGGGCGGTGTGTGTGTGGGTGGTGTGTGTAGGGGGGGAGCCAGTAAAAGGTGTTAGAGTGACTGTGTGAACATCATACAATATGAAGGAACTGGGGCAGCATGCTATGGCAAAAGCTGCAAAGTGTGTGCATCCAGATCCGAAGAAACCTTGGACCTAGAAAACACCACACTGCCAAAATAGTCGTGGAAGGCAAAGAGGGAAGGTATATAAACTCACGTAGAGACTAAGCATTGTCTCTTTGGTGGGCACGCCCACTCTCCCCGATGCCTGTCTGGAACTGGGACGATGCGGACTGGACTCACGACTGAAACAACACAGCAACACAAATAACACTGACATAGTTGTGGTTCTATTCCAGACCTGTGCGCCGGGCTGGGCTGGTGACTTCGAGACAGTCTCACTCCCGATCCGTGTTTCCCCGGGAGAAGGAGATCGCTCGATTTCTTCTTCAGGAGCATCCCTGAGCGAGACGGCGGTCTGATTCCGGAACGGACTCCGGACCGTGACGAAGGTCTATGATGAAGGGGGCTCCCCCCCGGTCCCCCGCTGAGCAAGTTCTCGGTGCTCCGTGCGGCGTTCAGCGGAGGTTTTTTGTTGGAAATTCTGACGGTGGGTCTCTGGATGCGAAGGGAAGGCGTGGCAGGGAGGTTGTATGGGGGAGATCCGGGGGCCCCATCTGGGGGGACCGATGAGGAATTCAAGGGAGCAGGGGCCGGGGGGCAAATATTGGCGATGGACGACAGGGCTTTCTTGAGAGTAGCGCTCATCTCTGGCGTAATTGAATCATCTACTGAGAGTGGGAGAGAGAAAAACAAAACAATTATCAGGATTATTTGGAGGAACATTGAGAGAAGTTTGTGACTGCAAATGCACTCATGATTGCAGACTCTAAGAATTCTCACAAAATACAGTGGAACCCTCTCTAGGGACACCCTTCAAAATGAGGACACCATTTCTTTAACCAGTGTCAGGATTAGAATGGTTCCACTGTTCATTACCTTTACTATTGGAGTGATTGCTAGGGGGCGGAGCTTTCTTGTGAACTTTGCCCCCCAGCGACGACGTCGGTCTGGCTACGTCTCCCTTCTCCATGGCAACCTTCTCGTCATTGATGTGCCTCTGGAGCTGTGGGTCCAGAGAATCGAAGAATCTTTGAGCTCTTGAGGGTAGCTTTCCGTGATAGCTCCAGTACGCTCTGGGGAGAGAGGGGAGGGGGGAGGGGAGAAAATGGAGCAGAAGAGAATGAGAAGAAGAAATGAGAGAGAGAGAGAGAGAGAGAGAGAGAGACAGACAGACACAAACAGACGGATGGATTGAAGTGGCAAAAGAAGAGAGAGTTGGAGAGAATACATGTACACTTACTTCGGTTTACGTGTTTAAATGGTCTAAAAACCACTTAAAGAGGAGATTGTTTGTAAACCGGTTCATTAAAGTGATACACTGTACATACTTGCGACAGTGTTTTCTGGAAGTAGCGTCAGCGTCAGCAAGCCCCTTTCTCAGCAAGTCCTCGGTGACGGACGCTGCCTTCTCGACCACAGGTCGTTCCCACGACAACAAGGCCAGCAACAGAAACTCGGCACACTGCCTGTGATGTATACAGTACCACACCAACTAACACAGTACTAAGCACATAGTTAGGATAGCAGAATAAACACACACACACACACACACACTCCTAAACCACACCAACTAAGCCGGTAACAACACAATAGTAAAAAGTGCTGGGATTTTATAACGCTAAAGCTAAGGGCTTCCTCCGTACATAGGAAGGGCTAGGGCTATGCAAGTAGGAATTCAATATGAAGTCATATCTCACTAAATGTAAGGATTAAGCACCAAACTGCACCATTCATATGCAATCTTCACGAATGCCTATAGTACCATACATTACCGGTGCACTGATCCAGACACTGAGCACATGTTACCATACACAGTGGCTATACATGACAATGGCCACATGATAGTGCCACACTCACTTCCTAATGATGGCCGACTTGCTTGAGAGACCAATGGAAGAGATAGGATTCAGCAGTCGGTGACTCGGCGAGTTCTATAGGAGATCACGTGACAGTCACATGACCGGTTGCCATGGTGCTAAATACACGCGGATGTGTTTCTGGTCTACTCACCTTGAGAATGAACTTGACACAGATGCTGGCAGAGGTGGCCATTATCTGAGACAATGGAGGGTGAATGGGGTCAATTACGTGACACGAAAACACAGGGTTACTTTTACAAGGACACTCCTGAAATCAGGTCAGGACAGCTTTGATCCTCATTACATCAGGACACCTCTCTTTTCAGGACACTTTCAAGCTAATGTAATCAGGACACCTCACACTCACGAAATCAGGACACAGTTTGAGAGAATTTGGACTTCCATGTACATACCTTTGCCGAGTTAAGAAGAAGAGGAATGAGCTGAGTCAGCATGTTTTCGGCCACACCCACAAACTCCACCCCCATGACCGTCGACACGTAGGCCAGAGTTACACACGTTTCTCTCGTCACCTGAGATCTCAGGTCCTTCAACTGCAAGACGAGACCGAGGTGAAATGGAGAGAGGGAGAGGGTAAATAAAGAAGAGAAAGGTATAGGAGAGAGAGGAGAGAGAGAGAGGGGGAGTAAATACCGAAGTTAGAAAGGCGTCTTGCATGCTCTTCAGATGGCCGAGCAGTTGCTGACGGTCGACTCGCTCCGTGGCTACCACCCCTCTTATCTCCTTCATCTGTATCGGAGGAGAGAGAAAGACCGACAGAGTAAAGAAACACAGCATACAGCTGGAAAATTTCGCAGGGAAATACATTCACAAACTTGAGTGTTTGTGAGCTAATCTTCTAAACAATCGGCACCATTTCTCTGCAATACACTCTAGAGGGTCACCCCACTACTACATCGATCAGGCTATAGTGGCCTGGGTAGTGTAGAGAGGAAGAAAGAAGGCAAACTGTCTATCCGATTCGAGACTCACAGCAGCTACTCTCTGTTCCCAAGGTTTGGAACCGTCTACCAGAGTGGTCTGGACTCGGGACATTATCTTGTCCAGATCATGACTGGTGTAGATCTACAGCAACACAATCAAAACACACGTAACAGACGGTCAACTTTCAACACCATCATGCAGTGCACATACTAGTTGAAAGAAACGCGATCTACTCGAAATTCCCTACAAATTTCGTTAGGCTGCAGTTCAGTCTAGGAACAACACTGAGCCTTTTTGCCTAGTCGTCTCCCTAAAAGAAATATGGCACTAGCCGGATAAAACAGGCATTACACTTGTGATACGTGAGATGGGGCCTTCTAAAACTGTAGACAGAGTGAGAGAGAGTAAGTAAGAGAGCTCACAGTGACAGAAGGTACATCCAGAAAAGCCTTCTGGAAATCCTCCTCGGCGACTCCGCCTCCTGATCCTCCGCCCGCCATCGACCCAGAGGCCACGCCCCTCGACGAAGGGCGTGGCAGGGTGCGGGACCGATAGCTCCCGGTGCTGGCCGCCGCCTCGATGCTCATCACGGAGCCCTGTGTTCGGGCGGAGAGTGAACTGCACCCTGAGCTGGCGTCGTCCAGATCAACGTCCTACATGGAGTCAAACATCGGGGAAAGGAATGCGGGAAGAATGAGAATTTCAACATCGGAAGACTTGGCTGCACAACAATAACATTGCATTCACTTCTACACACACTATGCTATGTACAGGTACGGATGTCTTTTGAAAACTCTCTCACTTGCACATGGGTTTTCAATGCTATATCTTCTTCTCACAACTCTACACAAGAACTCACTCACTCACTTGCACACACACACACACACAGTTTCAGTGCTAAAATCCTACGTTTGGTCGACTTGCACACACAAAGTCTCAATGCTACACTGGTGGTTTTGGGCAAACACTAGGATACAGCGGGCCAGCCTGTCTTGACTTATAGTTAAAGATACACGTATGTAGGATGTGTGTTGAGCATTTGAGGCTTGGCAAGCCGTGCTCATCAGTAAAAATACCTCTCTCTCCAGCAATACCAGCAGAGTATATACAAGCATGCGTGAAACATGACTGATGGAGATTGCCAAGAACGTTATACTGTACCTCTGTTCCGGGCTCGTCAACTGCGTTAGTAGCCGCGTCAATCGCGTCAAATCTCGCGTTGAGTGTTGCCATCCTTCCTCCGGGAACGTTTCGTTTTAGAAGGTCAGTTCGAACTTTAACCCCGACATGTCGGTACACTTCCACTATGGTGTCCATGGCGCAGGACCGAACCTGGTAAACAGACAATTTTCAGTATTTTTTCATCATGAAAAATTCCTTACCTGGCTGTTAGCGTCTCCTAGCAACGTGACAATACCCGCCATGTGCCTGCCAACGGCTACCTGTCCGGCCCCAAAACTAAAAATAGAAACATTACACCATCTCATCCAAATATAAATCCAGGACATTACATCATAGGGTGTGCACCACATAGAATAGGACATCCTTCTAAGAGTTATTACAACACAAAAGATGCCTTATTTGGCCGGACAAGCAAATATCCATCGACTGATGTTTACATTATACTTGTGCCTTACTATACTATAGTGTCTGATGCACAAGATGTAAACTACTCTAGATGCAACAGATAGAGCAGGCAATAAACATAAAGTGCTGGCTACAAATTATTGCACTAGAGATGTACATGTATATGACATTTGCAACTCGGGCCATGAATAGTAATACAAAGCCTAAACATAACGCAAAGTTCAAAATATTATAGGCATTGAAATAACACACTCTGCATACATTGCTGCAATTCACTTACAAACTTCGCCAAATGACACGGGGAAGGGAGCCACATAAGGACTTATTCTAACACTCAAGCAATAAGTATTAGTCACAAAGGAATTGTGAGATCACTACTATAGCATTGTACACCTTCAGACACTAGGGCCTATACAGTCAGGGGAAGCCATCAACTGTGAGTGTGTGTGTGTGTGCGTGTGTGTGTGTGTGCGTTTGTGTGTGTGTGTGTCCCCACAGTTTGAGGAGACAGTAAGATACTTACTAGTCAATAGCTCGTGAGAGACAGACTAGGACCTGGTCTTTCACCCTCCAGTTCTTGTGACCCAGTCCGGTCTCCAGTATCCTGTGACATCACCACCGACCAATCAGACGAGAGAGATTGGGGATTACATCATCGTTGATCAATCGGAGCCCAGATAGGAAGCGAACATTGCACATCAGTGGAACAGACATGGACGCAAGTATTGGCTAACTTGTCGAGGAATTGTTGCGGAGACGAAACGACATCGACCATTATCTTCTGAGTCAGCTGCTGAGCTACCTCTCTCACTTGCTCCTTCGAATCCCCTAGTCTCTCCCTCAGTGGAGGAAAGACTGAGAAGGAGAGAGGAGAGAGAGAGAGAGAGAGAGAGAATTAATGTATGAGATAAGGAGAGAAAGAGACATACCAGTCGATATGTATGGTCGGAATCTGTCTTTCATTCTACCAGCCAGAATTACCAGCACCTCCATACCTGCTATGGACACCTGCAAACAAGCATACATCAGTGTGTGATGTGTATTCCCTTCCCTTATTCCCGCTACGGCGCTACCAGGCACTCATATGGCAAAGCCTGTAAAGCGAGCTGAGAGCCCAGCTGAAGACGAGTTCTATTTAACGCCACCCTGAGGCTCTCTACCTTGTAGTTACTGCTGCCCATCCACTGAGCTAGAGCTCCCACGAGTCGCTCCAGCTCGGGGAAGTTCTCAGGGTCGTTCTCCTCGTTCTTCATCCAGTCGGACAGCTCCTCGGCCACCTGGACCCGGACGTGGGTGTCCGTCTTGAGGGCGTCCGACAGAAGCCGTGCCTCCATCTCTCTTCCTCTTCTGCCTTGCTGTTTCTCTAGTGTCGCTTGCGACTCTCGGTCCACTGATGGAAACGGCGCCCAGAGCTTTACTCGGTTTCTTCAGCAGGGAGAGAGATAGCCAGTAAAAACTGCACACAGTGATGTTGGTTTTGCCGTTATTCATGAATTATTTATTACGCGCGCAATGTTTACGATGACGTGCTTTGATAGCCGGGGTGTTATTGCCATGGTTACCCGTATACAAAGTGCATGCGCAAACGAGAGCGCTGCAACGATCAAAGATCAGACTGCCGAGAGCGGGGAAGATCGGGAAGATCATGGCAAAGTTTGTGGTAGCGGGGAAGGTGGATTGCGCGGCGTATGCACGGGCCGAACTGCTTGCAGATCAGCTCCAGTCTTGCTTGCCCGATTTCCATGTCCACAAGGTGCATATAATACATACACATGCCACCTTTCCTGCAGGCTAATGTGTGTATTGTAGGTGCCGGTGCCTAGTGCGGAATGGGCGCAGTGGGTAAGAGAAGAGTGCGAGGAGAGGGGGTGGGTGGGACACTGTGGGGATGTGCTGGTGTGGAGGGAGCTGGTGAAGAGGGGAGGGAGGGGGGTGTACGTGGGAGGGGTGAGAGAGTTTCAAGATTATGCTTCTCACTACCACAATGTCACCCCACTCACTGACTCAGTCGCTGAACGGAACATTGGTGAGCTAAGCAACTACTACATAGCTTCAGAGATGTGTAGTGTCTCATTGCAGCGGAAGAGAACAGGCAAACCTTGGAGGCCAATCAATTGGAGGTGGAGTCTCGTACAAAGCCACACCCTCTCCGGGTGGCTGTTACTTCTGCATCTTCATTCATGGCATACCACCTTCTTCAACGGTATAAGCGTTAATTAAATTTTCCCGCTATGATAGGTTTTTCTGTTCCTCAGTCTAGCGTTAGGAGATGTATTTGGAGACAAGTTGATATCACTCCGCCTACTGGACACGCCCACACATTCCGACGAGGTTTCTGGTGTTGCCATGGAGATCACTGACATGGCTTCCCCTAGTGTTGAGAGTGTACACTGTACCTCATCAGTGAAGGTATAGTATAGTTTTCGTATTCAGTATATATACAGATCATTTGTGATTCGCATTAATCTGTATATTTGGGGCCACAAACACGAAATTTTGCACCAATCAAACCTTTCGGCTGGTCCAGCCCCATTAGGTGCAAATAAACTAAGTCTCCGGAAATTGAAACTTATTTTTAGCTGCATATGGGGAAATTCTGGATGTTTTCCTTTGCTGTGTTCGCAGGAAGCATTTCAATTGGCCTCCGTTGTGTTTGTTCTGGAGCAGTGGGAAGATGGGGGTGGGGATATTCAGAATGGGGAAGAAATTGAGGAGGCAGGTGGAGAGGACGCAGAGAGAAAGGAAGAAGAGGAGGAGGTTAGGAAGAACGAGGATGAGGGGGAGAGGGAAGAAGATAAAGAAAAGGAAAAGGACGGAGGTGTGAAAGAAGAGGGAGAAGAAAAGCCGGGAGCATCAGAAACGAGCAGCCATCTAGAGGAAGCTGCAACTCTATACCAAAAGTACGGTGCAACACTAGATTTCTGTGCACAGAAATCGGTCCGGGTAATAGTGAGTGGCCGACTCTCAAATCTTGGTGCTGCTGTAATTGCACGCACGGCCTCCTCTATCCCTCGTACCAATATCATTGCCGCTCCCAGTCTCGTTGAACAGAGGTCCAAGTCGGTTGTTGCCGGGAAACTGAGGCTCAATGCGGCCGATGTTGAGCAGGTATATAATCCATAGTTAATACGTATTCTATTGATAACCCTGCTGTTGGAGCAGACCATAGCACAGAAAAGACAAAAGATTGTATGTTTGATACCAGAAACTCACAGTTACCATTTGCTGTGCTTGGTTCAGATGATTCTTACAGTTCATCAAACGTGTGTCCGTTGTCGGTGTCACTGTGCAGGTGTGTGTCTGGGGAAGGTGTGGAGGTGGGGAGGGTGTGCTGGTGGACGTCGGCAACACCAGGGTGCACTGCTACCAGGGAGCCATCGTAGGTCCGGACCCCTTCTCCCTCCCGCTGGCTCACTGCCTTCATGACCCCGACTGGCTTGCCAGCAGTCTCTTGGGGGACGTGAGAAAGAGGGAGAGAGAGGAGAGAGGGGGAGGAGGACTGAGCGAGGCTGTTGCTATAGCTGAAATGGTTCGTCAATGGATGGATCCAAACAACGAGTCCAGGTTATTAGCTATACAAAATATCTCGCACAAAAAACTATTTGCAAATTTTCTTGCTTTCATGCATGCTTTGTTTTAGTTGTTTCGTTGCTTTTACAATAGCACTCTGTTGCACGGTTGTATATATAATTCTAACCCTAAATTCAGGGTGTGGTGTTCTGTGGGTGTGGTCAGCGAAGGAGATTGCTACGGCTTCCCAGAGGGCGTGGTCTGCAGCGTACCGGCGAGGAGAGAGGGAGGGGAGTGGAAAGTGGTACAAGGTCTTGAGCCCACTCCAAACATTCAAGTAAGCCAGCAAGAGTGGAGCAAAGAAACACTTTGTTCTTTGTCTCTCTAGGAGCAGCTGCTCAGCAAAGAGACTCACTAGACACACGACTGGACCAGGCATGGGACCACATCAAAGGACAGGAGGGGCAAATAACACAATCACCCGAAAATGATGACCTTGGTTGGCATTGAACGTTTACTAAAGTCCTATTCCGGTGCACCGTGCTTCACCTGCCGAGAACGGGAAAGAAAGAGAGAAGAGGGGCATTCACGTAGGTGAGACCCTTCAGCCACCTGAAATGCACGTCACCGAGCCCGTATTAAGAGAGGGAAAGGCGACTACAACATCTGAACACAAGGACGCCTCTAGGACCGCTAAACCTAGGAGGCAGGGGCGGCCAGCCATAGAATAAACATAAAGGAAGGACTCACTACCAAACGTAGTCCGTAGTTGAGTTCCGGGGACGTCGTCGTACGAGTTTGTCCGTTTGCCAATCAGCATATATAATCATGACGTAAAATACGACGTGCGGCCAACGTTGTATCCGCCGCGCGCCGTCTTGCAGTATAAAAACAAGCGGTCGGCCCGCAGTCTCCATTGTTTTTTGAGACGCTCCAAGCGCGCGTTGGTTGTTCTCCCGTTACTTTTCAGAGAGAATACCGGCGAAATCTGTAGAACCCCACGCTCGTCCGGCGGCGAACAATGTGTCACGGCCTTGCAGACTGTTTAGACCGACCGACGAAAACTCGGTCAGCATGAGCGAGACGGAAGACACGAAGCACAATCGGAGGCGAGAGCGAGCCAGCCAGCGCTCTGGCTCCAGCAGCGGGGCGAGCGCGGCACCGAGGACCAGACGACGCCGCCAGGAAACGGCGACACCGAACGTGGCAAGCAACCGGCGACGCTGGAAAACCCTACCCAAAATGACGCCCGACACGCGAGCGAAGCAGGCGAGTCACGTGCGTGAAGCCGCGCGCGCCGCCACGAGGGAGCGGGACCTTTGGGTTAAACGGCCGATCCTTGGAGGAAAACGACCCAGTCCTAATGGAGGACGGCGGGCTTGTGGTGAATTCCCCAAAGCTGGACTCCGTATCTCGAACGTTATTTTTCGGCAGCGGGAGTGGTTGGTTATCCGGACGAGGGAGGGCTGGAGAGCCCGGGGGAGCGTGGGGTGGAGAGCGGGTGTTCTGGAACCGCGACTACGACATGGTGGTGGAGGACTACGAGAGGAGTGGCGGAGATAGAGGAAGAGGAGCTGCGGGGGCTGAGTCGGAGGAGCTTGTGAAGCTGGGTCTCCCGTGCGAGGCTGAGCTGAGGACGCTGAGGGAGGAGGAGATCAAATCGACCTCAAACTGTCGAAAACACCTTTTTTTTTCTTTTTTCTTTTTTGGAAATAATAGAGATCTGTCAAAAACTACTCCCTTCTCCATTCCCTCGTGTTAACTCGCCACATCATGTGCTTTCATTGTACTCTTTCTCCCTTGTCCTTCCCTCATTGCATCGAATGTGTTTTGTAGCCCTTTTGTCCCGCCAAACTATTTTCCGCATCACACATGCAAGAGCGAGTAGCCTGTTTATACAGGCTATACGGAATGTTTTATAGAGTCGATATAGATTAGACCACCAGTGGTATATACATTATAATTTTATATATTTATTATATTTATTTTAAGGATATAGCTATAATATAGATTCCCCAGGGGCTAAATTGCCACATGAAGATGAGTTTATGTGTCCAAATCAGTATATATTTTATACTTTTTTTTATTATATATTATTCATATGTTTAATATTTTATATATAAGCGATTGAATATAGCTTCCCCAGGGGCTAAATTGGTGTAAAAACTGAAGGAATGAGTATGTGTCAAATCAGTATATCGGCACAGATTTGCACCCACGATAACCAAGCGGGTAAAATCAGGCGGCAACCAAATGTGAGGTGGTGTGACTTTTAAATGTCAAAAAATCAAACATGTGCAATGCACAGCATCATAAACAATCAAGTAATGAACAACATATTATCGACAACTATTGATGTCAAGACCAGCAGTCACATGACTGTCACGTGATTATAGCTAGCGATGGGATGTGGTGGCCGGTGCGTAAGGCTGTTGCGGAATGTACTTGCCCTGTAGAGGAGAGAGATAGATAATCACAGTGATCAGTTGGAAAGTAGGCACCCCTGAAATGAGGGGGACACCACCCAACACAAACTGAAAACGCTTTTAATAGATAATGAGACACTATACATTTCTCTCTCGAGATAGGTTCCATCTTCTCTAAGGAACCTCTGAAATGGGGACACCCCTCTAATAAGGGACACTTCCTTTCCAAGAACAAGTAAATGAGAAACCTAACTTAATGGACACTGTATTTCTGTCAATAATAAGAGTTTTGGGTTCAAAATCTAATTTTGCAGACCTGGAGGGGTTGGGCCGTAGGGGGCGGGAGGGGGGTTACCGTACATCAGGGTGGGGGGGGCTGACCATACGGAGCACATGGGGATGCGGAGCGTAGTAGGGCCCTGGTGGCGTTTGATGGTAATAGGCCGGGTGTGGATGGGGAGGTGGGGGGCCCCGTAGGAGCGTACGGCTGATTAGCCTGGAAAGTGAACGGAGGAAAAGAAGGAGGACTATTGACTACGTTGTTATGCTGTGCCGCCAGGGCTGTGTGACAACCACAGCTAATTGCATATCTCTGATAGTATTAAAGGAATGCTACTAAAATTCCATTTTCTTGTCTACACAGTGGCCAACAAATGTTCAATGAGAATAGCTCTCGATGGAACACAGAACAAAGAGCACTATGACATTGCATTGCACATACAGAGTGCTCACATCTCACATGGCTTGCTGCACCGTGAGCGATTTGTGAAGTGGCGCGTATTATGGTCAGGGACCCCACCAGGGATAATAGGGTGAGTTCGTAATATTGAGTAATCATACACTTATCGATCATTCCCCACTGAGTAAAAAAATGCAAAAAGTTCACCTAACAAATGGCCTGGACTTGAAAAATTTGGTGGGACCTCAATTTGACACTGCATGTTGTTTTCCTGCGAAATGGTCACTGACAAGAGTATTCTTTAAAAAGTGTTGCACCGCGTGATTTTAATGACAGTATCTCTCACTCTGAGTGGAGGCATTTGGGGATGGTAGAGTAGGGATGACGCCCATCTGATGAGGAGGCGGGGCCCCACTAGCATGGGTGGGGCAGTAGGCGGAGCCATCTGTTGTGCGAGGGGACGAGGTGCAGCTTGTGGGGGCGGGTCGTGTGGGGGTGCCTGACTGCTGTTGATACTGCGGGTTCTCGTGGTGCCACGTAAGGCTGGTTAGCTATCGTCTTCTGCAGATCTCGGCGTAGTAAGGATGTACGCAAAAAACCCGGAGTAGGTCACTTTGGGACATTGAACCGTGTCCTGTATCCAGAGGTGTCTCTTATTCTGACCTACTAGTAATGGGCGCGAGAGAACCCGTGTCCTGGTGAAACAGGTGGTCCCTTATTCTGACCTACTAGTATGCAGAACCAAGTGTCCTTAGTAGAGAGGTGCCCTATGTATTAGTATGGGGCAGAACCAAGTGTCC